ATCCCTGAATCTGACGTAGATACTACCGTTAATTTAATCCACTTATTACGAGCTTTGAAGAATGAATTACCTATTCAAATTGTCTCCTATGATGACTTATCAACTGGAGCCAAAGAAAAGTTAGTCAATGCAGCCAGGGACGATTTTATTGTTTTCCCCCAATCATTTGACAAAGTATCGTATATGTTCGCACCCCAATATAAATCAGGCGGGTTACCTAAACAAGATATCTGGTTCGTTAACGTTTATCAGACCATCCATCCTGATTTCAGAACCAATTTCAGACGTTGGTATAATAAATTCTTAGCCATGATGTTTAATTCATTCGAAGAATTTATTTTGCTCGATAATGATGCTGTCCTTTTACAAAATCCAGAATATTTCTTCAATTTACCAGGGTATAAATCCACCGGAGCATATTTTTATCGTGATCGTCCATTAAGACGATATCATTCTGACGAAACTGTTAACTTTTTCAAATCGTTAACTCCTAATGTCATAGATTCGATGATGTTTGATATACCCATGGTTACAAACTATACTCTTCAATTAGAATCATTCAAAAAATTATATCACATGCAAGAAGCCGGTTTACTCGTATTGAACCGAGATATCCACTATTCATCGTTTCTTATGATTCTTCAAGTAAACTTCTTCGAGCCATTGAAGGGACAATTCTGGGGAGATAAAGAATTGTTCTGGTTAGGATTTGTCATGAATGGAGATGAATCATTTAAATTCAATAGTAATTTCGCTGGGGTGGTTGGAGAAGTTACACCAGAACCGGAAATAAGACACCGTCCAGATGGGACTGCACATCATTCGAAAGAAATATGCGGCCTGCATCCGGCACATATTGACGGAGATGATAATCATACATTAGCCTGGATAAACTCCGGGTTTAACTATTGTCAAAAAGATGTGAATTATGAGAAAGAATTCGAGGCACAAGGGCCAATATTGAGGATTGATAACGTGGATGCTTTCACAACATTCTACAAAGCTCCATTAAAGATCAAGCAAGCGATTGTACCTCCACTAGATCCCGAGTTTAAGCAAAGGACTAATAGGAATGATGAACCTTCTGCTCCTTGGATTAATAGAGCATTTTGTAAGAATTATATGTACTGTGCATATTCTAGTATTGGCGGTGTGCAGAAAGATGGTGGAGAAAACTATTTGGAGGGGAAATTTATAGAATATGCTGAATGGGAACAAGATTTATTTCAATATTATGGGGATATTTGGGTAGGAGTTGAGTAGATTAGATATTTTATTTATAGAGATTAGTATAATACTGTGTATTAGATTTTAATCGAATGTAAATTAGCAAAAGGTAAATTAACTAACGAAGTCGTAACTTGAATTATCCCTATCTGTGGCGAATATTTTCAATAGAAATATAAATTAAATGTGGGCCAAATACAGAAAACTTGACGGCCCATGTTGTTAAACAACAATGGACTTGGCGTAGAAAATTTTGAAAAACTACACCGTGCACAGACCGATTTATAATATAAAGAATGAGGAATGAATCGGTATGGTTATTCGTGTATCTAATTAAAGCCAAGGACAACCCGAAAGATTCAGGGGGACCAAGATTCACTCAAAATAGATAAATCGATGTTTTGAGCAAAATTTTAAGTTTCATCCTTTTGATAGCATCTTGCGAAAAAGATCTGCACCAAATGTAGCAAACCATAAATTTTTCTTCAATGTCGCATTTTTTAAAGGATTATGTCTGCGAAGCATTATCAATATTAACTTGTCGCACACAAATTGAAAGAAACGAGAAGACTCTACTGTAGAGTGTAATGCAAGGTTTAATATAAAGAAGAATGAACAATCCAGAAAAGCAAAAAAAGAATATGGAATATAGTACAAGAATACAAGTACAATCCTCATAGAGGAGCAGTTATTTCATGTTTTCCCGGCCTTTGACTCTGTGTTTAGCATCCATCTCATGCTACAACGAACAGTTAATGTAGCTAGAACTCTTAATACTTCTGCTACGATACTTTCAAGAAACAATGTGAAAGTAGATAAACTTAGAGCAAGATATCAGTAGGTCAAACTGCCCAAAAGTTGAAAATATTTCATACCACTTTCTCCTTCTTCTTCTCGTTCTTCTTTCTTTTAGAGAGATAACATTTATATATTTTGTTCCTATATATAGTCATCACCTGATTTCTACATCTCAACAGATTAGAAGTCAAAAAGTTACACGACTACAGGTCATAGTCCAACTTCGACTTTCGTTAGATCACCCGTTATCCGCAAAATCGTAGTCCTAGATGATTGTTGTCTAAATGTAGCGGTTGTTGAAGAGAAAACCCATCAAAGCATAGGTGGGCAGTTAAAGCACATGGTCGGGAACGCAGGGCTAGAAGCTTCCACCCGTAACAATCTCCTTCTTATTCCAAGCTGAAATCCAAGACGTGAATCTCGACTGGGTTGGAATTATATGTCTTATACGATCCTTCCCCTATCCCAAAGCTGCATAACACCCAAGAAGCAGGTTGCGTATCACCAAAGAAAGTGGTGCCAAAAAACTGGTGCAACTGGTTTATGGCTACCATGCTATTGGTGCATGGCTACAATAATATGGCATAATTACTTAGGTGAAGTGGAAAATATCTGAACAAACTACTGTATAATGTAGCTGGGTAGATTAAGATTCCAAATCCTCGCGCGTACTATAATGTTAGTTTTGCCTCCGCAAGAAATTAATCCTCTGGGAAGCACTGTAAAACGAATGGCATATTCATGAATTGGTGGTCCAAAACATTGCTGGTTCGAATGGTGGTCCAAAAGACGATAGTGAGTTGTCCTTAGTTCTGCTAACAGTGAACCCGTTGCTTAAAAGCATCGTGGCATGAACATAAAGAGTTCTGGCCGCACTAACTGTTCTCCACCACAACGCTGCAACTCCAGTACTTTATGAAGACCGTACAGGCGTCGTTAGACACTTTAACCATACTGTTATCAACAACGAATGTTCTACCATGGACACAAGCATTAAGTACTGAGGGAATTCGATGGATCAAGTCCAAATTGGCACAGCCCATATCCTTAATACTGTTCCATACCACTACCTAAGATCCACGATGTTTTGCTAAGAGGTTACGCCGAAGCTATTACAAGAGTTCAATTTACCCAAAGATGGCTTAAGATCTAAACTATCTGAATCATCGCCTTGGAGCGGGGGAGTGTTGGAGCCCAGGGAAATTCTGGATGAATGATCAGACGACAAAAGGCTCATAATGATTACTTTGGTGCTGGGGCATAAAGTCCTACTTCACCTTAGTGGCGAGAAAGTCTCACCACCACGATATTCAATCCTCTCTCATTAATAATGTTAGTTAAGTGCCTGGCAGCAGACGTGTGGAACTCACTAACCTCAAAAGTAAAGCCGAAAACTATAAAATACGATTCTAAAAGCCGAAGCAGTGGAACGCAGTTACGTGTGAATGGAAGACGACCAAAGGTCACGTGACTTTATATATACATATCTAGATGCATTGATTGAGACTTCTGTTGCTGTAAAGCAAAGAAGAGATAGTTGTGCTTGCTCACAATTATTTAATTTTTATTCTAGTAAAATCCAAAACTAAACCCGAAGGGAAACCCGTGTCCTTAAATATTGAAATTCTGAGAATCCAGTTTCCTAACCGAGATATTATGTTAGAGTGACATTTCAGAAATTGCGGCGAAAATTGTTTGGGTGGTTTCCATATTAATTAGGTTGATTTTGAGTTTGGTGTTGAATTAACGGAAAGGGGTGGGGTGGAGTTGAAGATTGTGATCAATTTATCTGAACATTTGGTTCATTTGTAGTCTGGTTTTGAGCGTTGTAACTTGAATTATTTTCGAAATTAGTTTCTGAATTAACTTCTTGAGAAACCATATTGACATCGTTCTCCTCATTGTTGTTCTCCTCATTATTGCTCTCCTCATTTGCAGGAGGTGGCGAAGGAATAATTTTGGTTTGTTGCTTTCTTCTCATTTTTGTTGTTGTTGAGTAGTAACTTTTCTCGAAGCTACCAATTGTAAGAGTGATAGTGTTTTACTCGAATTTATGAGAATACCAAAGTTGATTGACAGTGGAAGCGCTTGACCGTCTAATAAATCGACCGAGTGCATGTGTACTAGGAATTCCAAGTATGAACCAAAGTTCAGTGTAGTATCGAATCTATGTAAAAAGATAGTTGTTCCCCAATCAAATCCCAAAACCTCTAAAGGGGGAATCCACAGGTATCTATCCTCGAGTCCCAAAGTTCAGGAAACGGGAAGGTAGCGGCCGAATCGAAGCTTTTCAGAAATCAACTGTATTGTAACTTTACACACAGGAACCACGTCCGGGTCTCCGCATACCACATATTCACTAACGACCGACGAAAGTATATTATCTCAGCGATTACTCCAATTGCAAATTGGGAAGGTGCACATAACCACTCCTTACATATTGGTTCACACTCCTAATTTTCTATTCCAAGACATCAAGGGGTTCAACGACAAACCGAGAACTCACAACGTGTTCGCAAATGGCTAGAAACCAATATTCATTAAGACGGTTTTGAGAATTAGTCGTAAGTTTTTGCCGTTAATGGTTTTGAGTCAATTCTGAGTTATCTACGCTGAGTCATAATAAGGGGTAACACGAAGGAGATGAGCTCGCGGAATGACCTGATGGGAACTGGATGCAATACTGACCTTAATCTAGCTAATGATTCCACAAAATATAAGATTCCACAAAATATAAAAGCAGGTCAATCTGCCCGAAAGTTGAAATTATTTCATATCACTTTCTTCTTCTTCTTCTTCCTTTCTTTTAGAGAGATAACATTAATATATATATTCTTCCTGCATATAATCTTCGCACGATTTCTACTTCTCAACACATTTCTTTACAGGCATATGATTTTCTCCACCAACAATTTCCCATTTAAGATCAACCCTGTTCGCAAAAGATTTCGAATAATCTTCATCCCCATAACAATATGGCTATTAGTCATTACATACTTCATCCTGAAAGCAGATTATACCCATCTTCATCCTGATTCCCCACAAATAGTACACGACATTCAACGACAAAATGCATTCGCCACAAACCCTAAAGATGTAACAGTTGAAGATTATACAGCGGATCCTGCATATTTAAAGTTATCTACAGAATATAATGATTTACGAGAAATAGATGAAATAACTTCTGGGGTATATGAACAGATATTTAATCATCATTCAATAAGCTCAGTATTAGGAAACCTAGATTTTCATGATCGTTGTCAATTATTCTTCAAAAATTTATTAATTAATGATGCAAATTGGTATTATGATATTCATAGAAATAGGGAAGTGAAATATAATACTGATACATATCGAGATTTTAAACAAGCTAGACTTGAAGAATTGAGAAACCAACAGAAAGAAGAGACCAAAGCAGTTGAAGAAAAACAGAAGGATGAGATAGAAGAGAAAATAAGGAAAGAATACGAAGGGATATGGAATAAGCAAGTGGAACGTACTTTCACAAATTGGGTTTCCGTATTCCGTATATTTAATAAATGTTACGTCACAGACAATAATAATACTCAAACTGCGCTGGTCAAGCGTCATATCAGTCATCAAAAGAAGGTATTAAATCTGGCGGGTAGTACTGGTAATTTCGCATCCACAGAAAGCGAGGATAGAACTAATGTTGGAGATGATGGAAGCTTGTTTGAACATAGAGTATATCCTTGGTTATCATTTGATTACCCTGTATATGAACATTGGACAGGAAGTAAATTCTATCAACCACCAAACATGAAAACCCTCAACAAACAAGAGAAAGCTAAAAGATCCCGTGAGTCATTCTTAAAAGAGTTCAAGAAAGCCACTAATGGAAAAGGGATAGTATTGACTATCCCTGAATCTGACGTAGATACTACCGTTAATTTAATCCACTTATTACGAGCTTTGAAGAATGAATTACCTATTCAAATTGTCTCCTATGATGACTTATCAACTGGAGCCAAAGAAAAGTTAGTCAATGCAGCCAGGGACGATTTTATTGTTTTCCCCCAATCATTTGACAAAGTATCGTATATGTTCGCACCCGAATATAGATCAGGCGGGTTACCTAAACAAGATATCTGGCTCGTTAACGTTTATCAGACCATCCATCCTGATTTCAGAACAAAATTCTACCACTGGTATAATAAATTCTTAGCCATGATGTTTAATTCATTCGAAGAATTTATTTTAGTCGATAATGATGCTGTCCTTTTACAAAATCCAGAATATTTCTTCAATTTACCCGGATATAAATCTACTGGCGCATATTTTTATCGTGATCGTTCATTAGGAAAACTTCATTCTGAAGAGAGGGTTNAATCATTAACACCAAATGTCATAGATTCGATGATGTTTGATATACCCATGGTTACTAACTATACCCTTCAATTAGAATCATTCAGAAGGCAATATCACATGCAAGAATCTGGCGTAGTCGTATTGAATCGAGATATCCACTATTCATCCCTTCTTATGATCCTTCAGGTAAATTTCTTTGACCTGTTAAAACGACGATCTCATGGAGATAAAGAATTGTTCTGGCTAGGATTTGTCATGAATGGAGATGAATCATTTAAATTCAATAGTAATTTCGCTGGGGTGGTTGGAGAAGTTACACCAGAACCGGAAATAAGACACCGTCCAGATGGGACTGCACATCATTCGAAAGAAATCTGTAGCGCACATCCCGCACATATAGATGGAGATGATAATCATACTTTAGCCTGGATAAATTCCGGGCTTAACTATTGTCTGAAAATTGTGAATTATGAAAAAGAATTCAAGGAACAAGGTCCAAGATTGAGGATTGATAACCTGGATGCTTTCAAAACCTTTTACAAAGCTCCTTTAAAGATCAAGCAAGCGATCGTACCTCCAGTAGATCCCGAGTTTAAACCGAGGTCCAATAGGAATAATGAACCTTCTGTCCCATGGAGGCATAGAGCATTTTGTAAGAATTATATGTACTGTGCATATTCTAGTATTGGCGGTGTGCAGAAAGATGGTGGAGAAAACTATTTGGAGGGGAAATTTATAGAATATGCTGAATGGGAACAAGATTTATTTCAATATTATGGGGATATTTGGGTAGGAGTTGAATAGATTATACTTTTTTAGTTATAGAGAGTAGTATAAAACTGGGTACAGATTTTAATCAAATGTAAATTAGCAAAAGGTAAATTAACTAACGAAGTTGTAACTTGCATACTTCTAGCGAATATTTAGAATAGAAATATACATATATTTGTCTACAGAAAACAATAGTTAATATCATGTGCTAAATGGCCTATGTCGCGTAATACTTTCTTTAGCACTTAGCACTGACAATTAATCAATCCTTGTATATAATAATACGTCCTCTGGATTGAACAATGTATATTTTCTCTTTACTTTGGATTTGCCCTATTTACTTCTCTGTAACGGTTAAGGCAATTTGTGTGATTCGTGATATATGTACAATAGTCTCACGAGTCTCTATCTCTTGATCTAAAATTTAGTCTCTTATTTCGATATTCTAAAAACATTATATAAAACAATAATAACAAATAGAATCGAGCTTTTCAAACCTCGATCCAGAATCGGTGAAAACTCTTTCTTCCTCATCTTTCACGTGATTGAGTAAACTCTCATCTTCTCTAAAACAATATAAATTAATCTAAAATATAAAAATAGTCGCTCACATCACGTGTGACTTTTTGGGCTTCATCGTCGAGAGTGAGTATTTCCTTTATAAACACTTCATATTGCTCACTCGTGTCGAAATAACCAGATTCGCGACATTGCAGGTTATTATACGACACCTACGATCGTTCATTTCTATAAAATTTCTATGGGAAATTCTGGACCCAAAGCGCAGACCAACTTGTAATGTAAGGGCTAAAGACAAGGCATAATTCTCTTTTACTTCTAGAGAAAGACAAAATCGTTTTAAAGCTTGTCGTCGATACATTCTATTCAAAATTCATTAAAATGATTTAAATAAAAAATACTGTTAACTTTAAGCACCTTTTACTTTAATTGATGGGAAAAATATTTCACACGGATCCAGGATGAAAATCCATATGTCTGCATCAAATTCGGGATGTTCAATGGCTTAATCAATGTAGTTAACGGAGGTTTAGAACATAGCACACAAAAAATGAGAATTTTATAGAAGAGTCTAGTACAAATAGTTTTGTGTTTAAATTTTATTTTGAAGCTAATCATTGCTATCGGAAACAGTTCTCGCTTGCTGCGCATAATATCCAACCCGGTTTCGAGAGGATACAGGGGCGTTGACACGCCCTTGGATTTAGTATCATCCGCTGTGAAATCATGGAAAGCTGCAGATAGAAGGATCAACCAACCACACTAGCCTACCCATAGAACAATTCTGTATATTGTATAACCATAGGAAACAAAGGAACTAAGACAAGAAAAAATGTGGACAATTCAAATTTACGAAATTGTTTGTGACTGGTGTTTATTTTTTACGTAGAATTTTATTAAAAAATAAAATATTTTGCAGCCATCAACAATAATATTTTTTTTTATTTTTTATTCAACCCCCTAAATGATCAAATTCGTAAATTGAGAGGAGAATTAAATTATTGTCTCTTTGTAATTACGTGTTATGTTTGTTCTTATGTGTGTTTTATTATTAAGAATAATAGGGGGGTTAAACATTGTACGAAGGGGAGGATAACTAAAGGACACCTTTTTACGAAATGGAAAAAAACTTAATTTTGTAAAATATTGTTTTCTTTCCTTCTTTCCTTCAGATCTCTTTTTTAGTAAGCCCTGGCTCAACAAGATCTGTAGATAATTGATACGATTGAAACTTAAATAGCAAAGAATATCTTCAACCGAACCTCTCCCCTACAAATTCACTGCCATCTACCAAACCTAAAACTCGCAAATCAATCAAAGGCAACCAGCAACAACAATAACACAACCAAAAGGCTTTCATCCAATTCCATCGGTCTGTCCCCTCAGCTTCTATAATCCCCATTCACCATTAAGCGACCAAGACCTTCAACACCTTCGGCTGCCAATATGGCTCATAAACATTCACTCCTTTCTAAGAAGAGATTAAGGCTATTAATTTGGTTAGGGATCCTTTGGATCTTATATATCCTTACTACTTCCTATAGTATTCCATTATTACAACCGGCACCATTGATTCCTTCAACCCAATCCATTTATTTCACTCATGATGAGAATTTCATTAAAGCTCAGCAAGATGATGAATTGACTCAAGAACAAATTGACAAGAAGAAGCATAAACATTCAAAGACAGCAAAATGCAATTTCACTGATGATGCTACTTTTCTGATGCTTAAATCGACATTTATTAGTCGTGATGAGAGAAATATTACTGATCAGCATTCGACCATTTATGATGAGATTTTTGATAATCATAAAACTGAAGCTATTTTCGGATTGAGTTTTAAAGAAAGGTGTGATTTATATTTCAAGAATTTGTTTATTAAAGATCATAATTGGAAATTTGAAGCCAATAGAAATTGGGATATTAATTATGAAACTGAAGATTTTAAGAATTTTAAAGAGACTAAACATGCTAAATTTAAGGAAGAATTTGATAGAAAAGATGAAGATCATGAAGATTATAGTAAGGCTTTGGAAGAATTTATCAAAAAGAAATACGAATCCATTGTTAAGAAACCTGTAATTGAACAAGAGGTGATTGATTATGTTTCAGCAATCAGAATCTTCAATAAATGTTATATTACCAATGAGAACAAGACTCAAATAAACCAAATGTCTAAGTTCATATATAATCAACACCAAATAGTTGAATCGGTTCCCAATGCTCATCAATACAGACCTACTAGACATGAGGCTTTAATTAATGACCTTGACCATTTTGAGCATAGATTATATCCTTGGTTATCATTTGATTATCCAATATATGAGCATTGGACAGGAAAAACTTTCCATAGACCTCCAAATTTAAAACGATTAGCTCCGGCTCAACAGAATAATCATAAAAGAACAACAGGTTCTTTCTTGAAACTGTTTGAAAAACTAAGTAATGGGAAAGGGATTGTTTTATCAATTCCAGAAGCTCACGTCGATTCAACAATGAGATTAATTCATTTGCTTCGGGCTTTGAATAATCAACTTCCAATTCAAATTATTTATCATGATAATTTATCAAATAAGGCAAAACAGAAATTGGTAACTGCTGCAAGAGAAGAATATATCGTATTACCACAATCTTTCAAGAGAGTTGCTAAATATTTCCCCAAGGATTATGAAACAAATGGGTTACCAAAACAAGATATCTGGTTTGTTAATGTTAATAATGCCATTCATGACCATTATAAAGAAAAATTTCAAAGATGGGCTAATAAGTTACTTGCCGTTATGTTTAATTCATTTGAAGAATTCATGCTAATTGATGATGACACAGTATTATTACAACACCCAGAAAGATACTTTTTCAATCTTCCAGGATATAAATCCAGTGGTGCATATTTCTATAAAGATAGAAATGATGTAACTAGAAGATCGGAAGATGAACTTAACTTCTTCAAAAGATTAACTCCAAATATAGTAGACTCCCTTATGTTCAACATCCCAATCATCACCAACCATTCACTTTCGTTGGAAGCATTTAAAGGATTATACTACTTCCAAGAAGCAGGAGTAGTAATGCTCAACCGGAAAGTTCATTTCCACTCCATTCTCATGATTCTCCAACTTAACTTCCTAGGGCCAATTGCGGGCAAACTGTACGGAGAAAAAGAGCTATTCTGGCTCGGTTTCACTATCAACGGTGATGAATCATTTGAATTCAATAAAAACTTCGTCGCTTCTGTCGGAGAACCCACTCCCCAACCCAACGAACGGGCCCGTCCGGATGGTACACCCCACAATTCCCAAGAAATCTGTTCAGCCCACCCGGGCCATATAGCTAATGACAACCATACCCTCGTTTGGATGAATTCCGGCTTCCGAGTCTGTCACTATGCCGATGAGATAGATTTTGAAGAAGAATTTAAAAAGAGACATAAATACAAATCCATCCCCAACCAATCTGCATTCCAGGCATTCTACCATTCCCCACTTCGGATCTCCCATGCAATTATCCCACCTTTGGACCCCGGCATTAAAGACAGGTTAAATATTGAGGATGAGCCTACTAGTGGATGGATGATGGATGATCATTGTAGGAATTATTTATGGTGTGGATATTCTAGTATTGGCGGGAAGGTGAGTGATGATAGTGACGAGGATAATACTTTGAAAGGTACCCTTATTGAATTCGATCAATGGGAGAGAGATTTGTTTACTTATTATGGAGATGTTTGGGTGGGTGAAGAGTAGTAGTTGTTCTGTTTCGGTTCGTTTGATATAGATTGATTTTTTTTTGTTTTTTGATAGTTATATATTGCTCAATGATTTATACTTCTCATGTTTTGATTGAGGTCGTGTAGGTGGATGGAAACTCTCTACATATTAGAAGAAGATAAGCACTGTAATCCTAGTCAAGTGTGGATTTTTGTGTTCACCCCTTTGTCATATACTTTTGGGTGGTTAATAGTGAGATTATTACCAGAATATTACTGGAGAATTTATTAATGACTTATTATACATTTTGACAATTAATTTTGTCAACTGATTTCTGATGTAAGATGAATTTGGGTGGGTTGGTAAATGTGTTAGATCATGTGGTCACCCACAAGAAAGCTCCTTTTTGGCAACTTAATATTCGGTGATCTTCGTGTTTTAACAAAAAGATATCGACACCGCTCATCCGTTATGTCAAAGGTTCGCTGAGAAAAGTGATCTTACTATCGGTTCAGCTTTGATCTGCCGAACTCAAGATTTTGTGTAACGAAGGATATCGGTATCGGTTCAGAATTAAGCTCCGTGATTTTCTGTGTCATTTTTCCATGATTGCTTTCGGTATTTCCCAAATAAGTAAGACCGAAAAGCCAAAATATTTTACTAACAATTTTCGTGCATATTATTTGTTAGGTTTGCCGAGAGATTTCCTATTTAGGAAATACCGAATGGTTTTTTTTCATCGAGATTTCGGCAGTAACTGATTGGGAAATATGTTGCCGAATAGTCAGGTCACTCCTGCGGAATATGTCCTGTTTGTAACTGGTACGATGTCACTGACCACAACTAGCTGGCCAGCATTAAGATATCTGGGTACTGCTATTATTCAGGCTCCATCCAAGTTACATTTTTTTATGGAAAGATGCCGCCTTTCCTGATGTTCAATTATTCCATAAGGGATAAGATGGCTTTTTTGGCGAATTAATTAATTGGTGGACAATCTAAATATTTTATTGTTGAAATTCTATTTCTTATTTAGCAAGCAAAAGTGGGCTAAAAATGTTGTTTGAAAATACTTGCGAAAATAAATAAATAATAAAAATGAGGCTAAAGTTGACAAATGAAATTTACTATACGACAATGCGAATTATCCAAGTATAAATAGATATGCAACTTCCTGCCAATTCTCTAATAATTTTTCATTTGATCATTAATCAATCAACAACACAACTACAAATCTAAACAACAATTAAATATAATGTCTTCTACTACTTCTACAACTGTCTTCGTATCTGGTGCCACCGGTTTTATTGCTCAACATGTTGTCAAACAATTACTTGAAAAAGGCTATTCAGTTGTTGGTTCTGTGAGATCTGCTGCCAAAGGTGAATCTTTAAAGAAGTTAACCAAATCAGATAAATTTTCTTATGAAGTCGTTCCTGAACTTTCTGATGAGGGTGCATTTGACCAAGCTTTAAAGAACCATCCAGAAGTCACTGTGTTCTTACATACTGCTTCTCCTTTCACTTTCAATGTTACGGATATCGAAAAGGAATTATTGCAACCTGCTATCCAAGGTACAAAGAATGTCCTCACTGCTATTAGTAAATATGGGCCACAAATCAAACGAGTAGTTGTTACTTCCTCAATCGCTGCTATGTTTTCATGGGCCGAGGGTTACAACAAACAAAGAGTCCATACTGAGGAAGATTGGAATCCAATTACTTATCAAGAAAGCTTACAGAATCCTTTCAATGGTTATGTTGGTTCTAAAAAGTTTGCCGAATTATCTGCGTGGGAATTCGTTAAGGAAAACAAGCCAAATTTTAAAATTTCATTTATTCATCCTGTTTATGTCTTTGGTCCTCAAGCCTATGAAATTAAGGATAAATCTCAGTTGAACGTGTCTGCAGAGGTCATTAATGCCGTTACCAAATTAGGTCCAAATGACCAGGTTCCAGAAGTAGCAGGTTTATTTATTGATGTTAGAGATGTTGCAAGAGCTCATATTTTCGGATTTGAAAGCGATGAGGCAATCAACAAGAGATTATTACTATCTGAAGGTTCATTTTCAAGTGAACGTATTGCTCAATTAATTCGTAAAAATTTCCCAAAGTCTAATGTTCCAGAAGGTGATTTAAGTAAGGAACCTGAACAATTTAAAAAACATTTGTTCAATGTTGACAATACTCAAACTAGAAATCTTCTTGCTTTTAAATTCATTGGTCTTGAGCAATCTATTGTTGACACGGTTAAACAAATCTACGATAGCTAGATAATAGTTAGTAAAAGTGTGAATATATGTTGATACTTTTTGAATAAATATTATTGCATATTAATGTGAACAACGAAACTCTATAATTTAAATAGTACTGCAATTATGACACTCGATTGATGTTTGATCGAGACAATAGAGCCCAAATAAAGTTTCAAGTCAAGAAATCTTAACAAAGTAAGCATCAATGTGTTAAGGGATATGTCTCTTTCTCTCTTTCAGAGAGACGTAATAAACCACGCGATAAGTTTCAAACAAAGAAATCCAAATTATCCTCGCCCACCATACCTTTACAACTAACAGCCGATTTTCGCATATGCATTTAACCTATTAACCAGTCAAAATCCCCACTTCTATTTACCCAAAGGACGCCGTTTAAAGTGAGCTTAGCGAACTTCTTGGTGTTCTAGAACTTCCCTTAAGATCTAAAAAGTTCGGATTAATAACTAAAAAATATGTGAATTAGATTTTCCGGACGTGTTTCCTATTTTGGCAATGCCGGTCACCTTCGAAATTTCAGGATATTACAAAGCGATATACCTTTAAAGCGTGTGGTAGGACACACATATATATAGGTATCAATTCCGCAATTATTATTCAAGACCTTCCCTCATCTAAGAATTACCACAAATAAAATCAATTATACTTATATCTCAAATAATGTCTCCTTCAGCCTCAGCTTCAACCACAACTGTCTTCGTCACTGGAGCAAGTGGCTTTATTGCTCAACATGTTGTCAAACAGTTACTTGAAAAAGGTTACACCGTCATCGGTACTGTTAGATCAGTCTCCAAAGGTGAATCCTTAAAACGATTAACTAAATCAGAAAACTTTTCCTATGAAATTGTTCCAGATATTGTCCCAGAAGGCGCATTTGATGCAGCCTTAAAGAAACATCCTGAAGCTGCTGTGTTCATTCACACAGCGTCTCCGTTTTCATATACTGTCAATGACATCGAGAAGGAACTATTACAACCGGCCATTGAGGGGACTAAGAATGCCCTTAGTGCTATTGGCAAATATGGTCCCCAGATTAAGAAAGTGGTGGTTACTTCCTCTATTGTGTCTATCCTTTCATGGGGGAAGGTTGCTCATCATGAGAAGGTACACAGTGAAGAAGATTGGAATCCAATTACGTATGAAGAAAGCCTTGAAAATGCAGCATTTGGCTATTTTGGTTCTAAAAAGTTTGCCGAATTAGCGGCTTGGGAATACCTTAAAGAAAATAAACCAAATTTCGATATTTCATTTGTTAATCCCTGTTACGTATTTGGGCCCCAAGCTTTTGAAATTAAGGACAAGTCTCAACTAAACTTATCTGCTGAGATTATAAATTCTGTTATTAAATTGGGTGCAAATGACGAAATTCCCGAATTGGCTGGTTTATTTATTGATGTCAGAGATGTTGCAAGAGCACATCTTTTTGGTTTTGAAAGTGATAAGGCAGTCAACCAAAGGCTACTATTAGCCGAGGGGCCATTCTCAAATGAAGGAATTGCTCATTTGATTCATAAAAATTTTCCAAAGTCGAATGTTCCAGATGGTAACTTGTCTAAAGAACCAGAACAGATTAAGAAACATGTTTTTATTATTGATAATTCTAGAACTAGAAGACTCCTTGGATTCAAGTTCTTGGACCTTGAAAAATCTGTCGTTGATAGCGCTAAACAAATATATGATGCCTATTAGATAGTCCAGACAAACTCTGATATAGATTGACAATACCTCTTGAATACACACATAGACTCTAAATTCTTTGGAAGTCACACGGTAAACATACTTGTATAATTCCTGCAGTGAACTTGCATAGTATACAAGGGTACGAAGTTCGACAGATGTCTATTCTTATTAGATTGTTTGCAAATAAGCTCATCAGCCTTGTATTGACTTTTGATTTTAACCTTTGGCCAAATAGCCCTGTATTAGCGAGTCGAAGCTCCAATACATATTCTAGTCAACAGTTGCGTAGCAAAAGGAATACACTTAGTGGAACATCTGACGGTAGATGCGGAGACACATCAACTAGGTTTCCATTCATTGTTTTAAGAGGGTTTGTACTTCTTTCTTATACCCTCTTTGGTAGTACTATCTGAATAGAAGACAGCTCTCGCTATCTCATTAAAGAAGAGAACAAGAGATATATTATCTACCGTTCATTGTATGAAATCACACGCAAAAACAAGATTGAAGCTTTGTCAGCAACAGTACATAGCACAAATTTTGGAATTGTATAGAAGGATCGCCACGATTACCGAAAGGCTGAATATGTGGTTATTGGCGGTGATAAGATTTCTCAAATAGGAAGCTCCGAATTCGTCGGTCAAAACAGGAGGAGTTTCTCGAAGTCGGGAAAAGAAAATTACCAAAGGTAGCAGCTTATCGTAGCCATTTCACATACTGGGTGGGGAAGGGGGGTGGATTGATTTGTAATTCATTCCTTGTTGGGGCTTATCTCAAAATCCTCGCAGCCACTTTTGGAAATAACAAAAATTACACAAAACCAAACAATACCCGGATGACAAATGTTGTTTTTTTTGTCCTTCCTATTCAGAATATTATATTGACTGCAAAAATTGACTGCAAATAAGTTGGATAATTTAAGTATAAATATTCCTACAAAGTCCTGATAGTTTCCAATCATTATTTTACTTTTCTAATATCATCGATCGATCCCGTATAACTCAAACCTAGACCAATCAATCTATCAAAAAATGACTTCTGCTATTACTACTACCACTACTGTTTTTGTTTCCGGTGCCAATGGTTTCATTGCCCAACACATTGTTAAACAATTACTAGTGAAGGGTTATGCTGTCATCGGTACTGTCAGAACGACCTCAAAGGGTGAATCACTAAAAGAATTGGTCAAATCAGACAAGTTTTCTTATGAAGTTATTCCTGACCTAGTTTCTGAAGGTGCTTTTGACCAAGTCTTGGAAAAGCATCCAGAAGCCACCGTGTTCATCCATACTGCCTCCCCAGTCACTTTTTCCGCAACTGATGTTGAGAAGGAATTATTAATTCCTGCTGTTCAAGGTACAAAGAATGTCCTTGCTGCGATCAGTAAACATGGTCCACAAATCAAAAGAGTAGTTATCACTTCCTCAATAGTTGCTATGCTTACTTGGTCCCCAAGCTCTTTTGACAATGAAAGATCCCATACTGAAGAAGATTGGAATCCAATTACTTATGAAGAAAGTAAAGAAAATTCCTTTGTTGGCTATTTGGGTTCTAAGAAGTTTGCCGAATTAGCAGCATGGGAATATATCAAAGAAAACAAATCAAATTTCGATATTTCATTCGTCAATCCTGCATATGTATTCGGTCCTCAAGCTTATGCTATTAAAGATAAGTCTCAATTAAACTTATCTAATGAAATCATTAATAGCATTGCAAAATTGGGCCCAAACGATGAGATTCCTGAATTAGCTGGGACTTTTATTGACGTTAGAGATGTTGCCAAGGCTCACATATTTGCCTTTGAGAGTGATAGGGCCATTGGTAAGAGATTATCATTAGTTGAGGGTAAGTTTTCTAAGGAAGGTATTGCCACATTGATTCATGAAAAATTCCCTAAATCTACAGTTCCAAAGGGTGATTTGACCAAGGAACCTGAACAGTTCAAGAAACAAGTGTTTAATATTGATAATAGCAAGACTAGAGAACTTCTTGGTTTCGATTTTGTTGGGCTTGAACAATCGATTATTGATACTGCGCAACAGATCTATGCTGCTAATTAGCTTGTAGTTACAACCTATTCTGACATTATTGTTTCTCTTCTTAATATATTAGTTCTTGTATTGACATAAACAACGATGATATATCTAGTAGCCTTTCTTTACTACGATTTAGTATCTGTAATTGGTTGAACGAAATAGGTAGGGGCAAAAGCTGCTAGTTGCAAAAAAATGAAAGTAGTCTTGTCAAAGCCTCGATTCAACTAAACACCCCGCTTATCGTGACAAGCAGCTTGTCATATGCACTATGGATGCAATGCATGGCATATATCCGGTGTTTTTTTTGAATGCATATTTTGAGGCTAGTACGTATATTTTTTAAATGGTTGCAAAGGACACAAAATCGACCTGTGTGTGCACACTTGTTGTAATTTGCCACAAGCTGTTATGTTCAACCCAAGCAACAGAATTGGATAAGCTTATCACCGAGAATTGCAGTTTAGGCGGAAATACTTTCCTAAATCAAAATTAGTAAATATTTTCAATGTTTCTTTTAAAACAGTTACCATCACGAAATTGATCGTTCAATTAGACCTAAGAAAGTTTGGAATGTGACTACAGGCAATACTTTTCCGGCTTGCAAATTGACTAAATCAATCCGTTGTGTGTAATGAAGGATAAAGCGTAATGCGTAATGTTCATGTGTTGATATTCTTTAAAGCTGTTAGCCAAATTTTCCTATCCCGTTACTAAGGGGTGTTTATTGCCATGTACACCCCCAATTTACAATAAATGCGACATTTTTTGCAGCCAGTTGTATAGAAAAAGCGTAACTGAACTTCGTCACCAACAAGAATTATTATTTATGCAAGGTATTACTCTTCGATATGTCCCTAGGATCAATTCTGTATGAAACAAAAGTGATTTTGTGTATCAAATTTCTTAAAATGGTAAATCATATCCAGTTTACAAAATCAGTTTTTATAAATATAGTGATACAAAAGTAAACCAACTGCTTTTCGAAGAAATAGAATATGATGGGAGGTTTTTTGCACGAACGATTGGTTGGTCAAAATCGACAATGATATAGAAATCGAAAGCATCAGTCAATACTGACATTTCTTCATTGATAGTTTTCAAATTTTAATGAAACAAGTCGAACCTCTCCAGAAACCAAATTTTGTTGACTGGCATGCCAGGGCCTTGTGGTTAATAAGCCGGCCTGAAAGTAACGTGATGTACACAAAATTGAATTATTCGAATTAGTACCTTCTAGAATCAATATATTGACTATGACCGCCTTGTTGTATTTAGTTTGATATTAAAATAATTGGTCCACAAAAGAGAGATTAGAAATTTGTTCTGAAGAAAATTAAACCCCTGAGTCTAAATGTAAACAAATAGATAAGGGCAAACAAAAGAGAGTTAATTAGCTAATTCATCCGCCATGATTGAAAAGTTCAAGGTAGACAAAGCAGACTCTCAGCTGATCTCAATACCCATGATAATCACTTTCTCGAATTCGGGTTTCGAAACGCTCTCTTTCTCAAACGGGAAACTCCGAGTTAAGGATTGTAACAACCAAGGCTTAATGATAATTAGATTATGCCTTGCAAGAGAAGCGGTAAGATTACTCATCCACAACATGACGTAACATGTCCCGAGACTTCATGCGATCATTTACGGAGTGGCAAAAGTGAATGGTGGCAAATGATAATCGTTCCTTTTGTGATATCATTGCATCAAGTGGAGAATGATTTGTAATTCATCTTGTTGGGGCTTATACCCAGTTGGAAAGTACTTTGCAGCCATCGGTATTCTTTTTTGGATAATTCAACCATCGTAATTCTGCACGGAAATTGCCATAATATTACACAAAACCAATTTTCCTAATGTCCGGCTTAGATGATTAATTATTATTTTTTTTTTGTTTCAATGCCGAAGTGGGTTCCTATTTAGGAAATGCCCGAATATTTCGCTTTTGGTGATGTGTGATTGCAAAAAATGATTTCAAATCGATTGCAAATTACGTAGACGATTCAAGTATAAATAGTCTTGTATCAACCTGACCATCTGGAATAATTCTTGAAATCAATAACAATCACACAACAACATAATTACAAGTATCTAATTAAAAAAAATGACCTCTGCAACTGCCACAACTGTTTTCGTTTCCGGTGCTAATGGTTTCATTGCCCAACACATTGTCAAACAACTACTTGAAAAGGGATACACCGTTATCGGTACCGTTAGATCAGCTGCTAAAGGTGAATCTTTGAAGCAATTAACCAACGCAGATAAATTCTCATATGAAATTGTCCCAGATCTCGTCGCTGAAGGTGGATTTGATAAAGTCTTACAAAACCACCCAGAAGCCACCATCTTCATCCACACTGCCTCCCCGGTCACTTTTGCAGCAACCGATATTGAGAAGGAATTGTTACAGCCAGCAATCCAGGGAACTAAAAACGTCTTAACAGCAATTGAAAATCATGGTCCCAATATCAAAAGAGTGGTCATAACTTCATCCCTCGTAGCTATGTTATCATGGACTCCAACCTATTCTGATCATGAAAAGTATCATATTGAAACCGATTGGAATCCTATTACATATGAAGAAAGTTTGACAAATCCATTGTTTGGATATCTTGGTTCAAAGAAATTTGCCGAATTAGCAGCATGGGAATATATGAAAGAACATCAACCCAAATTTGATATCTCATTTGTGAATCCGACATATGTCCTTGGTCCTCAGGCTTATGAAATTAAGGATAAATCCCAATTAAACTTCTCGGCTGAGATTATTAATGGTATTGTCAAATTGGGTGCCCAGGATAAGATTCCTGAATTGGCAGGGACCTTTATTGATGTAAGAGATGTTGCAAGAGCTCATTTATTCGCATTTGAGAGAGCTGAGGCTATTGGTAAGAGATTGGTATTGGATGAAGGGAAATTTTCTAATGAAGCGATTGCTAAGTTGATAAATGAAAATTTCCCAGAATCGAAGGTACCAAAGGGAGATTTGAATAAAGAACCAGAACTATATAAGAAGTTTGTGTTTAATGTTGATAATCATAAGACTAGAGAATTGCTTGGGTATGAATTTATTGGATTAGAACAATCAGTAGTTGATTCTGTTCAACAGATCTATAATGCTTAATTGAAGAGTTTGTTATTGTTCATCTTTTACTAGTTTAATAGTTTATATTTTGTTATAGTGTTTAATAAAGAAATATTGATTAATAATGAACATTACTAGTACGGAGTATTAACAAATTAGAAGCGCCAGAGCCTGACTCGTTATAGAGATACATAGTAGCGATGACTTCCTTCATCTGGGGCGCATACTGATAATAATTTGATAATAAATTGGTATCTGTTTAGCGAATGTAATAGTCTAAACCAGCCAAATGTAAATTATAAGTAGTAGTGATCAAACAATATACAAATTATATATAGAATAGTCCATGCCCTCCTCCCTTACATTCCATCGTAGATGAAGATTATTACATCCACTTCTGTAGTTCCCACCGTCGTCGAGACAAAAGTGAGAACTTTTCATGCCTGCATATTGTCAAGGATATACGATACTCCTAATGGATAGTAGAACGTGCGACACAATGATGTCGCGACTCTATCTCCAATGACAATTCGCGAACACATACTGGTAGCGATACTTTCTTTATAGTCACATGACTAAAAAATGTAAACTTAAAATTTTTTTTTTTTTTTACAAAAAGGCAAAACTCATAATCATTCAAAACTCATAATCATTTCAATCCTTTGATACAAAACCCATTTGTAACTTAAAGAGAATTTAAAGAAAAGGTATTAAAAGTAATAACATCTATAAATAAATCTATCTGATAAACAAAAAGTATTCTACTTGTTTCTTGTATTATTAACAATATTATTATTCTTTTGTATTGAATAAAAACACCCATTAATTACTCCTATAATTTTAACCGCTAATAATCAAAAAGAATTAGGGGAAATGAGACGATCATCAAGATCAACTAAAGGTCAACACACCAAGAGATATGCAGATGATGTCACCTACACCACAGAAGAAGGACCATCCCTCAAGAAATCCAAACTAGATAATAATGACGAAGAAGATGTTGCTTCTGGTAGTGATGAAGATTATAGTAATGAGGTAGTTAGATGTAATCCATGTGGAACTAATCAAGATAATTATAATGAAGATACTGATGAAGGTGGGACATTCATTCAATGTGATGTATGTAATTCATGGCAGCATGCAAAATGTATGGGATTTGATGATGAAGCATTGCCTGAGAATTATGTTTGTGATGTTTGTCAACAAGAAGGAGAAGTTGTTAAAGAGAAGGTGAATGGAAATGATGATGGCATACAAGAGGTAAAGAAGGATACGAATGGAAGCGGAAGTAAAAAGAATGGAAATGGAAGTAGCAAGTTAAATACGAATGGAAATGGGAAGAAAGATAGTAATGAGAAGGTAAATTCACTTGAAGGATTAAAAGATATTACAAGAATTAGTACTGCTAAGGCTTTCTTTAATTTCTTTAAACGTTCTTTGCCAAGCGATGATTCAATTAAAGAAGAAGATAAAATTAAACAAGCAACTGAGTGGTCATTAGAAATTGAAGATATTATGTTTAGAGAATTCCCGGGGAATAAATTATATACATCAGAAGGAAGAAGAATTTTATTTTTATTAAAGAAATATTTTATGAAAGATCTTATATCAGGTACAATTAATTTTGAAGATATTGTTAAGAAATCACCTAAGGAGATCAATCAAGATATTGAAAGAGTTGAATTACAAAATAAACAAAATATAAAGAATATAATCTTGACTGAAAATAATCCAACTCATGAAATTATAAGAAGAACTCATAAGGGGGATATCATAAAGGAAAATGAAAACGAGGATGAAATTGATGAAATTGATGCTAGTATAACTACGAGGAAAGTAGATCATCGTAGATTTTCAGTTGAAGATGATACTCATAATTCAAGTAATAATAACAATACTTCTTCTATTCAATCTAATGAATTCTTTATTAAACCAAAAATCTTGTCTAGTAGTATAGAACAAAATACGTACAATAATCTTAATCCTCGTATCGATGATGATGACGATGATGATGATAATGATGACGACGACGTGAATGACAGGTATGTACTGGACGATGATAGCCAACAACATGTACACCCACCAATCTCCCCAGAACAAGAACTCAAAAGAATCCCAGATTCACCAGCCACCCTGAAATCATCCACTAGCGAACTAGAACATGTCGCTCATTCCCCCAAAGAAGAAGAATTATATCCAATTTTAGGCAACATATCCCCCACGTTAGAATTATCTCAAATTTGGTCAGGAACGATTACATTCCCATCTTTTGCTGAATTTAAAGCCATTGGTAAATTTTATAATTGTACTCATAGACAAATGACAAGTATAGATGTTTGTAGAGATATCCTTAATCTCCTGAAATATAACATTGAAGGTAGATTAGATCGACGGGTTGCTGATTCTTATTTAGATAAAGTATTACGATCTAGAGATTTATATTTCATTGAAATTGAACCAGCACAACTTGGAGATAAAGTACAATATGATAGATTGTATGAATATTTAAGTCAAGATGGGAAAGTCGGAGTATTGAGTGGGAAACCAAAGTTTGTTAAGGATAGTTATTTAATGGCTATTGATTTTAGAGATGATAGATTGATGGGATATTTAAGACAACATAAATTAGATATGAGAATTGGATTGTTTGCTGTATTTGTTGTTCAAAGAGGATATGGCGTTACTAGTATTGCTAGTACTAGTATTACTACTAATAGTAATAGTAATACTAGAGAGTCTAGTATTAGTGACAATGGAGAGTCTAGTATTAGTGATAATAGACCATCATTTGAATCAATTATGAATCAATTAAGATGAATGATCACGTGATTAAATATTTGTATAAATTCTGTATTTTATGGTATATATTTTTGTAAATCTATTGAAGAATGGATGTTTTGTTTTTGTATCAAATCGTTTAAAATTCAAGAATCAACAATTCTAGAGAACCCTGTGTTGATCCTTTATATCTCTTTAGTTAACAAAAGTAATGTGTATATAAAAGTGAATGATGGAAGGGGATACACAAGTCATACCATTAGAAGATAAAGTCAATATATCATCATTAAAGATTAATAGTCAAGAAGATGATGTTGATGATACTCAAGATGATTATAATTCAAGTTTAGTATTTAGAAATGATCACACAATATCACAACAACAACCACAAGCACGGCAACAACAGTATGAACATCCACAAGAAGATACGCAGGTAGACACTCTGAATCTTATGACTGCATCACCATTCAATTCTAGCATTATCATCAGTAATAATACAAATCTTATAATAGACACTCAAAAAGATGAAGATACGTCAGATATCATAATCAACAACAACAACAATGGTGAAGCTCAGGATATATTACCGAGACTACTTAATGGAGATACACAGGTTATTAGAAATGTCACACCGAGTAGGAGTATGGCGGAAACACAAGTTATTAGAAATATACAACCAAGTATGGGAGATACTCAAGTCATTATTCCGAGAGTAAAACCTATTGGCGATACACAGATTATTGGGGATACTCAGGTGATACGGAATGGCGATAATACACAAGTCATACCGATTGTTATTGGACTGAGTTCAGAGGACAAGAATTATTCATTGTCTTTCTCCAATGCGCAACGGCAGGAGGATACACGGTTTATAGACCATTCCAAGAATGGCATTGACAGATCAGGATCCAACTCGTATGAATATCCCAATATCGGGGAAGAAACTACAATTGCAGACGTGACCAACCAAGAGGACGACCATCATACTCAGATCCTTGAAGACCAAAACAATACAATGTCAACCCCGATACCAAAATCACTAATCCCAATAGGCTTGTCTTCTTCACAACCCCATAATCATGATTCCGATCCGGTGTTTTCTCAAACCACCCCAATTGCAACTCAGGCACTTGAGGGCAGACCTGAACGAGGGAAATCATATCGACAGGTTCTCAATACCCAGGATCAATTGGAAAGTCATGAACAAGAACAGCAAGAGGTATCTTCTTTATCATTTGGATCGACTCAACAACAACAAGACCAGCAGATCGAAGTAGAAAACGGAGCGGCTGGATCTGGGGATGGAGATAATTCTATAATTGAACAAGAACAGCCGGTTATACAAGATAGTCTAGATGTTATACTACAGCAACAACAACAACATCATAAAAAAAGAAAATCATCAGAGATTGGAAATAATGGTGTTGGTGATAGATCAAAACGAATCAAGGCTGGGATTGCCCGTTCTTCAACCACGATTGAGAGTATTTCAAGTGGAAGTAGTAGTACCACCACGAGAATTATGAAAGGTGCTAGGAGTCAATCTTCTGTTGTGCCGCCACCGCCCGTGATATTAGCATCCCCCTTCATCGAGGATGACGATGATGAGGATATGGAAGAGCACGAGGGTGTGAGGAATGTGGTTGAAGTGGAGCAATCTAGTCCATTGAAGAATTTGTCGGGTCGTCATAAGAATGGAAACATAGATTCAGATATAATTATGAATCATGATATGAGTATACGACAACCACCATCATCACCAACAACGGCATATGTAGACAGGATGTTGAATAATAGTAGTATTTACAATGACGAAATCCTCGAAGATGAAGATGAAGAACAACCAACCCCATCTCCTCCTCCAAAAAATGAACCCGTCACAATACAAGATGACATAAACTACGACAACGACGACGATGACGACGATGAAGATTCAATCGTGCTTACAAAACCAACCCCACTCCGAAAAAAACACGTCATCGACTCCCAATCCACCACAAACACCACCACCACCACCATCACCACTCAGCCTGACCCCACCCAATCCATTCATCCAACCCCACCCCAACCAATCACGGCTGAGGAAGGAACTCTGATTGATCAATCCCAGATCATGAACCCCCAGAGCGTCTGGGTGGTCGAAAATCTAAAACTCCACCCTGGACACCTTGTCGATCCACTCCCACAACAACAAGGGGGGCAGGTTAGGGTTGAGTTTGGGGAAGGGGTTTATGTGTGTCCGGTTGTGGATTTGGAGGTGTTGGATATCCGAATTGGAGATATTGTTGGGAGAAGACATTATGGGGGGATGTATATCGTTGTTGGATTGAGTTGTAGTGGAGGGAATGGAAATGGAGATGAGGGTGCTAGGGGGAGGAGGATTAGGTGTGTGAGGGGGTTTGATACTGTTCATATTGTGAAGAAGAATAAGAAGAAAAAGAATACCAGAAAGGGGAAGGGAAAGAAGAAGGTGGATGAAGATGTAGTGGTGGAAGTGAATGGTGGTGAGGAGGAGGAGATAAGAGTTGGGTTGAGCGATATATATATGGAACTTAGTGATTGGATAATGCATCAACTGAGATTTCAACTCATGATAAATGGTCAGAATATCTTTCTTGAAAAACGTGGAATATCATCCATAAACACCATTCTTTCATTCGTCTCCCAGCCACCACCCCAACCAGTCCAACAAATCCTGATGATCCTACCATCCACCCCGATCAAATATCCCAGCACTAATGTCCTCACCTTTGAATCAAAATCCCTCCGTCGATCACCCATCAGAATCACTCCCACCGAGCCAATCACAACAACCACTTCTACCGCAGTCGACCCAACCGGACTCCCCTTCACCGGACGAATCTTCGTCATCACAAGCATAGACGGCCCTCGTAAGGATTCAATCAAACAAAAAATCGAATCCCATGGCGGCACCCTCCTAGATTGTGAACTCACCGACCTCTTCACAACAACAACAACTTTGGGGTCACCAACACTCGTCGCAAAAATCCCCTTGAATAATATTTGTTTTTTCGGCATGTTGTCAAATTCCCATTGTCGATCGGCAAAATATCTCCAATCCCTAGCATTAGGCTGGCCGATCTTGTGTGATAAATACATCGACGACGTCACGCTGCAAAAAGTCGGAGTGGAGGAATGGACGACATATCTCCTCCCCGCGGGTTTTTCGAAGAGATTGGACACGGTGAGGAGTCATGATGTGTATAAGTTCCGGAAGAATTATGAGATGGGGGTGATGATGGATGGACAATTGGGGTTGAATTGTGGGTTGTTGGCGGGTGTGGATGTGGTTGTGTTGAAGGGGAGGATGAATTTGGTTTTGGAGGAGAGTTGTAGGTTTATTTTGGGGGTGTTTGGTGTGAAATCGATTAGATGGTTTGAGAGTGCGGAGGGGTTGATTAAGGCGGTGGAGGGGGATGCTTTGGTGTATGATGAGAGTGGGATGGTGGGGAAGCTGTTGGCCAAGAAGAAGAAGGGGAGAAACAAAAAGCAGAACGGTAGTGGTGAGGGTGTGGTTTTGAAGTTGATTGATTGGGAATGGGTTGTTCAATGTGTTATATCAGGAAAGATTTGGGAACCCAGTGAGACGTTTACATTAGATTTATAAGTTATAAGTTATTTATTCGTTAAAGTGCATAAAATCTATATAATAATTACTTTCTATATTCGTTTAATCTCTAATCAGTTTAAGCTCTTCCAAACATCTTTGCAAGCAAAACTTGGGCAACAGCTTTAACCAAAGGCCAACCATTATCAGTCTTTACAGCATCACCATTTTCTTCTAATCTTCTTCTTAAATATTCTTTAGTTTCAACTGGTGGACCCCATGGAACATATTTAATAACATTACCAATTCCATGATGATTAATTAAATCATAAGTAGTTTCATCGGCCATACCTAATAATTGACCTAAAACAACATTAGTCTTGTTTTTGTTAGATTCATTAACTTCATTATAAACTTTTGAACTTGCCAATCTTAATGAATCACCATTATGAGAAGCAACAACTAAATGACCAACAGTAGATTCGTTACCAGCATTACTTAAAATAGAATCAATACAATAAGAAATACCTTGATTATAATTTTCATCAGTATCTTGTTTAGTCTTATGGATGACAACACCACGATTCTTTTCTGAATGAATATAAGCACCTCTAACTAATTTCAAACCAAGACGATATTTATTTTCAATGGCTAATTTTTCTTCTTTAGCTAATAATTGAGCTGATTCAGATAAGTACATTTGTAATGTTCCAACAACAGAAACTGGTTGATTTAAATGATTAAATTTAGAATATAATCTTCTTTGTAATTCATATACACCTTCTTGTAATTCATGTTTTTCAGCATCAACAACTCCAACAACAAATGGAGCAACACGATTAGGGTATTTCTTGGATAATTCAATATTAGCATCATAAACTGCTTGACAAACAATACTTGCTTTGCTTACAAGATCTTCAAATTGTTTAGCACATTCAGGATCTGATTTATAATTTCTCAAGACATTTGCTGCATTTTTAGCAAATCCAGTTGGTTTTAATGCAACATAACCTGGAGGAATATCATTGACATCCTTAGCCATTTCAATCATTTTTATGGTATGTGGTACTAAAATTTCTTTAACTGATTTAGCAGTTTCATCAACAATGAATTCAGGATCAATATTATCATTACCATCACAAGCTTCAATTGTTAATGAAATCATCATATTATTAATACCTCTTTCATGTAATCTTAAACCAGCCATTTTAACTTGATCAATAGTTTCACCACCACAATAAATACGATAAACTAATTGTTTAATGATAAACATTGGAATATAAGGAAATAATTTAATACATAAGTTTAATGTTGGTTTATTTAATGTACATAATCCCATCATCATAAATGAAATTAATTCTTTATTATTGAAATCTTTTAAATGTTCAGCATGATTAGTTGGTTTAACAAATGGTACTGAATCTTTGGAATGTTGTTTAAGTGTAGATGCTGATGGTGGTGTATTTACCATAGTGGTATTATGTTTATTTGGAGTATCATGAAATGATCTATATGTTGTTGTTACCAATCTTGGGGTAAATCTAATATTCTTTGTAATAAGAATTGATTTGTTTGCACGTGATAATAATTGAAGTCGAGATTGTACTAATGACATTTTAAAATAATGACTTAATATGCTATACTTAATGCTAAGAGAAGAGCAGAAGTAAAAATAGAATACAAGATATAAAGAGAGATGTTATGTTGTATTTATATAAGTGGCATGAACTATAAGGTCACTTATAAAAGTGATAAGGCATTTTAATAAGTCTAAGGTTGTATTTCCCATTTAAGGTTGTACAAGCGAAACTAATGATGCCGCTCATTTGTTTTTTTGGTAATGCCCGTCCCGCCTGCCTGCCCCCTTCTTCTTGAATTTTTTTTTTTTTTTTTTTTTCTGTGGAGAGAAAAAAGAGATTGTAAGAAAGAAAAGTCCGATAGTAACCGATTGATTAAAAAAACGGGGTAAATGTAAGCGATTGAGAAAAAATGTAAATTGGTAGCGATTTTTAACTTCTAAAGGCAATCAACTGCGAAATACTGTGTACATCCTCAATTTCTTTTCAGTTAACAAACCATTATAATTAAACACAAATTAAAGTTTACATCGAATAATGACCTTTGCTTATGATAAGCGCGGTATTGACTTCTTCTAGAAATGAAAAGAAGGTCCAGTCAACAATCATCCAACTGAATATCTTTGAGGGATGACTTTTTTATGTGGTGGCTAATTTTTAGGTTAATTATACTTAAGTCATTTCAGTTGTATTTTTTGCACCTAATCTTATGACAATGATTATTTTTATAACTCTAACGGTTATCCATCATCCTCGGAGTCCCCTTATGTTTACATTTTCATTTTTATTGTCTTTTGTGGGGGGAAGACAGATGTCTGGAGAAGAATAAAACAATGAAACATTTACAATAATTCTCGACTACGGCATTGTTTCATATCTCTTGGCATTTTTGCAATTTGATCGATTGGCATTAAAAAAGTTTTCTTTTCTCTGGATATTGTATTATCATCTCAACTGGAATTTTGATTATCATTTAAATGTTTCTACTGTAACCCCATCTTTCAGAAATCATTCTTGGACCAGCTAAATAGTTTCATTAGAAAAGAGAATGGAATTTTATTTGTTGGCAAGTATTCTCTGTGGAAATCTAAATTTGGGTAAAAATTGTCTCAAAAATTTCCATAGGAACCACTAAGTTATTTACTTTCTATAAACTCAAAATTAAACAAAAGTGACCCAATAGATGATTTACATCCGACTCTTAGACGAGACTATAGGATCAAACTTTTTGTGGGGAAGCGACATAGCGGCAGTTATTCTTAAATACAAGTTGTACCCACTACCGGACGGGTACATATTGCCGATCTTATCATAAGATTTATAAATATATAAAACGTGCCACCTTGCTCGGTAGAGATAGGGAAATAGAGACAGGTGTTGAAATGGATATGTTCTTTGAAGCTAAAACAAAGCTTTACCCCTGCTAAATAGCTATTGTTCAAATAGCTATTTTTGTCTTTCTCTGGCCAGGTTGTGTTGCTCTTGAATTCAGAGAGATATTATTTGAGTAGCTTAAATCTATCTAGAACCAAAGGTGCCACAGACTGAATAGAAATGTACTGAAACCACTACGTTGCTACTGCAGTTTTAATACAAGGGCTTGCATGGCTATATTCCATGAAACTCTTGTAGCTGTCTTCTGGCTCTAGATACCGAGAAAGATTTATTGAGACTTTAGTTAGTTGCATAAACGCTCCAATCACTTTCTAGAAAAAAGACTTCTACAACTACTAGAACTTATCAAACGACATATTGGTTATCTGCAAGATCTAATCCCAATACTGGCTCTCCTGAATATAGGTTCTTGACTCCAGTTGAGAATGAGAATCTGTTGAATCTTCTGGTCCCATGGCTAAGTCGAGCAGGTTTTCCTCGCAATCTGCCAGATGCTTCAGGACTAGAACTCTCTCTTCTGAAATTCAACCTGTCAAATGGTTGAATGTTCTTGCTAATACGAAATCACCTTTATCAAACGATTGTTCTTTTGAATGGGAATGGTAAGTTGCAGGAAAATTACCTTTACTAGTATATCATTTATTTTCAGTCTATACCAAAGCTACTCATTTGAAAACCACTGGCTCTTGTCCATTCACTTGGAGAAAGCTCTCTGAATCCTTTACTTTAGATGTAGGATAAATCTGTTGTAGCCAATATTCAATCCGTATCTCGCCTATTAGGGCTGTATCCTAATTCGGAAGGTAAGCAAAAGCCGCACCATGGCACTACCAAGTGTAATTTTTTTCTGTAACCAAAACCTCGGGTGCCCATCTCAAAATTAATTTAAACAAAAATATTTTTCAAGCTTTTGATTTCTAAACTCCAACAATAGAAATATAGACGACATAAGATGGCAAAAGGTGGTAGCAGTGGTAGTCTCACATCCACAATGGATAAAGACATCTATAATCTAATCTATGATCTCTTAGATGAACGTACTGCCGAAAATAAACGAAAATTATTACACCAGTCAGGTATAGATTCTAATAATGTTGATATCGATATGCCTGATCCTTTGGAATATATGGAAACTGCAAATAATATAACCGTGCCACAAGTGTTCGCATATATGAAACAGAAGAGACATGCTTTGGCTAGAAAGAAGGAGAGTTTGATTACCAAGAATGTACGTAATATTCTTGAAACTATTCGAAAAGAAGAAGAAAGTGAATTAGGAAAAGTTGATCCTAACGATGAAGATGATGAAATTGCGGGTGAAGTTGAAGTTATTGATGTGGATGAAATTGACGAAGAAGATGGTGATGATGATAATTTAATGGAAGTTAAAGATTCAAACATGTTAAATAAATCAGTGGTTTCACTCTGGAATAACAACAACATCAATCCATCCGAAACACCAGAACCATCCACCGAAACAACAGCAACATCCAAGAAACGTTCCTCCTCCAAAGATTCCAAATCCACTTCCAAACGTCAAAAGAAAAAACCCGACTATTCCCCACCCACTTCCGATTTCTCCTCCCTCGGTGGATTAGAAAACATAATCACCCAACTCTACGAACTCATCGGTCTCCCCATCCTCCATCCCGAACTCTACGAAGCCACGGGAGTCGAACCACCAAGAGGTGTCCTCCTTTATGGCCCCCCAGGATGTGGGAAAACTTCAATAGCCCATTCCCTTGCTGGTCAATTACAAGTCCCATTCATCAACATCTCAGCCCCGTCGATTGTGTCAGGTATGTCTGGAGAATCAGAAAAGAAACTTCGTGAATTATTTGACGAAGCTAAAGCATTAGCCCCGTGTTTGATATTCATGGATGAAATTGATTCAATTACCCCGAAGAGAGATGGAGGGGCTCAGAGGGAGATGGAAAGAAGAATTGTGGCGCAATTGTTGACATTAATGGATGAATTAACATTGGATAAAACGGGTGGAAAACCAGTTATTGTGATTGGTGCCACGAATCGTCCCGATTCTTTGGATTCGGCATTAAGAAGAGCCGGAAGGTTTGATAGGGAGATTTGTTTAAATGTTCCGAATGAACAACAAAGAATATCGATCTTGAAAACCATGACGAAGAATATTAAATTAGATGATCGTGATGGGTTTAATTATCGAGAATTGAGTAAATTGACTCCAGGATACGTTGGTGCTGATCTTCAAAGTCTTGTCACTGCCGCCGGAATCGCCGCCATCAAAAGAATATTCGAAAGTCTTTCCGAACAACAAATCGAACAACCTGAACAAGTTGTCCCCACGGCAGATTCCATGGATATAGATTCCGAACTCATCCACAAATTCCAAACCAAATCCGATGAGGAAAAACTCTCAACCATTAAGAGATTCCTCACCCTCCATCCCAACCCACTCACCCAAGCCCAACTCTCCCCCTTATCAATCACCTACGCCGACTTCCTCGTCGCCCTCCCCACCATCCAACCCACGGCCAAACGAGAAGGATTCGCCACCGTCCCCGACGTCACCTGGCAAAACGTAGGTGCATTATCCAAAATCAGAATGGAATTACACATGTGTATAGTCCAACCCATCAAAAAACCCGAACTCTACAAAAAAGTCGGTATTTCCGCTCCCGCCGGTGTCCTCATGTGGGGTCCACCGGGATGTGGGAAAACCCTATTAGCAAAAGCCGTGGCCAATGAACTGCGAGCCAATTTCATCTCGATCAAAGGACCAGAACTCTTGAACAAATATGTCGGGGAATCGGAACGGGCGGTTCGACAAGTATTCAGTCGGGCCCGGGCTTCGGTGCCATGTATTATATTCTTTGATGAATTGGACGCGTTGGTTCCCAATCGTGATGCGAATAATAGTGAGGCGAGTTCGAGGGTGGTGAATACGTTATTGACGGAATTGGATGGGTTGAATGACAGAAATGGGATATTTGTGATTGGAGCCACCAATAGGCCGGATATGATAGATAGAGCGATGTTGAGACCCGGGAGGTTGGATAAGACATTATATATTGAGTTACCGGATGCTGGGGAGAGAGAAGAGATTTTGAAGACGTTGATTAAGGCGAATAGGTCTCCAGTGGCCAGTGATGTTGACTTGGAGAAGATTGCCAATGCTGAAAAGTGTAGGAATTTCAGTGGGGCGGATTTGAGTTCGTTGGTGAGGGAAGCGGGGGTGAGTGCGTTGAAGAAGAAGTTTTTTAAGGGGCAGGAGGTGAAGCAGTTGGATGTGTCTGGGTTTTATGAGAAGACGGATGATGGTGAGGAAGAGGGGGGTGACGATGATAATGATGTGGAGATTACCATGGATGATTTTGAAATTGCATTGAAGAATATTAAACCGAGTGTTACTGATCGTGATCGGTTGAAATATGAAGAGTTGAATAGAGATATGGGTTGGAAAGATCCAAAAGAGGAGGAAGAAGATGAAGAATAAAACTCCCCTTCCATTTTTACATAGAATTTTCTGTATATTTAATCATTTTCGTAGATAATCGATACTTGTATAATTCATAAACTATATAATCAATGTAGAAAACGAACTAAAAAATATAATATCACAATACTAATACTAAATCTATATCTCAAACTTTAACCAATCTAAATCCTTATATTCCCCACCATTGCCACCACCTCCACTTCCACTCACATGTCCACCACCAACAACACGTCCTACTCCTCCTCCACTCACACCACCATTCACATTCCCATTCAAGATCAGCAAATTAATCTCTCCAGTCACTTTATCAAATCCCTCTCCATCCCCCATTCCCCCAATCCCACCATCACCACCATTCTCAGCAATCTTAAAAAAATCATCAAAATCAATCCCACCCATCGTCATATTATTCTTCTCAACCCCGTTTCCACCCATATCCACATCTCCCCCACCCTCATCTATCATGGCCATAGGATCCATCATGATCATTTCATCCTGTATACCCTCATGAACCACCATTGGCGGTTTACTAGCCCGATATTGTTCCAATATAACGCTCTGCTGGTGTCTTGGTTGCAGTTTATGATGATGATATTGGATGCCGCCTTCGATATTGTTGACATAATAATCCGACATTTGTTGTTGTTGTTGGAGGGAATGATATTGTTGTGGTTGTGGTTGTTGGGATTGGAATAGTGAAGCCAGGGAATGGGATGGGGTGAATAATGATCGGTTGGATGATGATGGGGTGGTGGTGTTCTTCATGCCTGATGAAGGTAATAAATCATTCACATTCAATGGAGTAGCGGGCACCGAGGCGGGAGAATCGACTCCGCCTTGATATAACATAAATGAAGGTGATGAGGTATTTGAACCGGGAGTGCCGCCGGTTGTATTGGTGGCTGATTCCATGATTGCTCCCGCGGAGTTGGGGTTGTTCATGAGGGTGGTGGCGCTGTTATTTCTCGACATGGATGGGGTGAATTGTTGTGAGAGTTGCAGTTGCAGTTGTTGATGATGAAGTAGTGGTTGTTGGGGTTGCGGTGGTTGTTGGGATTGTGATTGTTGGGGTGGTGGTAATGTATCGAAATATACCGCTTGGGGAAACCTTTGATTTAAGATATTTATATTTGTAGAAGTTAATGAACTTGTTGGGGTATTACTAGTGTTGTTATTATTCATTTGTTTTCTTGATAATGAAGTTCTTCTATTCAATGAATTTGATTGGAAAGATAAAGAAGTGAATGAATTCCGTTTTTGTGAACTTGAAAGAATGGTTGAATTATTAGTTAATGAAGTTGAACTCAGGATTCTATTCCGATTGGTAAATGATGGCATATTCATACTCATACCAGAACCATCCTCTCCTCCTCCCATGCCGGCTACCATATTAACTTCTGATTTCTTTCTTTTGAATGGTTGATTGGTATTTATTGTATATGGAGAAGAAGGTGAAAATGGTTGTGGTGAAGATTGGCTAGGTATCGGTATTGATTTCGCGATATTGGTTCCACTTGTAGGTTTTGGTAATATCAATATATTCTTATATCGTTGAGCCGCCGAACCTGATACTGATCCAGAAGGAGAACTATAATTTGTATTTGTAGTTGGTAAAGATGAAGAAGGAACAGGACCAGGTGCAACTGGTTTTAATTTATTGAAATCAGTTTTGTTTGTGAATGTTGATATGAATTGATTCCCATTAATTGGTTGTGACGTGGATAATTTGGTGGTTGTAGTTGATTTCCTGGAAGCTCTCTTTTTAATTACATCTGTTTTTAATGAAAGTGGTCGAGTAGTTCCATGTAATTTAAGAAATAATCCACAAGCATTACATAATGTATTTCCTTCTGCATCTTTTCTCCAAAGGGGTGTTTTCAAAGTTTTACAATTGAAACATTCAGTTGGTTTCTGAGCTGCCGCTACTCCGCTAGGAGTAGAAGCAGTAGATCCTGGTGTTGATGTGGTAGTTGTCGATGGAGTGGGAGCAGTGCTTGTAGTATTTGACTGTGGTTGTTGCGGTACTTGTTGCTGTTGACTTGTTGTATTATTCTCATTCAATCTACTTAATGAAGAAGTTAAATTTGATTTCTGTTTGATATAAGGTTCTTGTTTAATGAATGTATTGGAATTACCCGGTGATGAATTTTCAGAATTTGGTGTTGTTATTTTGAAATTAGAAGAAGCAGTTGAAGTTGTTGTTATTGGTTTAATTGGTCTTGTAGTTGTATTGGATGATGATGATGGAATGTTGTTTATTGAGTTAATCATGTGATTGTTATTATTCTTTAAATCTTCTATTGATAATGGTGATAATAAATCTAATACATTATCATGTAATATAATATTATTAACTGGTGAATTCATCTGTATCTGTTGTACCAGCTGTTGTTGACTCTGTTGTTGTCCTTGTTGTTGTCTTATAAATCTATTATCAATTCTTGGTTGAAATTTTAATAATTTCTTTGCTGAATAAAATAAATCAACTATTGATGAATCGTTATTATTACTATTGGTATTACTATTGGTAGTACTCTGTTGATTATCGTATACTTCTGGTGTAGTAGTAAACGATGTCATTACTCTTCTTCTTCTTACTTTAACTACCTGCTGTTTCTGTCTGTCTGTTTGTTTGTATATTTGTAAATGTCTGTCTTGTCCGTCTGTCTGATGATTCTATTCTATTCTTCTGTTGTAATATTTGCTTAGTTGCTAATAGTATTAGTTATAGTAATAGTTGATAGTTGATAAGTATATATGGGTAAATAAATTTTGGGGGGAATAAACACTATAAGTGGGGGATAAATAAATAAAACAAAAGTAAATAGTGTAGATGGGGGATTTCTAACCTGTAAATTAAACTGGTTATATTATAAATTTTTTTTTTTTTGTATTATGTCTTAACTATGTGACTGACTGTCTGTCTGTCTGTTTCTCTTAACAATTTTTTTTTAATAAGCTTTTTTTTTTTTTTGGTATTGTCTCTTCTTATTCTTCTTTTTTTTTATTTTTGTAACTCATAAGGAAGGTAGTGTAATTGATGATTATTTTTTTATTATTATATATGTATGTACCTAACTTCCATACAGGAATACAATGGCAATATTAAAAAAATAATCTGGTAACTCATTTACTTGTATAAGAAAAAATTTCATAGTTCTATAAACTCATACAAAAAAATTAACATCCCATTTTTTTTTATATTACCAATTAATAATCATGCCATAATAATTAACATAGTAGAGATATTACAGAAGAATCTAATTTAATTGATAATCAATTAGAATTGTAATAGTGGAATGATACAAGTGTATTAAGAACAAGAATGTTTTTGGTGTGTAAGTTAAGGTTAGACTAATAGAAGAGGCTTGTGGGACTTTGTTTGTCCGGGTAGATTACGCCTTTTGAAATAATGCCTGCATCGGCGCCTATTTCGCAATAAATTTTTTATAATTTTTCCTCACTACAATACCACTAGTATACACTCCGGAGTTATTTGTCCATATACTAGCTACCTAAAGCAATACGTAACGACATACTCATAGTCCAAAGAATATGCTTGGTGTATTCTCCACGGGAGATCTCTTGTATAGTACACAATAACAATAATCTACCCAAGTAAAGAGAGAGAACGTATTGTTTTAATAATTATTAATTATTGTACATTCTTCGTCTATTAACAATTTTATTACACATTCCATATTAGACATATTATTTAATAAGATTTATTACACAAAATCTAATCTGTGTAATATCAAATGTTATAAGGACTAACATAATGTTAATCAAGCCGTATGTGTCTAACAGTTATTAACCCAAACTCCAAGTACATGCAAATTGTATTACAAGTATTACTGTTTTGTGTTAACTAAAAGTATGGAAATTACTTTGGTATAATGAATTAATCTTAGGAATTCGCTTACTGAATCCACTATTAGTATAAATTTGCTTTTGTGATATTCTATGAGATGTTCCGATAATCAAATCAGAAGAAATGTACACTTCCGTAGGACAAACCACACACACTTACTTTTCAATTTCTGGTGCATTTTATCTAAATGAGTTTGCATTAATGTCACAATACCTTTTTTATGGAACAAGTTTATTATTACTGAAATGTAAGTACCTATGAAGGGAACATAGCATGACAGTCTACCTGAATGTATTTCTTCATACTTAAGATATGTATATTTTAAGTGTTACTTTCTTGATATATCGGATTGATAATCCGAATCATCAACTGACACATAAATACTGACGAAGAGATAATCAAATTGGACAAAGTCTATTGTTGCAGATACATTTATTTGCTATAATTCTGACTTCCATGGGTAGATCAACTCTAGAAGATAAGTGTTACAACAAGCCAACCCATAGAATGATAGGAATGGTAGTAAAAGTAAAAGTAGTAAGTTGATATTCCTGTATATAACTTGTAACGGAAAAAAAAATTAATTTCAATTCCTCATCTCTCTCTCAATCTCTCAATCTGCGTTATGAAAAATTATTAATAATCAATATCTTTCCTAGTCACTCCATCTAATCCATCCCACACCATCTTATAGAAAAACCATCACACAATGGCACCATCAAGTGAAGAATACGAACAACCACCACAACAACCACAACCCCAACAACCAGAAGAAGAAGAATTCATAGACATCAACGAAGTAGCAGAAGAAGTCGCCGATGAAGACATCAACGCCCCCGAACCACTCGATGACGACGAAGAAATGCAACTCGACGACGACGAAGACGACGTCTTAGAAATCGACATGAGTAACAACTCCTGGGCCTATTTCGACCACCACAAGGACTCTATCTTCACCATCTTCTCTCATCCCACCTTACCCATGGTTGTGACTGGAGGTGGGGACAATACTGCCTATTTATGGACCACCCATACCCAACCCCCACGCTTTGTGGGCGAGATCCAAGGACATAAGGAATCAGTCATTACTGGAGGTTTTACCCATGATGGGAAATATTGTATTACCGGGGATATGGCGGGTGTTATTCAAGTATATGTTTCCAACAAGACCGGTGAGAAATGGACTCAATTTGCGACCTTGGATGAAGTTGAAGAAGTGTTGTTTGTGATTGTGCATCCGACATTACCATATTTCGCGTTTGGATCTCCTGATGGGTCGGTATGGTGTTATCAAATCGATGAAGTTGGGAACGGCGGCGTCGTGCAGATCATGTCGGGGTTTTCTCATGGGTTGGAATGTAATGGAGCCGTATTTATTCCGGGGAAAGATGATGATGATGAGAATGAATTAAGTTTGGTGTCGATTTCTGAGGATGGTACGGTTGTGAATTGGAATTGTTTCACCGGGGGGATAAATTATAAATTACAACCTCATGATGATTTCAAAGGGGTTGAAAGTCCTTGGGTTACTATTAAAGTATTGAATAATGTTATTGCCATTGGAGCAAGAGATGGACAATTGGCAATTATAAATAATGATAATGGGAAGATTGTTCATGGATTTAAAACTTTGGATAATGTTGAAGATATTGCTGAATTATCTATTGAAGCTATTGATTGGTGTAAATCAAAAACTATTAATTTATTAGCAATTGGTTTAGTTTCAGGTGATGTTTTATTGTTTGATACTACTTCTTGGAGATTAAGAAAAAATATTAAAGTAGATGATGCCATTACGAAATTGGAATTTGTTGATGAAACTCCGATTTTAATTGGTTCAAGTATGAATGGTAAGATTTATAAATGGGATTCAAGAACTGGTGAAGAATTATTTGTTGGTGTTGGTCATAATATGGGGGTTTTAGATTTCGCGATTTTGGAACATGGAAATAAATTGGTAACTGCTGGTGATGAAGGTGTATCCTTAATCTTTACCATGTAGGAACCCCCCTTATATATCTATAGTCGCTTATACAATTATATATGTACATTAATATTCATTCATTGAAAAACTAGTTGCAAAATGTCGTATTATTAAATGTCGTTTTTTGATGCGACATAAATCTCACAGAACGCGTCTCTCTCTCTCTTTCTCGGTGTATTAAAAAAAAATTCTCACACCAAAACACGTCTCTCTTTCTCTTGCCTCCATCAACAGAGCTAATACCCAATGACACCCGCTCAAGATAAAGAAATAACATTAGAATCATTCGCCGACAATGCTTCCATCCCCACCTCCGCCACCACCACCAAATCATCAAAACCAACAGAAGCAGACATGATCTTCTACTATCAACGTCTCTTCCCCTTCCGCCAAATCTTCCAATGGTTATCCCACTCCCCTAAACCCACCCAGGACTTCACCATGCGAGAATTCGCCTATGAATACCGGTCGGGGGCATATTCGAGATATAATTCCTTCCTGACCCTCGACGACTTCAAAAAATCAGTGATATTGGCAAATCCTACTCGGTTTGAAATTGGGGCGAAATATAACATAAATCCAAACCAAAGGAAACATGTCCCTAAGAGTGCGTTGAAGCCCGTGTCGAAGGAATTGGTGTTTGATATTGATTTGACGGATTATGATGGGATAAGAACTTGTTGTGCCGGTACTGATATTTGTGAGAAATGTTGGAGATTTATTCAAGTGGGGTCGAAGATTTTGGATGGGGCGTTGAGACAGGATTTTGGGTTTGAGAATTTGGTGTGGGTGTTTTCGGGGAGAAGGGGGGCGCATTGTTGGGTGAGTGATGCTAGAGCCAGGGAGTTGGATGAGGGGGCAAGAAGGGGGATAGTTGAGTATTTGGATGTTTTGGGTGGGAAGAGTGGAGGTGGTAATAAAGGGGGAATGAATATTAAGAGACCTTTCCATCCCCATGTTGAAAGATCATTTGAGATATTGAAGGGGGAATTTACTAGTATTGTTTTGGATGAACAGAATCCTTGGGTGACTGAGTTTGGAAGTGATGATAATTGGAATAAAGTGGATGAATTGTTGGGGTTTATACCTAATAAACAATTACAATTGGAATTAAAGAATAAATGGAAATCTCAAACAAGATATTCTGATTCAAGATCAAAATGGGAAGATTTAAATTCAGTGGCAAGGCTGGTACTTAAAAATAATAGTCAAGTTAATCAATTAAATGAAGCTAAAAAGGATATTATCATTTATTATATGTATCCAAGATTAGATGTTGAAGTTTCAAGACAATTAATTCATTTATTGAAATCTCCATTTTGTATTCATCCAAGTACTGGGAATATTTGTGTCCCATTTGATCCAACCAAGAATATTTCGGGAAATAATCAAGATGATGAATATGGTTTCAATCCAATGCATGCTCCTAATTTAAAACAAATCCAAAATGAATTAGAAAACTATATGGATGAAGATAATAATGAAGATGATGATGGTGAACATAAAATACAAGATTTTGAAAAGACTAGTTTAAAGCCATATATCAATTATTTTAGTAAGTTTGTTAATGAATTAATTAAAACTGAATTAAAAGGTATTGGATCTAAACGAGAAAGAGATGATGATAATTTAGAATTTTAAAAAAGGATTTAAGTATTGTATATTATTAATTAACGTATTTTACATAATAGAGCAAGGAAGTATTTCTGTTATATTAAACCCATTAGCTGTGGAATTGTTTCGTATCATAATACATTCTTCATGATCTCCTCCTCTTAAGTTGTCTTCTTTCATATCATGATACCATTCTAAAATCTCTGATTCTGGATTATACTTAACATATCCCGAAGTAGAATAAACTTCACCACTTTTTAAAGTTGGATAATGCCATTTAGGTACAAATATAACCGTTGGATAAGTATTAAAATCCCCCGATTTCAATTTTAATCGAAGTTGGAACTTCTTGGATTTGAGATCAAATTCAGAATTTAAAATCTCACCTCTAGTGGCAATACAATATGGTCTAATGACAGCACTGACAGCTCTAACCCCATCCACTGACGGATGACACCGTTTGTAATGTTGGGAAGTAGTATATTCCGGCATGGTAGTAATAACACCAACATCATTAAACGAAGCAGCAGTTGTTGTAATCGTCGTATCTGAAGATTCATAATCTGAATCACCATCTTTATTAACATTATTACTCTCAACCGAAAGTTCACTCATTCTCGAACCAGTCCTCTTAAGTCTCAACTTCCTCTTAATCCCACCATCTTTCTTCACCTTTTTCGGAACCATTGACATTCGCCCCCTCATATCATATTCATTATTCCTCATTACTCCTAAAGTATCAGAATCCTCCACTCTTTCCATCCGATCATTCTTGGACCAAAATGAAAAATCCTCATTATTCCATCCATCGCCCCATTTATGAGTATTAACACTAGTATAACACCAAAACGTATGCGACATCCCCGCCAGTTCCAATGCATTACAAATAACATCCAAAGCCGCCGTTTGGGCAATATATTCCCCATTCCTAAACGCAAGCTTATTATCCATATCAAATGGCATCCCCGTCTCACTCATCAATATCGGGATTGAACCTAAATGATCATTACATTCTTGTCGAATTTCAAGAAATTGTCGTTTGATACAGTTTCGAATGGCTTTTTCTCCAAGTACGAGTCCAAATATTGGATTCCAGTATCGGCCTCGCATGATCCCAAGGGTGTCGACATTATAGCGAACATTCCAGGATTTGAACATAAGTGACAACCCATCATAATAATGCGGACAATAGACTGTTTTGGCGTCGATGATGTTACGAGGGTCGTTTTTGATATCTGGTGGGATTTCGAGAACGGGGGATTGGAGGAGGATGAAGGATGCTGGGGAGATGGTGCGGATGATTTGTTTGAATTTGAGATAGTGGTCGACGAAATAGGTATTGATGAAGTAATGGATATCGATAATGTTTGGGGATTTGGTTGGATAGTTGGGATCAAGACGTTGGAAATAATGGGGTTCGATTAATTTACATTGAAGATTGGATTGTAATCTTGTCTTTTCCGATAATTGTTGTAATCCTTGGAAATCTAAAAATGGACTCCATTTCCAAATTCCAATATTGGCAAAGATACATTGACCCAATTTCCAGTCAGGATTCCGAACAAATCCATATCGTTTATCGATCGTGACAGCTTCTTCAACAGTTAACCAGGCTCTAACACCTCTCGGGTCAACTAGACGAGTTCCGACCTTGGAAGGACCGGTGATTGAAATTCGATAATCATCAACTTCACATGGGAATCCCATACCTAATTTCATAGCTTGAAATGCAGTTGGGGTAGTACCAACACGTAAATTCTGATAACTTGGAATTTGACCTAAATGAGGATGTCCAATTAAACCACAATTAGGTTCATTCATAGATTCAAATCCAAGTATAGTACCATTAGTGATTAACTCGGGTAATTGCTTACATATTGCTTCCCAAATATGTTTAACTGAATTCAAATAATGTCCCTCTAAGAAATCTTGAATACTTTCACCATTAATTGTCATTTGGGGGAAATAGGTCTTTCCAGCGAAAAACAAAGTAAACATAACCATAGTTGCTAATCTCTTATAATTCGAAGTCCAAAGCATCTTATGATACGTATCACTTGAATCATGGAATCTAGTTTCATTATGTAATACTGCCGCTTCAGTAATTGCAAATCTTTTGGGTTCAAGTCCAGCAGCATATAAAGTCCACATAGGAGCACCACTACCACCACAATATCTTGACCAAACATCCTGATGGAATTCTAAAAAGACATACATTCCACCTACTTCTCCCAATATTGTCAATATTTCAATTGTATATTCAATAAATTCTTCATCATATATCCCAGGGCCAGCATGTTCTATAGCTTCCCAAGTGATCAAGTATCGTATTGTGTTGTATCCCCAGGATTTGATTCTTTTGAAATGCAGCCTGGCTTCAGTGATTGGAAACGGTCTGCCTACGAATGATACACTATCACCATCAAAGAATATACTATTTGGATCGTTTGCTGATCCCGTGTAGGATGGCATTGAAGGCAGGGTAGGATATTTCATGGCCAGGTCGACATTGATTCCTTTTAATGTGACTTTACGTTTAGTTATTGGATCATAGAAGTCACCAGTTGTTGAATCTGTTTCTAATCGAACACAACTTGGAAATGTCGTGTCTCTAGTATTATGGGGCGATTGTTGATGGTCATTTAAGAATTCTACTATTGAATATTTAGCTTCCGAACTTTCATCTTCTTCTTTTGTCATAGTTGTTTCCTGGTGTCTGTCTTTCGTCTATGTGTTTATTGAATCCTTAAGTAGAAACAGACACAGATTTACAAGGATTCTACTTGACTATTAAATACTTAATTAATTATTTACGATTAATTAAATTAAGAGAAGAAATTAAACTGAAAAATTTGCATATGAATTTTTTTGATTTCCTTTTAAAGAAGTTAATCCCCCACTATTATCCCCCACATTATTTTTTAACTACACTAACAAAATAAGTCACATGACAAATGAACCAACCATCAACCACAACATCAACCACAACACTAAAGAACCAATAAAATCATACAGTTCTTAGCTCTTGGGTTCTTGGAAGTAGGAGTGGGGGCAATTCTTATCTGGTTCTTAGGTTAAATATCGGCTTGCCCTCTTTCTTCTCTCTCCCAGCCCCTCTCTGGTTGGGGTGTTGCTAGCACTAGTACAGATTACAGTCATACCGGAGTTAGTAGTATAGATTGACAGGCATTTCTTTACATGAGATAGGAGGAGTAGTGATGAGAAATCCGTTCAATCTCTATGCTACTGAAAATTGGTAAGAGAATTGGAGAGAGGTCTTTTCTTCTTGCGTGTTTCAGCATTAGTAGGAAGATTACATAAAAGAAGGTGCTATCTTCAACTTGAAAAGTCCGAAACAAACTGCCAAGCTTCTTCCTATCCTAATTTATCGCAGCAATGCTTACATCTGCGTGTACTTTTCCATAAATCATTTTATTAGCTATTAAGCATCTAACATATTCTATAGAAATCTATCAAACTCAGCTTTCCTGTTCGTTCTGGAGTTTCTTCTTGTCTGATATTGCATTCTGGATTCTGTATCAGTTCCTGACAAATTTCTATCTCCTTCTCTTTGAACTTATCCTCCAATCATCCGAATTCCTGGAAGACAAAGGTATAATCTTCTGTTGTTTCTTCAGTTCACTAATCAGCTTCGGATCCCCCTTCATAAAAAACCTAGGAGCCAATTCATAAAACCATTTCGGTTCAACCACACAAACACAATGCATATATTCTTTAGTAGTCAATAATAAAGTATGATATATCAAATATTCCGGATTTTTCCCAAATAACGAAGAAGATGGATGTAAATAAACAGGAGTTTGTTCAACTAGGGTTTTATAACCTTCATACATATCTCTCTTGACTGAATTCTTGAAATATCCCGCACATAAAGTCATCCTAATTCGATCAGTATTATTTCCACATGATCTGATTTGATGGCCGAATTTAATCATGATTGTTTTGAGTTGTTTTCGCACCTCCATAGCACGTTTCATACTTCTTTCTTGAATGAAATTATCCTGACACCAGGTCTTATTTTGATTATTCAATTGCCACAGTTGAAATACATTCAATAGGGTTAAATGATCACCCAACGGATGATGAAATCTAGCTTTTCTCTGATCGGCAAGATTTTGTTTATCCTTAGGACGAAAGAATATCGTTTGGACCGATAACATCGCCACAATACTCAAGATCTCATCCGTGCATCCATATTCCACCGATTTGATCAATGTCTTAGCCAAGGCGGGTTCCATTGGAAGATCAGCCATTTCTCTCCCCAAAGCAGTCAAATTCCCATCATCATCCAACGCATCTAATGCATATAAATCCTGCAACGCAACCAACATGGTATTCATTGATGGCGGATCCATAAATTCAAAATTCAACAAATCGTTAATCCCCATAGCTTTAAGCATCAATATCGTACTGGCAAGATTCTTTCTCTGAATCTCAGGGACGGAATTCGGTAACATTTCCGACATGTATGCTTTTTCGGTATATAATCGATAACATTTCCCAGGACCAGTTCTACCTGCTCTCCCGCTTCTTTGATTCGCTTGAGCTTGACTGATGGGCACGACTCTCAAACTGTCCATACCTAATTTGGGATCATATGCGTTCACTTTCACAAACCCCGGGTCGACGACATAATAGATCCCATCGATGGTGATTGAGGTTTCAGCAATATTGGTAGCTAAGATGACTTTCCTGGATCCTGGCGGGGTAGGTTCGAAGATTCGGGTTTGGATTTCTGAAGGAAGGGCGGAATAGACGGGGAGAATGATTAATTCGGGAACGGCTTCTCCTAAGATTTTCATACGTTCAAATAAGACTTCACAACTGGTGTCGATTTCTTCTTGACCCGTTAGGAATACTAATATATCCCCTGGGGGTTCAGATATGTGGATTTGCATTACTGAATCTAACGCAGCTGCGAGATAATCCACCTCTGGTTCTCGGGTATGTAAGATTTCCACGGGGAAGGTTCGACCTGGGATTGATAATATTGGACAATCATTGAAATATTTCAGAAACTTATCGGAATCTAATGTGGCGGAAGTGATTATGACTTTTAGATTTGGATTCTTCAATGCTGCTCGTTTTAATAATGAAAATAATACATCGGTAGCAATTGTTCTTTCATGGGCTTCATCCAACATAATGACCGAGTATTTAGACATATATGGATCATTCAATGCTTCTCGTTCCAACATCCCATCAGTCATGTATTTTATCGTAGTTCTTGGGCTTGTCTTATCTTCAAAACGAATAGAATAACCTACTTCTTCTCCTAATGTACATCCAACTTCTTCCGAAACTCTCTTGGCAACAGATACGGCGGCAACTCTTCTCGGTTGGGTACAACCAATGATTTTGAAACGGTTATCTTCTGGCGATTTATTGATACCTTCTTCATAGATGTATTGAACGATTTGAGTGGTTTTTCCTGAACCAGTTTCACCCACAATAACTAAGAATTGATTATTTTTTATACTTTCTACTAGTTCTGAACGCATTGAATAAACTGGTAATAGCCTTCGTTGTTCTTCTATAGGTAAATTGGTTCTCTTTCCATATGTGATATTTTTCTTCAGTTCTGCTATTTTCCATTCAGAAATGATAGCTTCAGTCTTAATTGCCACTTCATCCGATTCTAATTCTTTAACCGGTTCACTTCTTTGAAATAATGGATCATATGAATCTATATTAGTAGATTGTTGCCGTATTTCTTGTTCTTTCTTTCGCTTTTCTTTAAGTTTTTCATTTTTGAATTCTCGAACAAATTTAGAACCTTCATTTGCTAGTTTAGTCATTGATCCTGGGGCTTGGGAAATATTAATTGATGATGATGGTTTTTCATTTTCTAAAGTTTGTCCTTCTAAGAATTTTGGTTTGATTTTATTCAATTCAATTTCAGTTTCAAGTTCAGGTTCATGTTTTTTAGTGAATCCAAAGCCATCATTATCTTGGCTTTCAGAGTCTTCGTCATCACCCTCTTCTAGTTCGGGATAATCATCAGCTGAAGCTGCTCCAGATGCAATCAATTGTCGTATTTCCCATCTTTCAGGCGATGTTAATTTCCTCTTCACTCCTCTCCCGTTCCCTCTTGACCTGTTCCTTCCTCGTTCAATATTATCATGATTGGAACTAATATCAACTACCAATCCCGTCTCCTGATCGATTCCTCTCATAGATAACGAAATTCTTTTCCTTCCATTTATGTACTTTATCTCAGTAGGCTTGACAAATACTTGTTGATCTAATTGTAAGACAGACTCAGGTGATTTTAATCTAGATCCATCGAATGAAATTTGGGAAATATGACATAGACCAGATTGATATGATTGTGGGGAATTCAATCGTATGAATGCTCCGTAGGGGGTTATATCACTGATATAGCCTCTATATACTTTTCCAACTTCTATTGTTTCTTCTTGATTTCTATTGTTTCGAGGATGTCGTTGTGAGGGTTCTAGTGTTGGTTTTGTATCTGGTTGTATTGGAGTTGGTTCAGTATCTTGTGAGATCTTGTGGTTGTATATTATATCGAATATTTGTTTTCCAAACTCTCGAGGGAAGTCATCTCCTCCATTTTCTTTTAGGATCTTTTCAAATGTTGTTAAACAAGTTGATCTATTGGTGGAAGAAGTGCTGGTTGCTTCTTTGAATAAATTTAATAAGAATTTAGTAATTGTTAAATCTTCGTCATTGATTTGTAAACTTGAACGTATTTGTTTAGATATAGCTTTGTTTAATATGCTGTCCTTCTCTGAGCTATCATTAGTTTGCATCGTTAGTTTATACAAAGGATGAGACAAGATGAGATGAGATTAATTAGAATGATTTTTATTTTTTAATTTTTTTTATTTTTGTTTTTGATATCGGAGTTTTGTTAAACATTCCCCGTAGATTCTAGTCAACAACGACAATTACCCATTAGAAAACTCATAGAGCTTGTCTACATATTTAGAATACATCGCAGTACAAAGGAACATACTTTCTTATCTGAAATACGAAAAGTTGCTTAACTGTCCAAATCAAATGCAAATCTCATTTTTTTATTTTTCGAAGAAATCATTGACAATATCGAAAAAAAAAGCCCATTACTAACCCCAAGAATCGTCTATACTCTGCTTTGCCCATGCAACCTCTTCTAGCTTCATTATTTGGACAAGGCCAGTTAGTTAAGGTGCAAAAAATAAAAGGTCGTACCCGGATTCGAACCGGGGTTGTTCGGATCAAAACCGAAAGTGATAACCACTACACTATACAACCCGTTTTTCACGACTTTGGAAAATTTGTGGCCAGGCGATTTTGTCAATGAAAATCAGAAATGGTTAGAATGGAACTTATTATTCAAGTTATAGCTTCTATAATTGCAGGGACTGTTCTTCGGTTCAAAGATTTGCTTGTAAAGTTCTAACTATAAGTTTCTCTGAAGTTTGTGTGATGGAATAACCAAAATCAATGGAAAATTGGATATTTTCACAGTTATCTAAGAAGCTTGTTGAACTATGGTCATTTCACCTCATATAGACACTCCGCTTGTTTCTTCAATGGTAGGAGAATATAAGGTTAACAATCATTGAATACATGTGTAATGAAAATTCATTGTAATTTTGTTCATAAAAATTTAACAAACGAATGGAACTCTCATAAGAAAAAAAAAAAGTTGGCGTAAACAATGGCTGCAATTTTTACCAATTTTTGCAGAAATATTCAATGACAATAAAGCGTTTCCTATCGCTTGGTTCCACTTATGAAACTTGTGGATGGTGCATAGGATAATAATTTCACCATTGAATGACACCCCCTCCTGCTTCGATTTCCCAAACGAAACATTTCTCCACCATCAAATCAAAAACTCAAATTTCCACCGCCACCATTGGAGTTCTTCCGCCACCACCAGAACCAAAACCCAACTTCAAATCTCCACCATCAACATTCACATTCTTCCACCACGATAGTCAAAAAGGAAATGACAATCTCCACTATTGAAACCGATCCAAGACCACCATTGAAATCAAAACTAAAATCCCAATCAATTTCATTGAAACCCACATTCAAATCACCATCACCAAAATTGAAAATGGCATTGAAGCATGCATCACCTCTATTGAGATTCCTTCTGAAATCTCCAAAAAAGCCATTGAAATCTCCATAACCACAATTTAAGTGTCCATCAAAATCCACGTCACCATCCATTGAAATTGTCCATTGCCAAAATTGAAATCCTAATTTAAGTCTTGATCACAAACATTCTCATTCCATCCTAGATTAAGCCAAACCTTCTCGCCTGAAATCAGATTAAAAACCAATCACACAAAACTAACCATTGGTCAGGTGGCTAATTAAGCATGAAAGGATTTACACTGATGCAGGGAAATCCAGTCAAAACTCTCTCCAAGTTGTCTAATGATCACCAATTCATCTTCATGATTTTGTTAATTCTTTTGTATTTTAATATAATAAATTGTGATTTTAGGAATATTGATAATTAATGAAATATGGCAGCAGATTGAATGATAATTGCTTCTTTTTCAATTATAATAACAAGCACAACAATGGGTATTTGTTTTATCTGAATAGGATGAATGATATTTGAGTTTGACTTGGGAGATTCCTAAATTCTTTTTGTACACTTTCAGTTTCAATTCCAGTTCTTGTAGAGTTTTTAAAAATTTGAAAGGAAGGAAGCTTCAGAATTTACTTCAATGCTGCACTGGAAGTATTGTTTGTGGATAAAGGAGTAATATTGGAATGTTGATCGTCGTTGGAAGGTTTCAATCTAGTTTCTGTGGTTTAATTTCATTTCTTTGGCCCAATTGCCACAAATAAGTCTCATTTTCCCTCTAACAATTTCACCACAGCAATACTTCTTTGAACATTGAATGACACAGACTCTTTTGTTGGATTGATGAGATCGAGTGTGGGAAAACAGAGTATATTGTTGAATTGGTGGATTTCTTTGTGGAAAGTAAAGAAGAAAAGAAAAGGATAACTGAAGTTAACATTTTAATTTTTTCGCAATCTGGCGTCTAAACATTGCTGCAAAATTTCCTAGTGCTTTTGCAATAAACACAAAAAAAACAACAATAAAAAAGAATCTAGACCATCCACACACCAACACACAGACCAATTCTTCTAGACATTATAATTAACCAAGGTGGTTAAGGATACCTTGGGAAGGGGATTTATCTCAGAAACTATTTCTTTTATGATGTATAAAATAAACAGTACAACTAAACTAAGACGTTCATTCTCGGTTGGAATAAATGATAATTTTAAATTGATATATCAATAGGGTAAAGTATATTCATTCCATCAATTGGAAGTTCAAATAATGTCTTTAGAACTGCCATCTTCCGGCCCCACTAAAGCTTATCGCGTCATCATTATTGATAGGTGTGTTGGAATGGGTTAATGAGGAACTCCTCGTCCCTAAATGAGGCAATATTTCACAATATGAGAAGGCTCTAAGCTTGCTTCACTGGCGAAAATAGCATTTAACTCTCTCCTAAGTATCCGTCGTGTCAAATGACCCTGATTTAGTCCAATATTATCAGATCTTCTTCTTGTCTTAGTGGATAAAAGAGAGTATACAATTATTTGCAACCAAATTTTTTTCTTACAACCAAATTGGAATTGCTCCATCGTTTTCTTGCAAGGAATTTAATTAAATTTGAAGAAGCTAACCATAAAGGATTTCTTATTACCAAACCAACCCATAGAACACTTCTTATTGGATGTTAAGCTTCCAAAATTATATAGTACGAGTAAATATGAAAGGAATAAAATCAATCCAGGTTTTGGTACATATTACACGACCGTTTTTTTTCTGTTGTCAATTTTTCAGATTTTTGACAAAGAAATAAATTGCCACCATCTAACTCAACATCATCCTCAATAGAGTTAGTTAAGTAACAATGTCAAGAGAAGATCCAATTAAAGCCGAGAAGGATTTCTCAGCAACATTAGATGAGCAATTCCCACTTATTGAAAAACTTCCAGATTATAAACAAGCACTTGATAAATATTTGGTATTAGAAAAACAAACCCGTCAATCATCAGATTTAGCATCTTCCAAAAGAGTTCTTGCAAGAATTGTCAGTACTCTTATTGATAATGAAGATTGGGAATATTTGAACGATTTGATTACCATATTATCCAAGAAACATGGACAATTAAAATCTTCTATTCAAGCTTTCATTGGTCAAGTGATTGATAATTTAGATAAATTGAATGAAAGCCATAAGAAAGAATTGGATATGAAGATTAAGATAATTGAAACAATTAGAACAGTTACTGATAAAAAGATCTTTGTTGAAGTTGAAAGAGCCGTAGTTTCTAAGAAATTGGCTGAAATTTATTTAGATAAATTTAATGATTTAGATAAAGCAGTTGATATCTTATGTGATTTACAAGTTGAAACTTATTCATTAATGCCTTTTAGTGATAAGATTGAATATATCTTACAACAAATCAAATTAACATTACAAAAGGGGGATTATAATCAAGCTAGAATATTAAGTAGAAAGATTTTATTAAAATCTTTAAAGAATTTCGAAAAAGCTGATGAATTTAAATCAATTTATTTGAAATATTTAATTGAAATTAGTATCTTTGACTATGATTATATTTCGATTGTTAAGAATTTATTATTATTAATTGATATTCCATTAATTAAAGAAACTAAAGAAGAATACAAGAGTTATTTAGTTGAAATTGTTTATTATATCATTTTATCACCTTATGATCCTCATCAAAATGATTTAATTAATAAAATTAAACAAAATCCAATATTCGCCAAGAATGTTGATTCCCAAGTTTTCAAATTATTAGATATTTTCACTACAAATGAACTAATTCATTGGTCAAATATTGAATCTCTTTACAAGGATTATTTCCAACAATCTTCAATTCTTAAAAATGAAACTAATTTTAAGAACTTACAAAAGAGAATTATCGAACATAATCTTAGAATTATTAATAAATTCTATCAATTTATAAAATTAGAAAGATTAGCATATCTTTTACAATTATCAATAGATGAATCAGAACAATATGTTAGTGAGTTAGTTAACCAAGGGATGATTTCAGCAAAGATTAACCGTCCTCAAGGTATAATCAAATTTGATAAAACAAAGTCAGAAGGAAATACTACAACTACTGATTCTACATCTGCTGATCATAATGTTAATGTATTGTTGAATGATTGGTGTTATGATATTGATAAATTATTAGAAGAAGTTGATAGTATTGGTCATTTGATTAATAAAGAAGAAATGATGCATGGTATTAAACAGAAAGTTAAGTAGATTCACTCAACGTATATATAAATTCAATAAAAAGTTATTCGATCATTACCCTCCATCTGATTCATGTTGTCTTCTGCATCCGGATGTATGTTATTTTTCTCTCTCATTACAATACAATTGAACGTCCAATCCCCCAAATAGAACACGTTCTAGTCTTCACCTATAATCATACCGAGATTCTTTACGGTAATGGTCTAAAGTACGGGTGAAGCATTACTGAAGGAAAACTCTACAATCAAGGAATCCCCCACCCTACTTCCTAAAGAAGAAAGCTCCCCCTGTTGCCTGTGGTAGTACTTCCTAAATAGGAAATCATTCCAGTAGTATAACCTCAAGCCCCATTCCTCTCCAAGATTTCAAAAAGCTCTATATAAACAACCAATTCCACCCCAAAAGTCCCAATTAACCTACTCTTCTCATCATGGAATCAACAAGTTCATATTCAGCCAAAAATGACAAAACAACCAATTCCAATTGATTTCGATATCGATTCAATTATCGATCAATTAACATTGTCTGAAAAAATCTCCTTGTTAGCTGGTTATGATTTCTGGCATACCACACCAATCCCACGACTCGGTATCAAAAGTGTAAAAGTCACCGATGGACCACAAGGTGTTCGTGGATCAAAATTCTTCAACAGTGTTCCGGCAAATTGTTTCCCTTGTGGTACTGGACTCGCCTCAACTTTCAATCAATCCTTATTGGTCGAAGTTGGACAATTGTTGGGGTATGAATCGAAATTAAAGGGGGCTCATGTTGTGCTTGGTCCGACTTGTAATATTGTGAGGGGTCCTGTTGGAGGTAGGGGGTTTGAAAGTTATTCTGAAGATCCAGTCTTGAGTGGTATTGCTGCTGGTAGTGTCATCTCGGGGATTCAGAAGGAAGACGTGGTGGCATGTATTAAGCATTTTGTGTGTAATGATCAAGAAACTGAAAGGAAAGCTGTGAATGTTGTGATTAGTGAACGTGCATTGAGGGAGATTTATTTGAAGCCTTTTCAAATTGCAATTCGTGATTCTTGTCCTGGGGCGGTGATGGCTGCGTATAATAAGATTAATGGGGTTCATGTTTCTCAGAATAAGAAATTGTTGAATGATGTGTTGAGAGAAGAATGGGGTTGGGATGGGATGGTGATGTCGGATTGGCATGGAGTTTATTCGACTAAAGAATCTTTGGATGCTGGATTGAATTTAGAAATGCCGGGTCCAACTAGATTTAGACAAGAATTACCATTGACTCATTCTATTCAAACTAATGAAATCCATCGTGATGTGATTGATGATAATGTTAGACAGGTTTTAAAATTGGTTCAGAAGAGCTATAAGGCAAATATCCCAGATGATGCCATTGAAGTCCCTAATCCTTCAAAAGAAGCCGAAGCATTACTTAGAAAAGTTGCCAATGAATCAATTGTCTTATTAAAGAATCAAGATAACATTTTACCATTACCAAAAGATGTCACTCCTGATATTAAAACCATTGCAGTCATTGGTCCCAATGCTAAAGTCGCTCAAGATTCCGGTGGTGGGTCCGCATCATTGAATGCTAGATATAAAATCACTCCATTCGATGGGATTAAGGAAAAACTCAAAGATAGTTCAATTGAATTAACCTATGCGCTTGGAGCATACTTAGACCGTAATTTGCCCGATGTTGGACATGTATTGATAAACAACGAAGGCAAACCAGGTATCACCGGGAAATTTTACAAACAACCCCCTGGCACATCTGGTGATCGTGAATTATTTGAAGAATACCAATTATCTACATCCAGATTATTCCTTTCCGATTTTAAAAGTGATAAATTAGACAGAAATCAATTATTATTCTATGCTGATTTCTTAGGAACTTATATCCCTGATGAAAGTGGTGAATATTATTTTGGTTGTTCTTGTTTAGGTACTGCTCAAATCTTCGTTGATGATAAATTAATCGTCGATAACAAAACCAAACAAGTCAAAGGAGATGCATTCTTTCTCGGATTGGGGACCAGAGAAGAAAGAAATTCAATGTATTTGAAGAAAGGAGTAAAATATCAAGTTAGGGTTGAATTTGGTTCTTCTCCAAGTTATACCTTAAACAAAGCCGCTCTTGAAGGTGGTGGAGTTTTCTTTGGTATTCAAAAGAAAATCGCTCCTGAAATTGCAATTCAAGAAGCTGTCGATGTTGCCAAAGCTGCCGATGCTGTTGTGTTAGTGGTTGGACTTTCTAAAGAATGGGAATCTGAAGGATTTGATCGTCCAAATATGGATATTCCAGGATATACAAATCAATTAATCCAAGAAGTATCAAAAGTAAATTCCAACATTGTGGTTGTGAATCAATCAGGTACTCCAGTTACTGTATTACCTTGGATTGATAACGTTAAAGGGTTTGTTCAAGCTTGGTATGGAGGTAATGAATTAGGAAATAGTATTGCTGATGTGTTATTTGGTGATCATAATCCAAGTGGGAAATTATCAATTAGTTTCCCCAAGAGATTTGAAGATAATCCTTCATATCTTAATTTCGGATCTAGTGATGGACAAGTTATCTATGGAGAAGATGTATTTGTTGGTTATAGATATTATGAGAAAGTTAAAAGAGATGTCTTGTTTCCATTTGGATTTGGTTTATCATATACTAAGTTTGCTATTGGCGATCTTGAATTGGTTGTAGATGAAAATGAAGGAACGTTGTTAGTAACAGTTTCAGTTTCAAACAAGGGTGAACTTGCTGGTGCTGAAGTTATTCAATTATATGTTCAAGAACATAATCCTCAAGTAATTCGTCCAGTGAAAGAATTAAAAGCCTTTGAAAAGGTTTATTTAGTTCCTGGAGAAACCAAGAGAGTTTCAATGTCAGTTTCCATCAAAGAAGCAACATCTTATTGGAACAATTACAAAAACAAATGGCAATCCACCAAGGGTAAATATTCTGCATTAGTAGGTAATAGTTCAGACAACATAATTATTCAACAAGAATTTGAAACAACTAAAACCAAATTCTGGTTAGGTGTCTAGATATATATATAGAAGAAGAAGTATATAAATTAAGTAATTAGTAACAATCTCAATTAAGCTGAACATAATTTCCTGGGAATGCCCCAGTTTGACCATTATATCTTCCGGTCCACCATCCATTAGCATCTTGAGTTCTCTCCACTACTTCAATTAATGCACCTGCCGGGAATGTCAAATCTCCTTGTGCTTGTGCAGTATAGTCATACAAAGCAGTACATGTTTGCACTGCCGAAGAAGCAGCAGGGACAGCACTTGGAGGAGCACTGATAGGGGTGGCAGGCATTCCAGCTACTGCACCATAACCAGGAGGAGCCGCACCAGGTGTGGCGGAACCCGGAACAGGTGAAAAAGAACTAGTTGTAGTAGCAGTTGAAGGTGATTGATATCCTCCATAAACAGGAGCTTGATAACCTGGACCTTGAGGGTTCTTTACATCAGCCCCATAAGTTTGACCATATTGACCTGGGGTGTATGCTGGTAATTGTTGGCCTGGAGCACCTGGAGCACCTGGGACACCACCTACGGTTGGACTACCTGGAGGACTATTCATCATTGCATGACGTCTCTTTGTAGCTTCTAATTTCGATTTAGCATGACCAATTTTAAAATGGGTAATACTAATTGCATCAGTTTGTTCTTCAATATTTCCCTTTTTAAAATTATAAGCTTCCACAATATCTGTAGTTAAATCAAAATAAGGAATTTTTAATTCTTCCATCCTAGTATATAAAGTATAAAAGATATTCAATTGCATATAATATAAACTGACAAAAAGGGGTCTAATAAAATCAGTTTGCATTTGAAATAAGATTGGTAATTCATTTTTTAACATATCATTATAATAATCATATTCTTGTTGAGCAATTTGAACTTCAGCTTCAGCAGTATACATCTTTTCTTCATCTTTTGCAGTTCTTTCCTTTTTATCTTCATATTTTTTATGATTTCTTCGATAACGATCTAAATCTAATTGTTTATGATCTCTTTTAACTGACATTTTTCTAATTGAAGCAATAATTTTTAATAATTCTTGAGCTGGTTCAACAATTCTCTTTTCTATTAATTCTAAATCAGGTTTTAAAGTTTCTTTTAATTCTTTAACAACTTCACGATATTGTTCAGCAGCTTGAATTCCTTCTGGATTATCTTCAGGTACAGTACTAGTAGGATCAGATAATCTACCACTAATTGGTTTATAAATTTCTTCAAAGGCTTTAGAGAAATCAATTTGATAATCTAACATTCCATTAACAGCATTAAAATATTTCTTTGATTCATCACTTAATTTCTTAGTTTCAATTTCAATTTCTTTAAATCTACGTTCAGCATCTTGATAAACAGCATCCATTGTTATATCACCCATATTCATCTTTTGACGGAAAGTTTGTGGTGCTCTAACAAGAGTCTTCTTAACTCCCTTGAATGACATTATTAGTTATTGGTTACTTCTCTTTGTCAATTGATTATGATGAATGTAATTGAGTGTAATTATATATAATTAGAGATTGTTTTACGTTGGTATTTTTTTTGTCTCTGTTCCTTGTCTTTTGCTTCGTCGGTTAGTATGGGAATTTCAATTGTTAGAAGGGAGGATGAGAAGGAGGTTAAGGAAAGAACTTAAGGGGGTGGGCGGCAATTTCGAAAGTGCGTAAAATTTTAAGCCGCAGCAGAAAAATGATCTTTTTTGTATTGGTCGTGTAATTGGGTACAAAAGTGTAAGTTTATACAAAATTTTGATTTGCTGCAAATTATTTACAAACAACTAGAAACCAACACAGAGAATACACAAGTGATAAAGTAAAAGAGGTATGTTAACTAAACAAAGAATCAAAGTAGAATTATATGTCAGAGAGATTGGAAATAGATTTGAACACTTTATATCAATTTTCTTTCTACCAATTGCATTCATACAAACAATAATTAAATTAGTAAATTGTTTTACAACCAACAACAATCATCAACAATCCATCAATCCAACAGAAGAAGAAACCAATAAAACAGTATGTTTCAGTTGTAGAATCACCCTGAAAATTGATTTAATATCCAAAAACTTAAATTCAATTCCAGACAGAGCATTTTATTTGGCTGATAGATATTTATTCCATTCTCCGTTTTGCTTGTTAAATAAAGTTGGTTATAAAAAGCTGCAATATATTCTTGATGGAATTTATTTGAGTAGAAATGAAGGCTATAATGATTACTTACTAAAGGAAGCAAATATCAGCAAAACTGCTAAAGATAATATAAAGAATAATAACAGTATTAATAATATGAACCACGTAAGAGAATTGGAAGCGCCGAAGGACAAATCGTTGCTTAATACCTTTAGCCAGCAAGAAAGCAAGTCCCAAGAATCTTCAACTACAAACCCCCTTCAGAAGGTCACATCTATGGAAATAAAGAGACCCAATTCTAGTCCAACCGGCACCAAAGGTAATACCAAAACCAAACTTTCATTTCTGATCCCGGCCAATAGTAATAAGGTGATTCTTCAACTAAAAGGTAATCGAAGTAATCATTTCCAAACAGTAACAAGTTCAATATCTCCTCACGATACCGAATATGTTGCTCGCGTATCAGAAGCAATACGGAAAGTATTCTCAATTGAAAATTATGATGATGGTTCTTTAGCGCCAATAATTTTACGATTATCATGGCATTGTTGTGCAACGTATAATAAGTATACGGGAATTGGAGGATCTAATGGTTCAACCATGAGATTCGTGCCCGAAATTACTGATGAAGGAAATACCGGTTTAGATATTGCTAGAGGTGCTTTAGAACCTATTAAACAACTATTCCCCAAGATATCTTATTCTGATTTATGGACATTAGCTGGAAAAATTGCTGTTGAAGAAATGGGTGGACCAACCACAATAGATTGGAAACCTGGAAGAGTTGATTGTCGTGATAAAGAATTTGTTCCTCCAAACGGATATTTACCATTTGCTGACAAAGATGTCAACCATATTAGAACCGCCTTTGAAAGAATGGGAATGAATGACAAAGAAACCGTTGCACTTTTGGGTGCACATTGTCTCGGAAGATGTCATAAACGATTTAGTGGCTGGGAAGGAAAATGGACACCACACCCAATTTCATTTACAAATGAATTTTTCATAGTATTATTAAATGAAAAATGGACTTTGGGTACAGTTCCTGAAACTGGAAGACAACAATTTTATAATGAAGATCGATCTTTAATTATGTTGAATACAGATATGGAATTATTAAATGATGAAAATTATTTACGGTGGGTAAAAATATTTGCTGAAGATAAGGATATATACTTCCGAGACTTTTCAGAGGCATTTGGTAAATTATTAGAATTAGGAATTGAACGTGATTCTAATGGAATGGTTCTTCCCAAGAAGAGATATTAGAAAAAAAATAAATCCAAGCAAAAATGTTACTTTGCTACCAGAGTGGATGGGGAGAAGGTTACAAATTTCACAACCAAGTTGCAACAATCACAATAAAGAATTAACGGTTAAATCGTATGCGGCTCAACGGTTTCTTTCCTAATTAAGATGCAATTTTTCGCAGCTGCTGATGTTTGTTTGTTGATTCACAAAAAGAAATTATTAAAAAGTGGGAAAGTTTAAAAATTGGATTGATTAATAATCTCCGACCGAGAACCAAAAAAAAATCATCCAATTTTGTTCCAAAGTCCATTTTTGAATCCTTTTTTTATTTTAATTTTTATTACATTTTGTATTTTGTAATTATCAAATAACAAACCACACTATGGCTGTTGAATCATTAAATATGGAAGACTTTGATGTTTTCCCAACTTCAGGATTCTTACCGGATAAGTTACCATTGGTAAGATTACCTCAAGAATATTATAAACCTTGGGAAGATATAGTCAACAATCTTCCTGCACTTCTTTTGACTAGAAGAATTAGATCTGTTATTGATCAACTTCCATTATTAGATACTTGTTATCTTTCTAATGAAGAAGAATATAGAAGAGCCTATCAAGTATTCGGTTTCTTAGCCCACGCATATATTTGGGGAACAGATGAACCAACCAATAAATTACCAGAACAAATTGCAAACCCTTGGATTAAAGTATCTAAATATCTTAGATTACCACCAGTAGCTACATATGCCGGTTTATCACTTTGGAACTTTAAACAGATCATTCCAACTGCTGAAGGTGAAGATATATGGGATTTAAACAATTTAACTACCATAAATACATTTACTGGTTCAATTGATGAAAGTTGGTTTTTCTTAGTTAGTGTTTATTTTGAACAAAAAGGTGGTCGTGCTATAGCCACCGGGTTAGATGCTATAAAATGTGCTTATAATAATGATATACCGGGATTAATTGCCAATTTACAACAATTAGCTGAATCTATTGATATGTTAGGATCTGTTTTGATGAAGATGGAAGAAATGTGTGACCCACATGTATTTTATTTTAGAATTAGACCATATTTGGCGGGATGGAAGAATATGGCTGATGTAGGATTAGATAAAGAAGGTATTTTATATGGAAATGAAACAAAACCAAGATCATATTCTGGTGGATCAAATGCTCAAAGTTCATTAATTCAATTTTTGGATATTTTGTTAGGAGTTAAACATTATTCAACTGGTGAAAGACCATTACCATTCCGTAAAGATGAAGGCAGTAATACTGACGCCAAATCTAAAGCTCCTGAGAATAGTTTTATGAATGAAATGAGACAATATATGCCAGGTCGTCATCAAGATTTCTTAATTAAACTTGAAGAAATTTCAAATATTCATGAATTTGTATTAACTCATGGAGATTCCAATCCAAATTTGATATTAAGTTATGATGCCTGTTTAGCTATGTTAAAGCTGTTTAGAGATAAACATATCCAAATTGTAACCAGATATATTGTATTACAAGCCAAAAAGACCAATAAATTAGGTTCTTCAACAACTTTAAGATCAGGATTAGCTAGAAAAAAGAAAAATGGAGCAGAAGAAAAGGGAACCGGTGGTACTTCTTTATTACCATTCTTAAAACAATGTAGAGATGAAACTGGTGATCCTGCTGCTGGTAGTTGGGGTAAAAGAATTCTTAGTGATGGTGTTATGAGATTGAAATATTCAAAATCAAATGCAATTAATGAAGATTAAAATCAATGTTTGGGATAAATTACAATTAGGGAACAAGAAAAGAAGAGTAAATAAATATACGTATATATATATTATATAGTAGAGAATCAATAGATATAGCTTTTATATGAATTGAATCATAATCTCTCTCTTTCTCTCTCTCTTTGTTTGTTGTTCACGAAAAGAGTCAAAGGAAGAAAAAAAATTTTCAGTTTCGTTAATTAAAAATTGAAACTGTTTGTAAAAATTTCAAATGATTAACATTCTTGAATGTTTCGAAGATTATTATCAACAAGAATAATATATAGAAACATGTCAACTGTTGCATCAGATACTACTCCAGTAGTTGCATCCGCAGCTGCTACTGTCACTAAAGCTGTCACTCCAGTTGACTCCAAAAAACAATCGAAAAAGAACAAGAAATCCAAAGCCTCATCCGATTTCTTATTAAAAACACCAAAAGGTACCAAAGATTGGGCTGATAAGGATATGGTCATCCGTGAATCCATCTTCCACACCCTTTCTACTCTTTTCAAAAAACATGGAGGTGTTACTATTGATACTCCAGTTTTTGAACTTCGTGAAATTTTAACTGGGAAATATGGTGAAGATTCAAAATTGATTTATAATTTAGAAGATCAAGGAGGAGAATTGACAAGTTTAAGATATGATTTAACGGTTCCATTTGCTAGATTTGTGGCGTGTAATAGTATTAGTAGTATTAAAAGATATCATATTGCTAAAGTATATAGAAGAGATCAACCGGCAATGACAAAAGGTAGAATGAGAGAATTTTATCAATGTGATTTCGATGTGGCTGGGAATTATGACACTATGGTTCCTGATTCCGAAATTCTTAATATTTTATGTGAAGGTTTAACTGGTTTAGGAATTTATGATTTTAAAGTGAAATTAAATCATCGTAAGATTTTAGATGGGATTTTTGAAGCTTGTGGAGTGAAATCTGAAGATGTTAGAAAAGTTTCTTCTGCCGTTGATAAATTAGATAAATTACCTTGGGAAGCAGTTAAGAAAGAAATGGTTGTTGAAAAGGGACAACCTGAAGAAGTTGCTGATAAAATTGGTGAATTTGTCAAATTTAATGGTACAATTCGTGAAGTATTAGCAATTTTAAATCAAAGTGAATTATTAACTTCTAATGCATCTGCAAAACAAGGTATGGAAGAAATGGAAATTTTAGCAGATTATGTTGATGCATTTGATATTGATAAATTTATTAGTTTCGATTTATCTTTAGCTAGAGGTTTAGATTATTATACTGGATTAATTTATGAAGCAGTTACTGCTGCTTCAGCTCCACCTGAAAATGCCAATGAAATTAAAGAAAAGATTACTCAAAAGGAATCTGCTTCTAAAAATAAGAAAGAAGCTGCCGCTTCTAAAGAAGTTGAAATTGAAGATGCTTCAGAATACGTTGGTGTTGGTTCGATTGCTGCAGGTGGTCGTTATGATGGATTAGTTGGTATGTTTTCTAATGGTAAATCAATTCCTTGTGTAGGTATTTCATTTGGGGTTGAAAGATTGTTTTCCATTATTAAAGCTAGAGCCAATAAAGATTTAGAAAAGATTAGTGCCAACCATACTGATGTCTATGTTATGGCATTTGGAGGAGGTGAAGGATGGAATGGATTCTTGAAGGAACGAATGCAAATTACTAATCAATTATGGAAAGCTGGTATTAATACTGAATATTTATACAAGACCAAGGCTAATATTCGTAAACAATTTGATTCTGCAGAAAGATCAGGGGCTAAGATTGGAGTTATTCTTGGAAAAGAAGAATATCCAGCTGGTCAATTGAGAATCAAAATGTTAAGTCAAGGTGCTGAAAGTGATGAAGGAGAATTGATCAAGGTTGAAGATCTTGTTGAAGTTGTAAAGAATAAACTTGCCTCATTCCATGAAGATGGTATTGATGATATCACTCGTATCATAAAGAATCTTTAGAAATAGAACTATCAACCCTTATAAAATCTAATGTATATAAAGCATATAAACTTAAAGCTAAACTAAAACTAAAAACACTTGTAAAAAACGTCCCGTTGTATGAATCTAAAAATACCCAATATCTAATGTTCTTTTTCTAATTTTCATCTAATTTATCAATCTTTTGACCATCCTTTTCCTTTCCTTCACGTTTAACTCTATTCCATAAAGTATTAACATCATTAAAAATAAACCACCAGATAACTCCACACCAAGAATTAACTTGTGGTAATGGATCATAAAATTCAGCTGCCATTTTTCTTAATTCAGGTAATTTAGTCCAAGCAATATATGGGAAATCATGATGTTCATTATGATATCCAACATTCCATGTAACTAAATTAAGTGCTCCATAATAAGAATAAGTTTCTGCTGGTAATAATTCTTTTGAAATATTAGTACCTTTAATCTTTTCATATTTAGGAGCATTATTTTCATTCAAAACATAATGTTCAGCAATAAAATGTCCAGCACAAGGATGTAAAGATCCTGCCAAGAATGAACTCATTATAAAATATCCAAAAGCTTTCCAACCAAATGATTTAACCATAATGAAATCAATAATTATTTGCCAAATGATATTTAATAAATGAATATAAGTGAATTTAATTTGAGTTATAAACATTGGTCTAAGAGCATAGAAAAAGATTTGAAAGGTTGCAAAGAATACTTTCCCTAATATTGATGAAAGAAACATTGCTTCAAATCTTGTTGGTAAATCAGTATCCAAATAATTATCTCCCAAGAATTTATGATGTAATTGATGATAAGGTTGGAAAGAAGCTGAATATGGAATACCAATTGGAATATTAGCAAATATAGCAAATAATTTATTATGTAATGGTTTTTTAAATAATAAATTATGAGATAATTCATGAATAGCTAAAAAGATAGCTTGATTTGAAGTAGCACCAATCACGTATGCCAATAACATATATTTCCAACTCAAAACAGGAGTATTTCTTAAATAATAAGCAATACTACATTGTAATGCAACAACAGCAATAACATACCATTTAGTCTTTGGTTCATATCCAGTTAATTTTCTAACTTCAGGATATTTAGCTAAGATTTGTTTTCTTCTAGCTACATGAGGTTCTGGTTCTCTTGTCCAATAGAATTCATTCAATACCTCTATAGGAGCATCGGCTGGAGGTGTAACCAAAGTGAATGTTTCGGGATGGTTTCTATGTTTTATACTTGCGTCCATAATGTATTTATAAATGGGGATATCGTATAATGAGTGTTTAAGTGTGTGGGTGGTGTTGTTCTATTGAAAGATGACTTTTAAGATGAAAGAAAGACAAAAGTTATATATATGAACCAATAGCCAAGACTTGGTAAAGTAGATTAAATAATTTAAATTAAAATACGAGAAATTGAAAAATTTGAAATTTTTTATTTTATTTTATTTCTTTACTCGTTAAAAAGAGAACGTGATCTCATCATACATTACATAATAGTTGTTGAAAAATGATACGAGAAGTTTATTTTTATACGATCAAGAAAAGTTAAAGATACGATGATGATACTGAAGGACAGAAAAGAAAACAACGACAACAGTAGTATTTCATTACGCTATAGAGTTAACCCTCAAGAAAATAAATATCATTCGATGATGTTTTGTTCACAAAACCCTTACATGTATGACTTTGTCTTTGGATTAATTAATAGACTATTTATTTACTTTGTTTTATTACTCTGCAGACTCTGTAGAAGGTTTTATTGTAATAACGATGATATGCACCTCTTTTAACCAGTTTGATTCTCCGAATTATTAGTATTATTACTATTCCCATTTTGTGGGTTTGGTGGTGGCGGATACATAAACGGACTAAGTGAAGCACCAAAGCGATTGACGTTTTGCATTCCTACTGGAGCTATTGCCAGTTGCTGTGGTTGAGGTTGTTGTTGAGGTTGTTGTTGGTATTGATGATATGGCATAGACGGATATGGTTGAAATTGAGGATTAACAAACTGCGGCTGTAAATTTTGTGCATCCATTTGTGGTTGAGATCCCACCTGCTGAGAATAGAAGTTTGCGAATGGTTGTTGGAAACTACTTGGTGTTCCGACTGGTTGTGAATGAAATACTACCGGTGTAGCTTGGTTAAATAATGGCTGAGGCATGAATCCTAGTGCTATTGGCTGCTGCAGTTGGACTGCCGGTTGAGTCACAGCATCGTGTTGTTTCCATATGTTTGTACTGCCTCCCATTGGAATCCCACTGGTAATTGAAGTTTCCAGAGGGAATCTAATTCCATGCTTTTCATTATTCATATCAACATCTTCTACCAATGAATCAACCATATCTTGGAAATCCTTTTGTGAATCTACAGGAATAGCCTGACTAGAACATGAATCAATTTCAATATTATCGACTTGATCTATACCTGGACTAGTGGAGCTACCAGCAGTTGCATAAACAAGTTGATTGCTATGTTTAGCTATAAATGATTCAATCTCCTCTAACGAGTTAGGAACAACTACGCGTGGCAGTTGGGATGTAAATCCTTCATGTCCCGATTCTGGAGATTCTGGCACTAATATTATGTCCTCCCTGGCAATGTCATCTTGAGGTTTAGCAACCTGAGACTCGTCCTCGGATTTATCACCTTTGGAATTATCTTCCTTGGATTTCTCTTTTGAATTCTCGTTAGGTTTCTCTCTAGATTTCTCTTTAGATTTCTCTTTCCTACCTTTGACTTTCTCTGATTTCTCAATTCGATTGGATACTTCAGATTGATTCTTCTCAATTTGCTTCTTACCAGAACCTAAAGTCTTATCACTTAAATCGTTATTCTTCTGGTTTTCTTTGATGTTATTCTCCTTATTCAAAGTAATCTGTTTCTTTGGTATTTCTTTCATCAAAAATCGAGATTTTGTCACATCAAATATACATTCAAAACTAGTAGAAGCTTCTAATAATCGTTTACCCAATACCAAAATCGCTTGTATTCTTAATTGATTTTCATAATTCTCAATCGCTGTCTTAATAAGATTAGCTTTCCTCTTAGGGAATTGCTTTATCTTATCAACAAGTGTTGATTGAGTTTGCTCATTCAAGAATTTTGGAATGGAAGTTTCAATATTAATCAATTCAGAATAATCACCAACTAAATAATTTATATTATTCAAGGAAAATAATTCATCATCTTTAAAATCTTTAAATTGAAATTTAATCAACAGAAAATCACGGAAATGAGCATCTTCCCAAAAATAATATTGTCTTTCTGGACGATTTTGAATAATGATATTATCTTGATGAAGACTAATTTGTTGATATTCAACTAATTTATTCATTATTGATATTGTTAATTGCATTGTCTTCTTACGGGATTCAAATGTTAAATACATGTTTTTATTCTCTCTTAACCAATTCAAAATAAATCTCAAACAAATGCAAATATTAGTAATTTTTAACTCGTGAAATTTTGCGGCTTTAAAACAATCTAAAATTTGTTCAATAAATCTAAATGTAAATTTTATCATTTTGTTTAGTAATTCATCATTATCCGCTTCATTATCACCATGCTTTTGTTGTTGTTGTTGTTGTTGTAATTTGCAAAATGAAAATAATATAACCAATTGTTTTAAAATAAAATTAATTTCATTTTGATCATTTTTTATTAAATCCAAAAATTTGCTCTTTAATAATTTAAAGAAATCTGTTTCAATTTTTGAAAATGTTAATTTTTTAACTAAATTTGGTCCATTTTTATATTGTTTAGGTAAATAAAAATAACCAATTAAACAAATCAAATAAATATTTAAATTATCTTGAATATTAAATTTTCTTTCAGGATTTGAATTTACACAATCAACTAATGCAGTTAAAAACCAATGCTTGTTTAAAATTGTATTTAAATTATTTAAACCTAATTTATATTCCGGTATTCTCGTGAAATTTGATCTAAGAAACCAATAAATACAATTAAATTTATCTTCAACTAAATTATAAATCATCCCAATATGATTATATGGTTCATTCAATGCTGGTAATAATAATATCGCAAATTTATAATATTGAATAGATTTGGAATATTTTGGAAAAAATTCTTGATTACGTTCTTTATCTGTCATTGATCTAAATTTGAAAAATGCCTTATTAGAAATACAAGGATTAACATATGATGTTTCAATATATGATTGATGTCGACATATATCTCCTAATGATAAACAACATTTATGTATTAAATATAAGACATTAGCCTGGAAATTATTATCATTACATTCAATTATTGATTTAGTAGATAATGATGATATTGAAAATTGAAAATAATTTAAAAATTCATTTGGTATGAAAGAATTCTTAAATCTAATTGTAAAATATTTTAATAAATTTGAATAAAATTGAAAAATTTGTTTTGAAAATTTCATAAAATTATCATTAACTTTTCTAATTTCAATTGGTTTTACTTTAAATTGATTAGCTAAATTCTTTAATTGACATTGTTTAAATTCTTCATTAATTGATTGAAAAATGGAATGATGTTGATGTTGAAAATATTTTATAATTGGATAATGAAATTCATTCCAAAGGATTTCAAGATATTTCATTGTATTAAACTCAGGTGCAGCAGCAACAGCAGCAGCAGCAGTAATAGCCAGACTCGGATCAAATTGTTTATAATAATCATTCAAATCATTGACTATCCAGCCTTGAAATTTGGATTGTAATAAAGTATTAAATCCAATCAATAAATGCTGATCAGTAAATTTCTTAGTTAGAAATTCTTGTAATTGAACTTTATATCTTTGTATCTCATTTGATTGGATCAGCATTGTATTTATCTTGTTCTTTTCTTCTCTCTTCTTTCCTCTTATTGTTGTGTTATGTTGTATTATTATTAATTGAAGTGTGTAGCGTATGTCTAGTTTAACTCATAACTGAATTGTTTAGATGGAGATATACAATATTGCTTTTCTTGTTTTAGTAAAATGTTGGAAGGTTAATCAATTAATTAAATTCGTTTTTCCTTAAAAACATCAAATGAATATTTCTTCCTATAAGTTTTACTTTAGTTAAAATTAATAGTAGCCAGTTAACTTTGAAAGTTAGATTAGAAATTGTTCATTGAAGAGGAGGAAGAGGAGGAGGTTAGGGTTTTGGTTGTTGGTAAAGTTGGTTGGTTGTAAAACTTTTTTTTTTTTTTGGTTTTGAGCAGTGACTGCATATAATAATTCTCCCTAAAGTACACGACCTATTATGCTTTGACTAATAATCAACAAGGTTATTAGTGATGGCTTGGTCTTTCTACTCCAATCTGTTGGCTATGAGAGAACAGAGAGACTTATTAGAAAGAATTGATATAGTTATACTCCTCTGAGGGAAACTAGAATCTTAGAGTTATTTGTAAGTTTTGAGAGGAAAACAAAGAGTTTGCGGTTTATGAAAGTGGGACTTGATATTCAGTAATATATTACAGTCGATCATAGAAATGGATACAATTCAACATTTTTTATTAAACAGAACACTATAAAGTAAAACATAAATTAATCTTTTATATCAACGAAATACTAAAAGAGGACCATAACGAGGTCATATCAAAACTAATCAAAACAAAATATAAAAAGACTATATCAAGGTCAAATCAAATTAAATAAACAAAATAAAAACAAACAACAAACCAAGCTTTGCATTGAATTCGGAAGATGATAACTTTGGGGCACCATTAACCAATTTTTTATCATGAATAAGGAGAACATTGGGTGATTTAGGACGAACAGTATACCATCCTACTTGCTCTCCATCTTGATCCTCTGAGAAAGCTCCGTGGTCAGCATCTGGTTGATCTTCTAATGGTACATCAGCTTGTAGATACTCTGTCATATGCGCAGCATCTCCCCCCGCAATAACTGGTTGATGTTTAGCAGGATAGGACGCACTAAAACTAACGGAATAAATTGTAGTGGTGATCGTTTCAATATTCTCTTCTCCGATAGCTTTATCATACTTTGTAACTGTCATTGTTATAGTGCTAACAGGAATGGTAGTAACTGCCGCACTTTGAATATTGACTGTGACCAAAGTAGATCCTTTAATAGTATCGCCATTTCTGTTTGTGACATAATTACCTGTTTCTAATTGATCCTCTGCATCTTTGATTTCATCTAAATCTGGATCTTCAGTTTGGTTTGGAGCTGAGACATTAGACTGGCTGGGGATAGTTTCAACTTGGCTTGGAGCTAATATACCAACTTTGCCAGCAATGGTTTGAAAAGCAACGGAGCCGTTGTCACTAATAACAGCTTGCATGGTGGCAGTAGAGCTTACCCCTACAATGACTGGGCCATTGGCAGCAATAGTTTGTTGACTGTTACATTTAACATTAACAAATATAGCGTATCCATTCTGAGGACAAGCATTAAATTCAGCAGCTACACTACCGGAACCTCCTGATGCATAATGAATCAGATTTTCTGCCACTGACCAAACAGGGGAAGCTTTATCTCTGGTTGATACTAATAGCAAACCGTCCCCATTAACTTGTACATATTTATCCTTAGCGACTTTGAGATATTTACCTTCAAGCACAAATGTAACCACTTCACCATCATAAATAGTAAGATGAGTTCCATTGAACCTTACGGGTTCCTCTGAGCCCTCCTTAGAGGCAGTAAGATTAGTCGAAACAACATACACAGATTGACCTATAGTTTTATACTGAAAGTCGACTTGGCTTTCAAAGATTGAATCATCGTCTGAATCGTCATCTTGAAGATTGGTTGGATTTTCTTCTTGTATGGTGATATCATCCACATTTTCATCAGGTTTCGTTTCCTCTTCCTTTTCAACTTCAACACCTTCTTGTTTGTCATTTTGTTCAGGTTGAGGGGCAACTTCTGGTACAACTTGTCCGGCTGTAGACTTAACCTCTTGGTTAGAAGATTCTTCTTTGACTGTTTCAGTGCCAGTAGTTACATCCAGAGTCAGACCAACTCCAACTGAAACTGGTTCCCTTCCAGGTACATCAGGTGTAGAATTTTCTTCCTGTGGGTTTTCTTTGCCTGCATCAGCGTCAATAGAATCCGGATTATTCACCTTCAGACTAATTACTACTAAGGGTTCAGATGGTTCCTTTTCAGTTTCTTCAAGTGTAGACTCGTCAGATGAGTTTTCTTCAGTGTCAGTAGTGTCCAGATTATTCACAGTCAGATCCTCTTCAGCTGGAGATTTAGTTGATTCCTCTTCAGTTTCTTCAAGTGTAGAATCGTCAGATGAGTTTTCTTCAGTGTCAATAGTTTCCTGATTATCTTCAGTCAGACTAGTTCCAACTGGAGATTTAGTTGATTCTTCTTCCGGTTCTTCAAGTGTAGACTCGTCAGATGAGTTTTCTTCAGTGTCAGTAGTATCCAGATTATTCACAGTCAGATCACCTTCAGCTGGAGATTTAGTTGATTCCTCTTCCGGTTCTTCAAGTGTAGACCCTTCAGATGAGTTTTCGTCAGTGTCAGTAGTGTCCAGATTATCCACAGTCAGATTCTCTTCAGCAGGAGATTTAGCTGATTCCTCTTCAGGTTCTTCATGGATAGGATCTTCTTCTTCATCATTAATATCAGTCGCGCCGTCATTATTTTCTCCATTTTGGGTGTTCAAATTATCTGGACCAGTTTCCAAGTTTTCTTCTTCAGATTCTTGTACATATTTGTTGATTTCTTGGATCTGGCCCTCAGTTAAGGATTCAACAAAGAAAGACTCCACCGTGATACATCCTGGTGATTGTTCATTTCCCAACTCAGCATTGTCTTCACAAACATAGTAGGAAACCGTGACTTCACCATATAGACCTGAGTAAAAATCAGTTTGCACTGACAGGTAGGTATCGCTAGTATCATAGATCTTTAAAAAAGGATTTCCGTTCATGTATCCCACTTTATACTTCTCCTGATAGGTAAACAGAATCCGACCTCTATTTCCCTCAGCATAAGAAAAAATCGCAGCACTGTAGATGTTATCAACTGGTATAAGGTAAGCGTCGTCGTTGATCCCGAAGTATGTCTTGTAGTTGGAGCCTTGGTCTGGCAAGTTAGCCCACAAAACAATGTAGGTAGCGGTGGCAAATGACAACAAAGTTAATAAATTGATATAAGTCAGTAATCTCATTGTTAAGAAATTTGATATTGTTTAACCAATGTAGAACAAAAAAGTAAGGGATTGAATTTTCTTCAAAAAAAAAAATTGAAGGAAGACTTGGTCTGCTTTTATGTTGATCCTTTGAGGAGGTAAGGGAAAGAAAATTTGGAAATATTGAATTGACGTTTCATTTAGCTTATGAAACATGAAACATTAATATACATCACGTAACCTGTCTTCTCTCTCTGTGTGTGTGTGTGTGTGGATTGGACGGAAACCGTACTCCTCATTTGCTTAGTAGAAAAGTGAGTCAGGTAATAATTGGAATTAAACCAATTTTTGCTGCAAAAAAAAGAAAAAAAAATAAAACCTCCAAGAAATTTCAAATAAAACAATAAAAAAATAATTTTTTTTTAAGTAAAATTCTTGGGTTAGTCCCATTTTAAATTAACTTTTAAACATGATAATGTATGTTAAAAATCACATCACCAGTATGTATATTTATCAAATGATTATATAAATACCAAGAAAATTCTATTTTGATTTCCAAAAAAAAATAAAGTTAATCATTGGTATCTTCTTTTTGTTTCTTCCCGGGTCGGTTTTCGGTTGCAAAGATTTTTGTTTCTTAATTTTTTCCATTGCAAGCCGGATTAGGAAATTTTTTAGATAAGCTTTTTCGGTGATTGGATGCCAAATATGGGAATTAATTATGATAAAAATTAACTCAATTTTATTAATAAAATTTTTTTTTGTGGGTAAGTTGTCATAACCAACTACAACCTGTTTTAATAAAACGCCTTGAAGTGTCACCTGTGTAGAAACACCTAGAGGATGTCACCTGTGTGGAATATTCTTTAATCAAAAGTGTGGGCAATGAACATCAAACACTTATTATTTTCCTTTCTCTTTTACGATTGAATGACCATTTCAAATGTGGTAGAATAGATAATGTGATGCTCAATAAGGGATTCTTTAGTTGTCGTTACTTTTCCACTATTTTGCCAATTTAGTGGTCAGATTGTCAACCTTTATTTTCTGAATAATATGAAGCATAAAATAAAAAATAAAATAAAATTCAGCTGCAACACGAGCTACACGTCTCAAATAGAGAAATAATTTACAATTGTATCAAGAAATTGTTTCTTAATTAAAAATAACAATTTATACTATTTAATGGTTTTCTCTTCTTTTTTTTTTGGGGGGGGAGAGATGAGATGGCTTCTTTCCATTGAATATTGTAAGTGATGCAAACCCCAATCAAAACAAGTGTAAATGTAAAATAAAGCTTCTTTATGTTACAAGTTTATTGGTTAATGTAACTTTTGCAAAATTACAATTTATATTCTGGAAACTTTACAGAACATGAAGATAGCTTGGCATTTTTGATTTGTTATTTTCATTTGTAAAAATTTTGATATTTTTAGAAAAGAGAAATTGTTAATTAATTAAATTTGATTGCGAGTGGGTGATTTTTCAATTAAATGGTGTTTGGATATTTGTCACAGTTTAAACTACAAGCATTTAAATGTGTATTTCTAGGCGTAAAGGGTACTTCACTTAATCTTTACTCTCTGATGGCTTATATGTAGTGGTGCTGATATTGGGGGGATATGTGATAAATGTAGATGATGTCGAAGTAGTTAATTCGCCACTAATGGCTCAATCATATCAATGATCATGCTTAAGACTTTTGATATTTCCTCTTTTATTAAAATCATTGGAAACGTAATTTATTGATTACTTATAAAATTTTATAGAAACATAAATAAAAACAGAAGAAATGAAAGCTTGTTAAAATAACAAGTATACTTTAAACAATTAACCTGGAATTACCATATTTGCAATACAATTATAATTTTCATAATATTATTCTTATAAAAACTTATGTATAACCAATGACCCATTGATTACCCTGTACAATTCAAATTGCCCATAAAGTAACTTACACCATTTAATTAATTTCTATTGTTTTACATTTAATTAATTTCTAAATTTTTAGCAGCCAAAAATTAAATTATTAAATTAAATTAAATGTAAACAAATGTATTAAATCTAAAAAATGGCAACAAAGTAAGTAAGTAATTAATTGATAGAAGAAGAAGAAGAAGAAGAAGGATTTTATGATTAATTTAAAAAAAGAAAGATTAAACAATTCTATAATTATTTATGGATAATAATAATCATTTAGTTAATGTATGTAAGATATATATATACCACATTATATATCCAAATGGATAAAAGGTTATTAACACATACATCCCAAGTCTTTAAATCAAATTAATTTATCAATTGATAATATTGACTCATTATCTTCATTCATGATGAATACAACTAACAATCATCATCATCAACCAACATCTCCTAATACCTCTTCTTCTCAAGGAACTACTAACACTAATACTACTAGTAGTAGTAGTAACAATACCACCTTTTTATCAGATAGTTTAATTGGTTCATCCACTCAAGATTATTCATCTAATAATCCTCTGATTAATTTTTGGCAATCAAATAATAATAATACTAATACTACTTCATCTTCTTCTTCATCTGGATTTAATGCTCCATTATCATTTACTAATTATTCCCCCCTTGGTCAACAATCTTATAATACAACAACTGGGAAACTTGTTAATCAATTTCAATCAGCATCTTTCAGATCCATTGATGCTGATCTGAATCCATTAGCAGTACCCCCTCTTACTGGTCATAGTGCTGCCAGTATGATGACTAATAATTCATCTGGTACCAATGCTACATCAAACCCTAGAAATCCAAAATATAGTAAGCAGGCTACTACTGCTGTTGCTGCTACTGCTGCTGCTGCTACTGCTGTTGCTGGTTCATCTTCGTCATTGATGAATATTAATGCTCCAAGTTATGTTCCTAACAATTATACCACGAATTATGGTTCTAATACTGGCAATGTGAATTCAATTATCAATAATCCTACCTCACCCAACAACAATTCTAATGATAAATACAAATATTACTATAATACTGCTAATGCTAATGTTAATTCTATTGTTATGAATAATAAAAAGATGGTAGATTCTGATGATAATTTACAAGAAGAATATCATAAATTAAAAATTGAATTAATTTTAAAGAATCAAATTATTAAAAATTTAACTGATCAAATTAATTTAATGAATAAACAAAAAACTTCAATTGAAGAAAGTTTTAATAATAATAATAATAATTTAAATGGAATATTTAAAATTCCTAAGAATCATTATCAATTATTTCAAGATTTATCTAAAACTTTACAAGAAAAATCAATTGATCTTGAAGAAACTAAAGATAGATTAGAAGCAGTTTTGGTTGCTTTAACATGTGATGGTAATAACAATAATAATAACAACAACAACACTGGTGGTGGTGGTGTATCTTCTTCTAGTTCAGGTTATACTTTTGATGTTGAAGAATTAAGTCATAAACTTATTAATAAACTTTGTTTATTACTGGAAGAAAATGAAAATTTATTAAAAATGATTAGTTATGGAAATAAAACAAGTTTATTAATTGAAATTGGTTTATTAAGACATGAACTTGAAACTTTGAAGAAAAAGTAATTAAATAAGTTTTTATACTTTTTTAATAAAATGGTTATTATGGAATGAGTTTGGCTTTTATAGTTAATTAATTAATTAAGAATAAATGTGAATTAATATCAATCAAGATATATTTGACTATATGAGTAAGAAATACATCCATACATACATATAGAATTGGGACATCACCCTGTGTGCTACCAGTTGATAAGATTGTATACATGTAAACTTGTAATTCCCTCAACCCCTGTTGTTTATTGTAATTTATTTATATAAATCTCATTTTTATATTATCTGATAGTTCCAAATAGGAACTGTTGTTGTTGTTGTTGTTTATATTTATATTTATATTTATTTATTAGTCATCTTTTGTCAGTCTCTCATTCTCTCTCTCTCTTTCTCTCTTTCTCCCCTGTTGCGAAATTCTTCTTACTAAAATCAATAAAGAAAAATTTACAACCAAAAAGTAATCCCAATTTAATTAACGAAGCAAGTTAAAAGCAATCAATGGCATCGTCTTATACTGTATCATCTACAAAATCATATATGCAGGCTATGCAGCCTATGATTGATATATTAAACACTTTAAATATCAACACCCAAAGACCCTTGAAGAAAATTCCCACCATTGATAATGAAATTGCCAAGATTACACCATTAGATAAAATATTAACCAAGTTTAACAATGTATCTCCTGATATCCTTGATTCAATATCCGATGGTGGTAATACCAACCAGTTTTCAAACAATTTAATTATACTCAAAGACATTGAACAAGAATGTGATCGAGTTAGTAAAGCTAGAGGTCAAGATGATAAGGAAATTTTCACATTGATAAAATCATTATTATTACAACAACCAAATGATGAACAATTACAATCTTCATTATTTGATATATTGGGATTTGATGAATTTAATCTAATTTCAAAAATAGTTCAAAATAAATCTTTATTTTCTATCAATCAAAATAATGATTCTTCCATTGGTGGTACTGGTAGTGGTGGTGGTTTGTTAACTGCACAAGAACGAGCTCAATTGTTAATTGAAAATCAACAACGAACCAAGAATCAGACACTATTACCAAAACTGGCCATTACTCAACGATATCCCAATGTTTACAAAAACCCAGATGTTGGTAATATGATCTCAATAACTGGAAAAAAATTTGCATTACCCACGGGAACAACTAGAGAATCTTGGGCTACTCATGAAGAATTAACAATCCCATTCCCGGAAAATAAACCAAATAAATGGATATCTGATGAAAATTTGGTACAAATTAAGGAATTGGATTTCTTATGTCAAGGTACATTTAAAAATTATAAGAATTTGAATAAAATGCAAAGTTTGGTATATCCAATAGCTTATAATACCAATGAAAATATGCTTGTTTGTGCCCCAACGGGAGCGGGGAAAACTGACGTGGCTTTGTTGACCATTTTACATGCAATAAATCAATTTGTTTCTGAAACTATTGGCGATGATGGTGATATTACAATTGATATAGATTATGATGAATTCAAAATTGTTTATGTGGCCCCTTTGAAAGCTTTAGCAGCAGAAATTGTTGAGAAATATAGTAAGAAATTACAATGGTTAGGGATTAATGTCCGGGAATTAACTGGAGATATGCAATTATCAAGACTGGAAATCTTAACTACTCAAATTATTGTCACAACTCCCGAGAAATGGGATGTGGTAACTAGAAAACTGAATGGTGATAGTGAATTAGTATCAAAAGTTAAATTATTGATTATTGATGAAGTACATTTATTACATGAAGATCGAGGATCGGTTATTGAAACTTTAGTTGCTCGTACTTTAAGACAAGTTGAAAGTACCCAACTGATGATTAGAGTTGTTGGACTTTCAGCAACTTTACCTAATTTTATGGATGTGGCTGATTTCTTGGGAGTAAATCGAAATGTTGGAATGTTTTATTTTGATCAATCTTTCCGTCCAGTCCCATTAAAACAAATGATTTTAGGTGCTAGAGGGAAAAATGGAAGTAAATTAGCTAGAGAAAATATTGATAAAATATCTTATGAAAAATTGGCTGATTATATTCATCAAGGTTTACAAGTTATGATATTTGTTCATTCCCGGAAAGATACCGTCCGGACGGCTAGAACCTTTATACAAATGGCACAAGATCATAATGAATTAGCCATGTTCCAAACCTCGCCAGAAACTTGTGATTCTTATGAACGGTTTAAACGTGAAGTATCCAATAAAAATAGAAGTAAAGAATTAAAAGAATTATTCCCTCATGGATTTGGGACTCATCATGCCGGGATGTTACGTAGTGATCGAAATTTGACGGAAAAAATGTTTGAATCAGGTGCTATCAAAGTATTATGTTGTACTGCCACTTTAGCCTGGGGGGTTAATTTACCGGCTGCAGTAGTAATCATCAAAGGAACTCAAGTATATGATTCCAAAGCGGGTGGGTTTATTGATTTGGGTATATCCGATGTGATTCAAATTTTTGGTAGAGCCGGTAGACCTCAATATGAACAATTTGGGACTGGGATCTTATGTACTACTAGTGATAGATTGGATCATTATGTTTCCTTACTCACACAACAACATCCAATTGAATCGAAATTGGCCGAGAAATTGATTGATAATTTAAATACGGAAATCTCGTTAGGGACAGTTACGAATATAGATGAAGGGGTACAATGGTTGGGATATACTTATATGTTTGTTCGGATGAAACAGAATCCATTTGCTTATGGGATAGATTGGCATGAATTACAAGAGGATCCATTATTAACTAATCGAAGACGGGATATGATTATTAATTCAGCAAAACGTTTACATCATTTACAAATGATTATATTTGATGAGGTTTCTGGAGCATTTACACCTAAAGATTTAGGAAGAATCGCATCAGATTTCTATTTATTAAGTAATTCAGTTGAAATCTTTAATCAGATGGTTAATCCCCTTGCGACAGAAGCTGATGTTTTATCCATGATTAGTATGAGTAGTGAATTCGATAGTATTAAATTCCGAGAAGAAGAATCTACCGAACTTAAACAATTACTTGAATCCGATTCACCATGTCAAATTGCCGGTGATGTAGATTCTTCCCAGGGGAAAACCAATATTCTTTTACAAGCATTTATTTCCCAAGCTAATATTCGAGATTCGGCATTAATTTCTGATTCTAATTATGTGGCCCAAAATTCCGCTAGAATATGTCGGGCATTATTTTTAATTGCCATGAATAGAAGATGGGGGAAATTTATGAAGATTATGTTGTCAATATGTAAATCCATAGATAAACGAATATGGGCCTTTGATCATCCAATGGCGCAATTCGATTTACCTGAACCAGTGTTGAGGAATATTAGAAGTAAAAACCCCAGTATGGAATCTTTACGTGATATGGAAGCGGGTGAATTAGGTGATTTGGTACATAATAATAGAATGGGTGGGATTTTATATAAACTTGTTGGGAAATTCCCATATATTGAAGTTGAATCAGAGATATTCCCAATTACCACCAATGTTATGAGAATCCATGTTGTATTAGAACCTGATTTTGTTTGGGATGAAAGATATCATGGAAATGCCCAAATATTTTGGTTGACTGTTGAAGAATCTGATCGATCAGATATTTTACATGTGGAGAAATTTATTTTGAATAAAAGACAATTAAGAAATCCTCATGAAATGGATTTCATGATTCCTTTGTCGGATCCATTACCACCACAAGTTATCATTCGAGTCATATCTGATCTTTGGATTGGATCAGAAACCGTTCATGCTGTCAGTTTCCAACATTTAATTCGTCCTTCTAATGAAACTTTGAAAACTGATTTATTAAGACTTCAACCATTACCAATCACAGCATTACATAATCCTGATATTGAAGCTATATATTCATCAAAATTCAAATATTTTAATCCTATGCAAACAATGGTGTTCCACACTTTATATAACACTAACTCAAGTGTATTTGTTGGTTCACCTACGGGGTCAGGTAAAACGATCGTGGCGGAATTGGCTATCTGGCATGCATTTAATGAATTTCCTGGTTCCAAAATAGTCTATATTGCACCCATGAAGGCATTAGTACGTGAAAGAGTTGATGATTGGCGGGAAAGAATATGTAAAAATACTAGTTATAAATTAGTAGAACTTACAGGTGATTCACTTCCCGGGATTCAAGAAGTTCGTAATGCCGATATAATTATTACCACTCCGGAAAAATTCGATGGTATTTCTCGTAATTGGCAAACTCGTAAATTTGTCCAACAAGTTTCATTGGTTATAATGGATGAAATTCATTTATTGGCAAGTGATCGTGGTCCAATTTTGGAAATGATTGTCAGTCGTATGAATTATATTTCTTCACAAACTCATACTCCAATCAGATTATTAGGTATGTCTACCGCGGTATCGAATGCATTTGATATGGGTGGTTGGTTAGGTTGTCGAGAAGGATTATTTAATTTCCCCCAATCAGTGCGTCCAGTTCCATTACAGATGTATATTGATGGGTTTCCTGATAATTTGGCATTCTGTCCATTGATGAAGACGATGAATAAACCGGCATTTATGGCGATAAAGCAACATTCTCCCGATAAACCAGTATTAATATTCGTGGCTTCGAGAAGACAGACAAGATTGACGGCGTTGGATCTTATTCATTTATGTGGAATGGAATCAAATCCTAGACGATTCCTTAAGATGTCAGATTATGAATTAGAAAAAGTATTGGAAGAAGTTAAGGATGATACATTGAAGTTATCTTTACAATTCGGAATGGGTTTACATCATGCTGGTTTGGTTGAATCTGATAGACAAATCTCTCATAAGTTGTTTGAATCAGGTAAGATTCAAATCTTGGTTGCTACATCGACCTTAGCCTGGGGGGTTAATTTACCGGCCCATTTAGTTATTATTAAGGGAACACAATTTTTTGATGCCAAAATTGAAGGATATCGTGATATGGATTTAACTGATATTTTACAAATGATGGGACGTGCAGGTAGACCAGCATATGATACAAGTGGGATTGCAATTGTTTATACTAAAGAATCAAAGAAAGTTTTTTATAAACATTTCCTTAATTTAGGATTTCCAGTTGAATCTTCTTTACATAAAGTTTTAGATAATCATATTGGGGCAGAAATTTCAGCAGGTACAATTACAACTCGACAAATGGCTATGGATTTCTTAACTTGGACTTTCTTATATAGAAGAGCTCATAATAATCCAACATATTATGGAATTGAAGATATATCCGAATATGGTATCTCGCAATATTTAGCTGGATTGATTGATAAAACTATTGAAAATTTAGTTGAATCACAATGTGTTTATACTAGTGGGTCTGATGATCTTTTCGCAACTCCATTCTTACACATATCTTCATATTATTATCTTTCCCATATGACAATGAGAAATTTTGTTAAGAAGATTCATAAGAATTTCGAATTTAGAGAATGTTTACAATTACTTGCAGAAGCAGCTGAATATGATGAATTAGCAACTAGACATGGAGAAGAATTGATCAATATGGAAATGTCTCAAGCTATGAGATATCCTGCAGAAGATTTACAACGAGAATTCATTTGGGATCCTCATGTTAAAGTATATCTTTTAATTCAAGCATTTATGAGTCGGGTTGAATTACCAATTCATGATTATGCCCAAGACACGATTTCGGTATTGGATCAATCTTTACGTATTTTACAGGCATATATTGATGCGGCTGCTGAATTGGGATATTATAAAGCGGTGATGTCGTTTGTTACATTAATGCAATGTATTAAACAGAGATATTGGTATGATGATGATCCAGTTTCCGCATTGCCTGGATTGAAGCTTACTGTCAAAAGGGAACAAGAACGAGTTGATTTGAAGGCTGTTGGAGAAATGAATATGGGTAAGTTATATAAATTTGCCGAAAAGGCTGGAATTAGTGGAAAGAATCTTTTAGAGAGTCATGGAGTTGCTGATGATGAGAATGCAAAGAAGCAGTTTGTTAAAATTGCTTCACGTTTACCTGTGGGCAAACTTACAATTGAACAACCTTCAAGAGAAAGTTTAAAGGTCACTTTAACCCATGAAAATTTCCCATTGAATAATGATTTTAAAGTCTATTGTCCACATTTCCCAAAACTTCAAAGAGAATCTTGGTTTGTTATTGCTTTTGATGAAGGTTCACAAGAGTTGCATTTACTTAAGAGGGCTTCGCCTAGATTGGTTGGTAAAAAGGGAATCGTTTCTTGTGAACTTGATATCCCAGAAGATCTTTTTGGTAAAGATATATCTGTATCTATTGTTAATGATGGATATGATCTTGAGTATTTACAGCAACACAAATTGTTAATATAAGTTTATATATGCTCTACAGGAATTTTGGAAAAATCTATTAATTAATGTACATGTTTTTAGTCTATAAAAGGGTGTCCTAAGCCTATTCAAAGAATTCATCTTCTTCTTCCTCTTCTCCTTCTTTCTTAACTTCAGGAGCATCAATTTCTTGTGAAATGGATGTAGATTGTCCAACCGTCTCGGTATAAAGCGTAATTGCTTTTCCTGTAATTGCTTCATCTATTGAGAATGGAAGTTTTCCATCTTCCATTAATTTCTCAACTTCCTTTCTGATTTGCTTCCTTCTTTCTTCTGTTTTACGAGCACCAAGTTTAGCCTTTGGATTTGACATATCAACTTCATCATTTTCTTTTGCATTTGGATATAGAGAAATATATTTTTCAGTTTTTGGGAATAAAATCACATAAGCTAAATCAACTTCCCCATGTCTTAGTTGTTTTCTTATCTTTTTGATATCTTTTCTTATACCAGTTTGATTAACTTCTTCAAATTGTTTTCTTAATTGTTTTAATTTTCTAATGGCCTTTTTCTTTTCAAAAAATCTAACCATATGATATTTCTTCCCGATTTCTTTTGCTTTTAACTGAACTTGAGTATTTTGTAATTCTACTTTTAAAGCTTTTAATGCTCTATCATATTCAACTCTCTTATCTGCTGGTAATTTATCATTTTTCTTTAATAATCTTTCAATATCTCTGATTTTCTTCTTTATTTTGGCTGCTCCTGAACCCATGGTTTCCGCAACCTCTATAGAGGCTCCTCTTGGTCTTCTGTACTGACTCTTTGGTGCTTTTGGCATCATGATTTCTCTTGTAACGTGTATTGATAGTTTTGATTTGAAAGATCATAATAAAAAATATGGAAAATAAAATTTAATAAATTAAAAAGGATGAGATGCGAATAAAATCTTATGCGGCTTAAAAATAATTTAATCACGTGACCAAGTCTCGATCTTAGAATTTTTTTTTATTTTTATTGCAGTGTTAAATTTTTCATTGGTAGTTTGCCAAAGGCATCAGTTGAACCGGTAACCAATTAAATAAAAGTAAACAAATAATGGGTATCTTAGAGAAAATCGCTCAGATTCAAGAAGAATTAGCCCGAACTCAAAAGAATAAAGCAACCGAATATCATATTGGGTTATTAAAAGGTAAATTAGCCAGATATCGTCGAGAATTATTAGAACCCCAAGCTGGAGGTTCAGGTGGTGGAGGACAAGGATTTGAAGTTGCAAAAGCGGGAGATGCAAGAGTATCATTAATTGGGTTCCCATCGGTTGGTAAATCTTCATTTTTATCAAAAGTTACCAATACGAAATCTGAAGCTGCCAATTATGAATTTACAACCTTGACATCAGTGGGGGGGATACTTGAATATAATGGGGCAGAAGTACAAATAGTGGATTTACCAGGGATTATTAAAGCGGCAGCACAGGGGAAGGGGAGAGGTAGACAAGTTATTGCTGTTTCTAGAACTTCGGATTTGATTTTGATGGTTTTAGATGCAACAAAGGGAGGAGATCAACGTCAAATTTTAGAAAATGAATTAGAATCAATGGGGATTAGATTGAATAAAGAAAGACCTAATTTATCCATTAGAATCAAAAAGACTGGTGGTGTTAAAATGAATTCAATTACTCCTCCTAAATATTTAACTGAAAAAATGGTTGCGGCATTACTTAAAGATTATAAGATTCATAATGCTGATGTTTTAATTAGAGATGAAAATGTTACCGTTGATGATTTCATTGATGTTATAAATGAACAACATATCTCCTATATCAAATGTTTATATGTTTATAACAAAGTAGATGCAGTATCATTAGAAGAATGTGATAGATTAGCAAGAGAACCAAATACTGTTGTTATGTCATGTGAATTAGATTTGGGTATTGAAGATCTTAAAGAAGAAATATGGAGGAAATTGGATTTATTACGTTTATATACCAAGAGAAGAGGAATACAACCAAACTTTGATGACCCAATGGTTGTTAGAAACAATTCTACTATTCTTGAAGTGTGTGATTCTATTCATAGAGAGATGAAGAATCAATTCAAGTATGCATTAGTCTGGGGTTCAAGTGCTAAACATTCTCCTCAAAAATGTGGTCTAAGTCATCCTGTTCATGATGAAGATGTGGTACAGATTGTAACTAAGTAAATAGAGTGTGCATGTTCTCAGTAATAAATATAATAAAGAACCTAAACTTTTAGATCCAAGAAGCAAAGACTGTTGGCTTCGTAAGTTCCTGTATTTTGTAGACATACTATAACGGTTGCGTGACCCCCTGGTAATGAATATTGGATTTCTTTCATGTGGTAGTGCTGCATTTTTTTAGTGATGTTTGGATGTAAATACGATTTCCGTGTTGATCTTACATTTCAACATTTATGAATTCAATATATAAGCAATATGGATAAATATGGTGATCTACCAGATATAGAGAAAGATGCACAAGAGATATTCGAGACTTCAGATGTCGAGAGTGATATCGAATATGCTTCACCCCAAGAAATTGAACAAACAACTCCAACAGAATTAAATGTTGATAATTTACCACTGGAAGCAAAAGGAATATTTTCAAACAGTCATATCTCAGGGAATCGGGCTGTTGATTTCCTGGGAAGTATACATAATCAGTTATATGATAGTGGATATTATGTTGCTGAAGTCGAAGAAACGGTAGATGAGAAGCTTTCAAGAATAGCGAGAGAATTGGAAGAAATAAAATTAGAAAAGGATATGATGATAACCCCAGAAACCACAACCGAAACGAATAAATTATTACAATTGTTAAATAATTTGAAGAAATCTGAACCACCCATTAGATCAGAGATTTTGAGTTCAGAGCAATTAAGAATAGATGGTATTTTCAATCAAATAAAACAACAGCAAGACGTGCAATCAATATCAAGAATAAAGGATGGACAAGAAGGTTTGATAAGTCTTGAAGATCGACTTAGTTCTATAGAAAAACTAATTGGAGAAGATGTACTTCTAGAAGTTGGCAAGAAACCTATAAGCTCTATACAAAAGACATTGAATGATCTTGAAAGGAAAATATCAATTGTTAATAATCCTGAATATAATTTTGAGAATGTAACTAAACAACTTGATACATTGAATAAAGAAATGGATAAGATGGAAATGAGAAAGAAATTATTCAATCTTACAGATATTTATGATATTGGTGGTCTGAAAGATGATAATTCAAAGGATGATAATAGTATTATTGATTCATTAGTGGAGAAATTACCGGAAATCAAGAAGAATAATGAGATAATTCCATTGATTCTTAAACGATTAAAGACTTTGAACAATATCCATAATGATATGAATATTAATGTTGAACTTTCTAAAAATATGGATCAAATAATAACTGATTTGAAAATTGATATTAAGAATTGGGATAATTCAATAAATCAAATTTATGAAAATATTGAAAATTATTCCCAGAATTTTGAAAATAATTCTAAAGCCATGCAAACAAGATTGGAACAATTGTCACTTAAGATTGAAGCTTTAGATATTGATTGATAAACAGGCTAGATAGAAAATAATAATAGAAACCGTTATACCTTTATAGGAATTACATAACCGAGATCAAACTATAGATCTCGCTAAATATTGCCCTCCCCAAAAGTTGTTAGTGTACTGCATATAAGCTATACGGCATCAGATAAATTTGGCGCGTACCTCGCTTTAGTTTACCCAATTAGAATCTCCTCTTCTCTATTCCCCCATACTTTTTGGGACTCGGAGTAACTGTAACCTTTCTTCATCATCCCATATAAATTTCCAATTAAATTCTTTTTTATTTAAACTTCTTTTTTTCTTTCTCCTTCTTCTTTTTCTTCCTTTCTTCTTCAAGTATCATTGAATAAATAAACAATCATGTTGAGATCAAGTGCTCGTTCTGCCATTCGTGTTGCATCCAAACACACAAAAGTAATCACACCAACAATTTTCCGTGCCATTCCAAAAACTCATCAATTAAACTCAATTAGATGTGTTGCTCAATTATCCCACGTTAAATCCCCACCAAATCTTCAAAATGAACCAGTTAGAAACTTTGGTTTCAAAGATACAAAAGATTGGGATCTTTTAAGAGCATCAATTACAAAATTCACTGATGAAGGTTCATTACGTGTGCCATTAGTTATTAATGGTAAGAAAATTTATCGTGAAGAAACAAAACCTCAAGTTAACCCAGCTAAACATTCACAAGTCTTAGCTGATGTTTCACAAGCTACTAGTGAAGATATTAAGGCTGCTATTGAAGCTTCTAAATCTGCTAAAGCAAAATGGGCTTCTACTTCTTGGACTGATAGAGCTGCTATTTTCTTAAAAGCTGCTGATTTGATTTCTACTAAATATAGATATGATATGTTGGCTGCTACTATGTTGGGACAAGGTAAGAATGTTTATCAAGCGGAAATTGATTGTGTTGCTGAATTGATTGATTTCTTTAAATTTAATGTTAAATATGCTGAAGAAATGTATGCTCAACAACCTTTACAAACTGCCCCAGGTGTTTGGAATCGTGCTGAATATAGACCTTTGGAAGGGTTTGTTTATGCTGTTACTCCATTTAATTTCACTGCCATTGCTGGTAATTTAGTAGGTGCACCTGCATTAATGGGTAATACTGTTGTTTGGAAACCATCTGCTACTGCAGCATTATCTAATTATTTATTATTGACTATTTTAGAAGAAGCAGGATTACCAGCTGGTGTTATTAATTTCATTCCAGGTAATCCAGTTGAAGTTACTGATTTAGTTCTTGAAGATAAAGAATTTGCGGCATTACATTTTACTGGATCAACTGAAGTTTTTAAGAATTTATATTCTAAGATTAGTAATAATGTTGCTGCTGATAAATATCGTGATTTCCCAAGAATTGTCGGTGAAACTGGTGGTAAGAACTTCCATTTAATTCATCCATCAGCATCAATTCATCATTCTGCATTATCTACTCTTAGAGGTGCATTTGAATATCAAGGACAAAAATGTTCAGCTACTTCTAGAGCATATGTTCCAGAATCAATCTGGCCGGAATTTAAAGAACAATTAATTGCCAATATTCAACAAATCACCATTGGTAATACTGCTGAACCAGAACAATTGAATAGTTTTATGGGTCCAGTTATTCATGAACAATCATTTAATAAATTGAAAACCGCTCTTGATAATGCCAAGAATGATCCAGAATTAGAAATTATTGCTGGTGGTTCTTATGATTCTAGTAAAGGTTATTATATTGAACCAACTGTTATTCAAACCACTAATCCAGAACATGAATATTTAAGTAAAGAATTCTTTGGTCCAGTTTTAACTACTTATGTTTATCCTGATTCACAATATGAAAAGATTATTGAATCAATTGATGGAGTTACTAAATATGGATTAACTGGTTCTGTATTTGCCAGAGATCGTGGTGCTATTAGAATTGCTGAAGAAAAATTAAGATATGCTGCTGGTAATTTCTATATTAATGATAAATCTACTGGTGCCGTTGTTGGTCAACAATGGTTTGGTGGTGCAAGAGCTTCTGGTACTAATGATAAAGCAGGTAGTGGAAATATCTTATCAAGATTTGTTTCTATTAGAAGTATTAAAGAAAACTTTTATGAATTAACTGACTTTAAATATCCTTCCAATTATCATTAGATCTTTTTTAATATAATCTTATTTCAATTCGTTTTTAAAAACATGTTTTTTAGTGTATATAATTTAATAAAAGCAGAGAGTTGCTTATGACAAGATCATCATCACATTGTATTTATTACAAAACATCAAACTAATACATCAAAGTTGTTATTTAGATTACAAAAAACCTCTATCTCTTTCCATAATAATAATAAGGTGTAGCTGGCGCAGGTGGAGGAGGTGGAGGTACAGGTACTCTATTTGGAACATTAACCAATCTACCCAATCCCGCACATACAGGACATAATTCCATATCCAAAAGAAATCTAACCATTCCTGATCCTCGACAATTCCCACATACAACCCCTCCTAATCGAGGATCTCCCGGTGGCACTCGCATAGGAGGAGCCATGGTAGTTGTCGTTGTCGACATCACTGAAGTATTCATAAAACCATTGCCAGCAGGTATGAACGTCGTACTTCCGAAATACGAGGGTTGATAAGTTGTCCGAACTGAACTATAATTATTTCTTGGACTATATAATGCCCAACATTCTTTACATGTTGCACCATTCTTTTTCTTATATCCAGTATTATTACATTTCTTACAATAATAATTTCTAGGGAATTTAAAAGGTAATGAAGGATTTGGATTATATGCATGGGTCTTTAAATAGAATTTATCCCAACAATTTCGACATACTTCTCCATTTTTGATTTTATATCCGGTATTTTTACATTTTTGACAAAGATACCCTTTGGGAAATCCAAATGGTAAGTTACTATTCCCAGTATATAAGCTCTCGGTTGAAGGTTTGTTATTGGTAACTGGAGATGGTCTTTGTGGTGGTGGTGGTTGTGGTGGTCTTTGAGAGTGATGAGCATGTGGTGGTGGGGGTGGATGATTCGTTCTTGGGGGTGGTGCGGGATTTCTTCTTGGAGGTGGTGGAATAGGTTGTGGGGTAGGGGCATAACTTCCACCAGTACTAGTTGCTTCTGCATAAGTTGGTGGTAAGTCAATGGGAGTTAAGTCATCATCATCGTCATCAAATTTTCTATTCATGGCTCTTACAATTGTATATGGGAATCTTAAATAAGAATAATTCAATAATGACAGATTTTCCCCATGAATTCCTTGATTCTCCCCTTTTTTTTTTTTCTTGTTATGTATTACATGCTCAGCCCATGTAAATCATCATTTTGTTAAAAGCAATTGGTAGCACCATTGCTTAGCCCTTTCTATGTGCAACGGATATGAAACCAGTATAGTTTATTGAATATTCGTATTTTGTTGAATAATTTTTTCAAAAGGTCAGAAACTTACATTATATAATGAATTTATAGTTACATTATGAATGATGATTGACTTTTAAAAACGCGTGTGATTATCACTATTTTAATGTAACAATAATAATAATACCATGGGAAATTCAAACGCAACCAAAAAAAAAAGAACACCACCAAAAAAAGATTTTATTAAAAATCAATGAAATTTTTTAATTAAATAAATAAAATTGAAAAGACAGTTTTTATCACACAACTTCCTTAGTAATAATAATAATAATAATAATAATAGACTAAAATGATTTGGTTATCAGAAAGACAAAGTATGTGTGTTTCCTTCATATTAATCTCATTTGATTCCTCGAGAATAACTTAGTTGACGTTCAGTTTACTAACAATTTATAGAATTTGGTGTTGGATTTACTGCTGGTGGAATATTCTTTTTCATATTTGGAATAATTACATTCTTTGATTCAGGATTCTTAGCATTAGGTAATATCTTATTCATTATAGGATTAATATTAATTATTGGACCCCAACGAACAATATCATTCTTTACTCGACCAACCAAAATAAGAGGTTCAATTTGTTTTGGATTAGGAATATTATTGATATTAATGAAATGGTCATTTATTGGATTTATATTGGAAAGTTTTGGTATCTTGGGATTATTTGGTGATTTCTTTGGAACAATTGTTCAATTCTTAAGATCTATTCCTTATATTGGAGATGTATTAAGTAGTCCGATTATTGCCCCTACTATAGATAGATTAGCAGGCATTAGTGATGTATTACCTGTTTAAACCCCCCGATACTACCCCTAGACACTACCAACACTACCACTACCACTGCCACTGCCCCTTACTGCTACCACCACCACCACCTCATATATAAATATAAACCGACTTTGTAATAAAGTCCAGAAATAATAATAATTTGTACCATAGACTATATCTTTCTTTCTTTTAATAATTTACTTATCTTATAATTTATTACTTAGAGATTTCATGTATCCATAATTAATTAATAGATTATCTATTGCCATTAATGTTGTCTTACAATATTTTAATACAAAGTTAATATCAACCTTACCAAATATTTCATGGTTAATAATACTATTATTGTCTTCTTCTTGGATGTTTATTATTAATCCATTTGATTCTTGTCGTATTATTCTATAATTTAATTGGTTGTTGTTTGTTGTAGTTAAGTTTAATTGATTGAATAAATTTGGCAACCAAAGAATTGTAGATGGGGGATGTGCAATAGCCCTCGAGAAATTCCGATATTTAATTCCAATTAAATTAGAATTTATTAAATAATTAATATTCTTATTAATTGTAGGATATTTGTTATTACCTTCATTGTTTAATATAACAATTACAGGTTGTTGTTGTTGTTGTTGTTCAAGTAACTTGTTAATTAAATTTGATTTATTATTAATTAAATTTGAATTATTTGACATAAATATAACTCGATTAGTTTTAAATAATAGATATCTTAATTTATTAATTATTAATGTTGGATGATATAATAATCCAATCAAATTATTATTCAATCCTATATTAACAATTATTTGTTCCATTTGAATAGATTTATCATAGATTGGATTATTATTATGTAACGATCTATCAATATGAATCTCATTCAATGGAATCAAACATTGATCGGTAATTAATCCATTTACTAAATATGGTATCAATCCGGCATTGTTAGGTGTAGCTGCGGTGGTACTGGTGATAGTAGTACCACACCATGGTAATATATCTGTCATCATATCATTGTAGTCATTATTTTCAACTATTATGATTTGAAAGGTGGTTAACTTATTCTTATAATATAAATAAATTGAATATGCTACCAAATAAGCAACAAATGAAGAAGGAAGGTCTATTATAATTGTAATCATATTAGTTACCATCTCTTACTTTAATCGATCAATTCACCAAGAATAATTTAAGGGATTTTTTCCTTTGCTGCTGAGTTTCGTTTTATACAAGGGATGTAATGTTAAGTGGCTAAATTGTTTGGATACAAATATACCTTCATCTAAGATTCTTCTATCATCAGCAAGTCCAATGAATATGGATCTCTCCCTTTTGTAGTTCTTATTTGATATTTAAGTTTAGTATTTGAGAGAAGTGCCTTTGTATCTCGTGTTTCCACCCAACTGCGCTACTATGTTTTTAAGAAACCCAGGAGGACTTCAAGACATCGCCTATTTGATTACCAGATGTATCGAAACCAACAAGAGGCCTATGTGGATATGTGGTGATTCTTTTGACATTAGTCAAACGACGCAAGGAAATTGGATATATTAATTTTCTAGGAAAATAACAAGATTTATGAACTTCCTGAGTTTATTTTTTTTTTTGGTTGCAAATTTGCAGCAAATTTATCATAAACACTATAATTGTACCACGATAATTTGTATCCCAACTCAATCCCATTAGGACATAAACGGTTTAATTGGCATCATAGTTCTATTATCTGACACTGCTTGACGGGTGCGCTTTTCTTCAGGAAGTTGTCGTTTCCGATATCGAAGGCTAAAGGCTCAATAATAAAGTTTTCCACCGAAACCCTGTTTCGAACCAGTATGTAGCCTAGAGTTAATCCCTTTAAGATAATTTTCTCGTGAAGTCCTGATGAGCTGTTTGCTATCCATCAGTTGTCGAGCTTAATGAGGGTCAGAACTCGTTATGGAGGCACCCCAACACCAACAAGGAAATCGCTTATACCTTGACCCAAATGAAATAGCCTACTTCAAAGAGTACATCCCTTTTTACACCACCAAGGTAACTTCAATAGACGTTGTGTAAATATCGAAGAAAAAAGCAAAGCAAGCGGGAACTGATCCATATTCGTGCTTGCTTTTTGATAATTTCGTATTTTAATTAAACCAACCTAACATTGCATAATTCTTTCATTTAAACCATTCAAGGACCCAACCTTGGTCAATTTATATCGATATCTCCAGCTATTTCCATCCAAATGACCCCAAACTTCCACAAAAATCAACATCACAAGACGCTGACGCCATTTCTACTCTCAACAAGCTAATCCGTGATAGTTTAGTGGCTAGAATTACCGTTTGTCGCATGGTAGACCGGGGTTCAATTCCCCGTCGCGGAGCATTTTCATCGCGCAAATGGTTTAGTGGTAAAATCCAACGTTGCCATCGTTGGGCCCCCGGTTCGATTCCGGGTTTGCGCATGTTTTTTTCCTATTTTAATGATGGTTGGTCATTGATTTGTGATTTATTATGGTCAGGTTGAATTTTTTTTGGTGGATCTGATGGGTTTTCAAAATTGTTGCAGATTTTTTTTTTCTTTTCAGACAAAAAATAATTTATTTTTTAGTGCGCTGCATTCTAAAGAAAAAATAAAATTGATGACGAAAAAAAAAAATGCAAAAAAAAAAAGAGATGATGGATGCATGAAAGAATATCAAAAAGATCATTCATTTCATTACGAATGGAAGGAAATGAATTTACGCAAGTGAAGAAATTCCAATCTCGCTTATCAAATAGAGTCCCGGGTACGGAAAATATGATTCATAACATATTCTCCATACACCCGTTACATGACTGCAGGCTGTGGGGGTGGCAAACCTTTCCACATCAATAAAAATAATCTAGTGAGGTTAGTTTCTTTAATCATATTGCATTACAGCTTGCATACATGTACCGTCATTCAATCTTCTATTCAGGAAGAACAAGATGCGTTTCCTTGTCTATCTCTTTGTTCATACAGTGCCTTTTTACCGATGGATAGAAAAATATTTCTAGATCAATCCGGTTCAGGGACGCCTCGCGTTTGTTCTGTTGATATCGGGTCAGCTTTTCGTAGGTTTATGTAATATATATCCTCGGATATGCTATAGTAGTCACTTCTAGACTCGCTTGTTAGTACATCCAAAGAAATAGACTACAAGCGTAGAGAGGAGAAAGTGACGTACTGTCTGTCTGTCTGTCTGTCTATAAATATTTGTGCCTATTTACACGACTTAGTTTGCATCGAGTCCCCAAAAAAAAAAAATTAATACTGAAGGAGATGACTAGGTCTTATCAACAACAACAAATTGGTTGCAAAGATGAAATACGATTAACAAAATGTCAAAACCTAATAGGAGGAAAGAAATAAAACAAAAAGAGGAACTACAGGCTAGATTCCAATTTTCATTAGCTCAAACCAATAAACTTGCTTTGAATTGGTTAAAACCATTACAAGATCAATCAACCAAGGATGCCACACCTGACAGTGAATCCGAATCATCATTTTATGATATGTGTATCATACCCCAAGGTTCTGGATTACTGGCACTTGAGAGAAAGGATGTATCCAAAATAGGAGACTTTATAAATTCCAATGATTTGAAGAAATCAAACCTTCAAGAATCTGAGAATATTAAGAAATCAAGAACAACAACCTCAAAACCAATGCTTGCATTAATGAATAAAATGAGAGATGGACAACGAAGCAATATAAAGAAAAATTATGAACATCAGCGACAACAACAACGACAGAAGCCCCAATATCAACAAATACAGAAATCACAAACCGTGACGAAACCATCTCCTAACGATCAGGATTCGGATTCTGATGAGGAAGATAGAGAATTATTAAAATCAAGGTCGGTAAAGAAAGGTGCAAATATCATGTTTGGCGGGAAGCTAAAGGGTAAGAAAGGAGGAAGGCCGTTTTAGCATTCAGGGTAGTCTAAATTTGAACCCAGAAACAATGAGTTTCGAGGACAGTTGTTGAGAGCATTTTTAGTTTTCACGGCAATGTAGTACTACATGATATCGTAAATAGAAGATATAGAGCTTTAGTAGTGAAAGCCGTTTGTACTTATATATATTTATATCTATACACTTAATCTCATCATTAAAAAAACACAATGTAACACTCCAAAGGTCATTTAAAACATTAAATAAATAAAAATACAATAATATATTCACGTTAAAAAACTAAAAAACTGTCATTAAATAATTCCAAAAAAGCACATCCATTCTAACTCAATCTACGTCTCTTTGTATCGTCTTCTACCTCTTGTCTAACTTTCATAATACTATCATCATTATTAATAATGGACCGAATCAACAATGGCTCCTTCGTAGCACTAGTATTACTACTCCCATCATCATCCAACATTGAATTCACCGACACTTTCTTATTTCTTATAACTCCAGGCGTACTCGACGGAGAAACACTATTTAACTGAGCATTATAATTAGTTGGAACAGTAGGTGGACTCAAATTTCTATACAGATGAGGAGAAGCAGCATCTTCATTATTACTACTACCGGGGGATGAAAGTGTCGAAGTACTATTCACAACCAGATTATTGGAATATGGAATCGATATTGATTGGATGGGTGGTAATGAAGTTTCTGCATTTACATTCTTGAGGGAAGGTGTGGCTGTGGTTGAAAGGGATGCAACTGATGATACTGATGATTTATGGGAAAAGATAGATCCTTTTGACGATGATGACTGTGAACTGAATGAACTATCGTTGGTTAATCTAGGTCTTGGATTATTTGGTCTACCATTATTTGGAAATGGCAATTCAGTCTGTTTCAATTTATCATTTACATGGGAATACAATGATGGTTTGTTGTTATTCAGACCACTACTTAAAGAACTTGAGAATGGACGGATTTGATGATTGACTTGTAAATCAGGTGGTATACTTCTTGGCAATGACTGCGGTCTTGGTGCAGTCATATTAATACCTCCATTATTGGGATAAAGTGAACCTGAACCTTCTGGGGATTGATTATTGGTTGTTCGAGGTAAGTTATATCTCAAGTCTTCTTTTGGGGATGATATTAAACCTCCACTAGATGGCAGGGTTGGAGCTAATGGATCAAAAAACATTGATGAATTTCTGGGTCGACTATTGCCTGTGGTTCCTTCTTCCCAAATCTTCCTAAATTGCATGCCTGGCACATATGGTTGGACTGGGGATTGTTTTGCTATACTGTTAAGACCGTTCTGTTGTAGTTGCTGTTGTTGCTGTTGCTGTGGTGGAGGTGGGGGATGGTGATGAGAATCAGACCCGGGTGATTTGTTATCTGGAGTTGTAGATCGAAGTAAGCTTGGCACTGGTTCAGGTATTGGTACTGCTAAAGGTACATGTGGAGGAACATTTTGCATGGTGGGTTGTAGAGGCATTGGTTGTTGTTGTTGATAATCTACAAAGGGTCTAGATGGTTGTAATTGCTGTGGAGGTGGTTGCAGGTGTTGTAAAATATTAGTAGGTTGTTGTGGTTGATCCATTTGATATTGATAAAATTGTTGAGAAGGATAACCTTGATTTCGATTTGGACCTGCTCCAACGACAATTGGTGCCATTGGTTTAGGAGGAGGAAATACTTTGACTGGTACTTGAACTTGACCTCTAGGAGGAATTGGTTGATAATACATGTATGGTTGTTGTTGTACAGGTCCAGTAGTTTGGTAAGGGTGATTAGGAGGATAGCCAGTGTTTCCAGCCACTAGATATTCTTGATGGGTATTATTATATTGTTGTTGTTGAGGAGTCATTGGTTGTTGTTGCTGTTGATATGCATGATGACGTAGACTTTCTCCATTATAAGTATGTTTTGAACTATTTGAACTTGATCTTCTTTTGATATAAACTAATGAACGTTCATCACCTTTTCTAAATTTCCCACTCAGATGTTTAAATTCCCAAATTGGTGGTATATCCTTTTCATTAGTATTGACAGTGGAAGAAGTAGAAGGATCACTAACCTTATGGAATCCATACATATGCAATTGTCTTACAAAACTGGCCACATTGCCATGTTTGAAATATTGAGTTAAACAATCAGCAAATTCTTTACCTGGATATAATGCAAATGTATTTCCTTCAATATTATTAGTTGACCACCAAATTAAATGGGATAATTTGGGATCACTTAACATTGTATATAACTTATGAACAAACGCATTCTTCTTCACCCGTTCTTGTTGTTGTTCCAATGACTTCTTAGTCATCTTGTATATCTAATTATATGTCTGATATGTCTGGTATGAAAATTGAAAAATTAAATTTAAGTTTAAGTGTCCGTCTATTTGCAACTATTCTTTTTTTTTTTGTTAGTTGGTTAGTTAGGTTGTTTCGGTAAAAAATGTTTTGTGTGGTAGATTGGGGCAAAGTATATTTTCAAATATGGACAAATAAATATATTTGCATATAAGCGATGAAACTAATAAAACCTTAATTATTCAAATTAAATTTATGGGGGGTGGGGGGCGGGGGATGGGGGCGATGATAATAGAACGATAGGGAACTTTGTTGTGTCGTGAAGGAAACTGAGTCTCTATTTAAACTATCTTGGATTTTTCGTCTGAAAAATATTTTTTTTTTGATATAACCTCGAAAAATATTATTTGAAACAAATCAAAAAACAATGAACTATAATAAAAAAAATATCGTTGTCGTTGATGCGATTATTATTTTTTATGTAGACTTTGTTCTACTACTGGAAACAATAACAATTGTAATATTTTTTTTCTTTTATAGGATAAATGGTTTCCACCGGATACAATTCCAATATAACAAAACCTAAAACCAAAAAAAAAAATTAATGTGAAAATTTAAATCAAAAAAATAATAAATAATTTTTTGACTTTTATTTTTAAGTTTCTGCAGCTTTAATTCACTTCAATTATGCAGACAAAAACTTACTCCTGTTGTCTTTCAAAAAAACCAAATAAAAAAAATAATTTGTCAGAGTCTGGTTTTTTAATTGTGGATTAGTTTCTTCTTCTATCGAAAGAATGAAAACAATAAAATGATAGAATGATTTTGGCCTTATGAATTGTATAACTGGGGGATGACGGATTGTACAGTTGGCTTCTTTCTCTAATTGAATAATGTACACCTGGAGGAACCTTTTATTGTATTGACAAAGTCGGTGTTTAATAGGTGTATAAGGCGGGGAATCGGCTCTTATTTTTTTCTGTCTGATAGTTGAAAAAGATAAATATATATATGAATATTTATATTTATATAGATTGATTTGAGTAAGTATTTCTAGAAAACGTATTCTCCAAGGAATAGTAATTCTTATCAAGGGTTTAAATGCTTGGTTTCTTAGATTAAAATTTCTAAAGAAAAAGATCAATAGGAAATTTTTTTTTATAATTGCTTTAAACCAAGAAACTTGATGGAAGCATATCATTTATATATGTACCTTATGTACTTTATGTACAAACTATAAACATGAACATTTATTAGTTAATAGTTGAAAGGTTAGTTAAAAAATATTCCATACTGAACCAAAAAAAAAATTGCTCCATCTTTAAAAAATATTATAGATAGCTATATTTTTTAGGGTATTATTATTTTTTTTTATAGAACTAAAAATATTTTTATGCATAATATTTTCGTTGTTAAGGAACAAAAATTAAACATAATAAAAAATAAAACTCCACGCAACTAAAACCCAAAAAAATTCTTGTATGAATATTTTTTATTCTTTTCAATTCATAAAAGAAACGGAAATTTAAGAACGAATGCAAAATAATAATAATTATTCTTCTAAAAATATTTAAAGAAATTCAAGTCATTCTTTCTTCTTATTTCTGTCAACTTTTGCCAAAAAAAAAAAATAAACAAGCCTCTCTCTTATCAATGAAATATAGACATTAAACGATTCTTATTACTAAACAATAGAATTCTAGAATCACGTTCTCCCACAGTCTTTCTCTCTCTCTCTCTCTAATATTTAGAGTTTAAAAAAAAAGGTTTATCCCAGCGCCTCACAACACTTACAGGAGTAGTTTCAGATGAAGAAGAATATACATATATGTAAGTATATAATCATCTTCTGTTTTAAAGTTGATCGAAAGATATAGAATTTATTCCTGTTGCTTATGATTTTTAGTAGAAAATAAATCGAAGGGGGAATAAACTTTAGTGCTTCTATTTTTCCCACTCTTTCTTTCTCTTTCTGTTATATAATTAAAATAGAAAGGAGGTTAATTATTAGGGAAATAATTGGGATTTGTAATCTGAAGAAAGGTTTTAGGTCTTATTGCTTTAAAACTTTAATTCACGGCAAACTCAACACAAATTTTGTTATTTCCTTAGAAACTTTTTCTTTGTTTCTTCCTTAGAGTTGAAAACAAGAATGGCGAAACATATTTTGTGGTAAGTGAGAACGGCTCCAAACAAATCTTGTTGCGGTGCAAAAATCAAAAAATGAACAGATAATAATAATTCTAATTATTAGGTCATATTATTCTCTCCACTTTCTTCGTCTCATTTCATTCTCTCATCATTCCTCCTCTTCCACCTCCTCTTACCTGTAAAACTTTAAACTGATGTGTTAAAATAAACATCAAGTTACTGACTGTATACAAAACGAGAAAATCAAAAGATTCTGATTTCAAAAAATAAAGATTAGATTCTTCATGCTTAAAGTTACATTTGAAAATATTAACTTTCCAGAAAACTCTTTGGGGTATTGTCAGAATACATTTGTCTACATCTACTACCTTCATTTTTGGGTTGATATGTTCCCCATGTATTACGAGTCAAAATTGTCAACTTGGCCCCTTTATTATTATCAAGAAATTTCTCCAGGTACACCCTGGGTGAGGGCAAGAAAATTTAAAATTCTTTATGTAATTCAGCCATCACCAACTTTTTAATCTCTGGGAAAAGTGTATATTTACAGAAATAACACACACATATATTGTACTGGCCAATTTCCCCTTTGAGTACAATTCTAAATAATGGATCTCCTTTTGAACTATAGTTACAAAATTTTTGTCTTTTACAAAACCCTAAAAAATAGCATCTCAAAATTGTGAAGGCTAATTCATTTTTTAACTTCAAGCCAAGATTGCCATGAAACANAATCTAATCACCTTCTTCTATTTTTGGTCTTCTAAGAGTCAGCCAAGTAAATATTGAAAGGGTAGTTGTCCTGACTTGGCGAACTCTAATGTGATAGTCTCATTGACAATGTGTCTGTCTGTCAATTTTTTCTTTTCTGACTCTGTCATATCAACCAAAGCTCTGGCTAAGTTATGTTCCTGCCTACAGATACCTTATCGGTGTTATCCAAATCATGCACAAAGTGAGGAGAAACTTCAGAAGAGCTATGGCACAAAACAAGGGTTTACAAGCGGCAATTTCCGATGAGTATTCCTTAATGCAATGGAACATGAAGAATAATAAACGACTTCGCAAGACTATCCTTATTTGGCATTGTCAAGAATAGTTGGTTTGCTTGCGGATACATATCACAACTATCAACTTTCTTTCTCGCGTATGATATTATCCCTCCAGCTGCTATTATGCATCGTCTTGAGAATATTTTAAAATATAGAGTTTCTACAAAAGGAACATTATATTCCCATGGGCTAATTAGAAAACAAAAGTGAAATTATGTTTGCCAAGTAATTGCAAAAAAAAAAATAATCAATAAAAAATCATCCATAAGAAATTTGGGATAAGATTGAAAGTTTAAATTTGACTTATTGAATGTCTCACGTGTTATCCATTTTCTGCATCATCTAACAATCTCTTCTATAAGTTCTCTTATTCGTAATCATGTGAAAGAAATCCCCCCCCAGTAAATCTAAATTAAAACTCGTTTAGGGTTTAAAAAAAATTATTTAAGATTTGTGTTGCTGCTGCTGCTATTTCTATTTCTAGTCATATTATTTTAGACTAAAAAGCTTAAAAGTTTAATTACAGGTTATGGTCCCTGGGTTTCAAATTTGAAAACTTTACTTCCCGTTGCAACTTGTGAAATGTCATAGACGAATATAATTACACTACGAGAAAGGAGGAGACTCCATGGCTCTCAGTAAGACGAAGACGGATCGTGTCGCATTCAGCTAACAACCCCCCTTCATCATCAATGTATGTTAAGAAAAAGAAAAGTTGAGATTCGGAATTGCTACCCTTCTCATCGGTAACTTTCTTGTCCCTTGTTTTCTTTTCTCAAATAGAAAATCAAGTTATCGTATTCCCCTTGGCAAACCTGATTACATACTGACTAATGGTAGAATGTAACCAGAAGATGCGTTGCGTGCAGCAATTGACATATTCTCCCAAATTCTTTGATCAAGAAAAATATCACAGATAATGAAATTTCTTGTTTACCAAGAAAAGGTTTCGCTTTTGATTATGGATCTTTTGGGGAGTAGCGGAGTCGGTGTCATTGGACAAGCTAATTCATATCTTGAAAAAAATATTTGCTTTCGTGTTTGTGTCTAAACCTTTCTTTTAACTTGGAATCGAATCGGAACTTTTCTAATCTCTTTCTTACGTCAAGTCTTGACATGGACCCCACCGACTACAATTCAATGACTCAGGGCTAATATTCTTCCCTGTCAGATGTACAAACCTGTATGGCGACTTTCATTTCAGTCAAAGAATACACCTCCGTCACCTTAACATCAATTCATAGTGAGTTTGACGGGTATATAATATTCCTGCCACAATTGGTTCGCTTAAGAAATTATCCCAATCAAACGAAATGCAAAAAATCAAGAAAATTTTCCCTTTAGAAAGGTACGTCGCCTGAAACGAGATCTTGATATACCGTTAGGCTTGGCCCCCAATCGTAATCTAGAAGAACCCAAGAAAACTTATGAGCTGAGGTAAATTCCATTTCTTAGCTTGACAAGAAATTCATCCAAAAAAATATTTGAACTAATAATGATGTTTGTACACCATACCCATTTCATGGCTTGTATCCACTAATGGATACCTATACTTATGGAGCTGTGGGTCGTGAAGTAACAGACGTTAAAATATCAAAAGTACATGCGTAGAAGAAACGGTCATGTGATATATATGGTCCTGCGTATATACTTTTGGTTGCAAAGTTTTTCAGGATGGGCTGGTTAGATGACCGGAGGCTATTAGTGGCTGAAGCACCAGAAGGTAAACAAAAGAACCAAAACACTAAGAATCCTGTCGAATATAATAGGTTGTGACATGCATCCAAAATGATACTAGACGATACTTAAGCGGAGGCAATGATATTCTGGTCAGATTTATGCCCGAACCTCCCAAAATCGGTTAAGTACAATAAACAAGGTCCTCTCTCTGGAATACGGCTCTCAGAGACAAGTAGGTTTCAGAGTTTTTAGATCTCACGAGTATAAATGTGATTACGATCTTATGATATGGGGTCTAAACCCTCAGGATGCTGACTTCTACATTTTCCAACAAGCAATCCTATTCCAATATTAGATTGATCAAATACATCTATTGTTAATGAAATACTAAACGACACTATTCTAACAAAAAAAAAATCTTCGACATATCACTCCCAAACCATCCAGATAACTAAACGCTTAGATGGAACTTTGCTTCTTTAATAACGATTTACCACTTAACATATCAGCAACTTGTATCATATCTTCCCAATGGATAGTCTTACCCTTTCTCAACTTTACATTGGCTTCAGTTTCGTACAAATGCTTGACACACGTAAATTTAATAGTATCACCATGAATACCGATAACAACTGCCGAATGCTTTTCATCCACTTCATCAAACGACTCACTTCTTTCATGTTTTTGACCACATCCATTCCATAATTCAATAAATTCAACTGCCTTCAATGCGAATTTCACAGCCATAACTCTATCATTGGCAGTAGGAGTATAACCTTGTTGAACATGACCTGGAATAGCGGTTCTGGTTTCAAATCTCTTATTGGCATTTTCTTTGATGATATCAGCAATCAATTCAGTTGAATAAACAGAACTGGCTTGTTCATTTCTGATAATTAACTTACCATTATGATCTTCACCACGATCAGATTCAAACACTTTGAATAATAAACCTAAATCTTCTTGAAGTTGTTTCAAGTTAATCTTTGATTCCGGAGTATAAGTTGCCAATGCACCGGTAATCAACCCACAATAAGAGGCAACATAACCGGAATGACCACCTTGAACTTCAACCACAAACACTCTTCTTCTACTGGAAGAAGCGGATTGTTGAACTGCATCACAGTAACTGACCAATTGGTTCAAACAAGTATCTGAACCCAAGGAGTATTCTGTACCGGGAACATTATTTGAAACTGTAGCTGGAACAACCACCATTGGAATCTCCAATATTGGATAGTGTGCTCTTTGGACATATAATTCATGTAAGGAAGTGAATGCTTCGAAACCACCAATGATCATCAACCCTTGAATATTGTACTTTTGTAAATAGAATGCAACTTTACCAAAGTTCTGCGAAGGTAATGATCTATTAGTACCAATTTCAGAACCACCCTTATTATGCCATCCTTCGACATCTAACCATTCCAATTTTCTTAAATTACCCTTTGCCAATCCGGTAAACCCATCTTGAGCTGCATACAAATTATGACCACGAGAAATATTATAAAGGGCTACGGCACGAGTGGCAGCGTTTAATCCAGCAGATGCAGCACCCACATGAACAATAGCAATATTTAATCTTTGTTCTTCGGGTAATTTCTTACTTCCGTCATCAAAGAGCGAAATGTCACGGAAATGTCTATATGAATCGTAGAAACTGGTATCTCTCAAACCCATAGCTTTATCAAACTCTTTATTTTCAATCGCAGTAGCAACTGCCTTTGTTTGTTTAACGGCATCGACTAATGGATATTTGACAATTTTGTTCCTTAAAACACCAATCATTGGTGATGGAGTATTTGGAGTATTTTCAAGAACTGCTTTAACAGCTTCAACACCTTGTAAAGTAGCTAATCTTCTATCATAAGCGACGGCAGTACCACCTCTTTGAACGTGACCTAAAATAGTGATTCTGGTATCTAAACCTAATTCAACCAATACATCCTTAACTTCGTCCGAAGTAATTGGATTCAATTCATCATCAATGGCACCTTCAGCAACAATCACGGTAGTTTTTCTTCTACCATAACGTCTATGTCTTGAACAAACATCTTTCAATTCTTGTTTCCAAGTGGCTGCTTTTGGAGGTCTCTCAGGAATAAAGATGAAATCAGCACCAGTAGCTAAACCAGACATCAAAGCCAACCAACCACAATGTCTACCCATAACTTCAACAACGAAAGCACGGGAGTGTGAAGCAGCAGTGGCTCCAATATAATCAACCATTTCTGTGATTCTCTCTAATGCCGAGAATGCACCAATGGTGACATCAGTACATGACATATCGTTATCAATGGATCCCACTAAACCAACAATGGTTAAGTGTTGATAAGGAGCTGTTTGGGCTTTAGTTAATCTTCCTGTAGATACCAATTCCTCTACAAGTGAGGGCCATTCACTTCTAAATAAATCAGCACCAGTTAAAGAACCATCACCACCACATACAACTAATGCGTCAATACCATTAATAATCATATTATAGGCACCATCCAACCTACCAGCACGTTCTCTAAATTCCTTACATCTAGCAGTACCAATTGAGGTACCACCAAGTGATAAGAATGAACGAACTTCTTCCCAGACCATTGGCTTTAATAAATCACCTCCCTTAACTAAACCTTCATATCCTTCGTAAACGGCAAAGACATCACAACCATAGTAAAGACCAGCACGAACAACAGCTCTAACTGCAGGATTCATTCCTGGAGCATCACCACCAGATGTCATGACTGCGATTTTCTTTTTTCTGGCTTTTGGTTTAATAGCAGTTTGATCTTCAAGTATTATTTGTAATTTTTGACTTTCTTTAGCTTTACCAGCTAATATTTCTTGAGTTCTAAATTTAATAAAATCTTCAGGGGAGTTGAAACTTTTCTTTGATAATGGGTTTCTGGTACTAGAAAAACAAAGGATATTATGTAAAGGATCTTCAGCTATGATAGTAGATTCATTGACATGTCCATATTTGATATTTTGAGTTTCCAAAATCTCCTTAATTTTTGTCAAGTTTGCTGTGAAAAACACAAATTGTTTTGGAACGGTATTTAATGGTTCATGAGCAGACAATCTAATCTTGATAACAGTTGATTCAGTCAATCTTTCAGTAGAATCACCATCATAAACTTCTAATTCTTGCCATGGGCGTACATTTCCATTTTCATCAACATCTTGTAATGGGAAACTTTCCAACCAAATTTCTCTACTGGATTCTTTAGCAACACCCAATTGTAATTTAGGATTACTTGCAACAGCAGCAGAACTACTATTAGTGACTCTTGAAAAGCTTTTTGTTAATCTAAATCCAAGATTATTATAGAATTTATCAGAATCTTCAAACTTTTGTTTATCATTAGTAACAAGGGATATAAAACTAATTCCATCCAATGTTTCAGTAACAATTGCTTTGAACATTTTTATAATTTTGAAATTAATTGGTCCAAAAGGAAAAGGAAAAGAAAACAAATAAATCAAATGAGATAATGATAAAAGTGGAATTTATATATAATTAAGTAAATTAGCAATAAAATTGAAATTTTCAATCATCAGATGTCACCTCTTAAACTTCTTGTAAGCAAAGTTAAATTTTATTCCGGAGTAACAGGAGCCGTTTTTTGTAATTAATTACACGACCCTTTTGTATAATTAAGAATTTTATTTTATTTTTTAATTTCGGAGTTTTTTTCTTTCTTTGTGCGGCATGTGTGTTTCTACTCATAATAAATTGATTGATTGCAAAAATTTCTCACACTTGGAAAATCAAAGTAGGGTATCACACCACAATGATTAATGGAATATTTATATCTATATGTATGTGTATATATTCTCTTAAATTACAAAGATACTAGAATAACTATAAGATTGGTAACTATAATTGTAAGTAAAGATAATGAAAGAAACTGGGATCCTCCTCCTAGCATGTCCATATCAAATTGAACAAATATACGCTTATTCCCTCCACTTTGATTTTGATTGTGAAGACTGGAACTTTTGTTTTCATTGCTTGAAGTTGTATTTATAGCAAGAGGTCTGCCATATGTAGAATTTAAGGTACTTATTGAATAATAGCCAGAAGTACCAACTTTCGCTGAAGAGGTATGTGCAGCAATCATAAACTGGGTTGGTCCAACCAGTTTTGATACCGGCGTTTCGTAAATGCCTTTAGTAATGGTTATCTTTCTAGTAGCTGGATATTTGGGCAATAATTTTTGATGGAAGGGTCTAGTTCTTTTGGATGGAGTTGTTGCCTTTGCAGCCATTCGTGCAACTGGGAGCGTCCGTACGATTGTCCTTGTGATTGTAGAGCCAACCGTTTGTGGTGGTACTTTTGTAGTTCTTGTGGATATTGATGGACGTATAGTAGATGTTCTTGTTATAGTGATTTTACTAGTAGGACGAATGGTGGAAGTCTTCGTGAATTTTGGTTTGATGGTTGATGTCCTTGTAATTGTTGCTTTAGTCGTAATTGTATGCTTTATTCTATCTTCACCAAATATTTTTCCATTCTTGGCTTGCAAGTCGACCCATTTTCCTCCTGGGAGATTTCCATATGTATAAGATTCTCCTGTTGAATAATCTGCAACTTTCACATTTTTCACTAACATCATAAATGGTGCTTTTGAATAATCAGTTTTTCCACCTGCCCATGCGATTGTTCCTGCGTTGTTTGATGCGTCTCCGCCAGCCCATAGACTAAATTTAAGGGACATTGGAGAAGATGGAAATCCATATTTATTCTTACTATTAATTGATCTAACAATTTTTCCATCTATAGTTAAAATAATATTATCAGGAGTCCATTCTACCCCATAACGATAAAACTTATCTAATGGAGAACCGGGTAATTGATGATATTTTCCTCGATCATAATTGCTAACATTTCCTTTAATAAAATAATTTGTTTGAAATTCGTATGGATCACCTCCAAATATTTCTGCAATATCAATTTCATCTAAATCATCACTTTGTAAATAAAATGAGCTTATAATTCCTTTACCCTTTGCCCCCTTAATATCAGCTTCAACTTTCCCATACATTATATAAAAACTTGAAACTAATGATGGATTATCAAACGGTTTACTTAATGTTAACAGCATCCCATTGGAATCGAATTTAACTCCTCTTCGACAACTTGTAATGGCAAAATATTTGGTCCCCATTGTAAATGATTCAAATATGGAAGATCTTAGGGCCTCATTGGTAACTAAACATTGTTTATCCAATAATGGATTACATCTTATACTATCAAATTCCTCTTCACAATAATCTCCCTCGGCGGCAGCTGAAACCAACGATAGAACAATTCTTGGAATCAAAATGACTAATATTATCAAAACATGTGACCCATTTTTGCAGGCATTATAGTGAATATGTCTCATTTATTATTATTATTGAATGTGTATATGAGTTTGTGACTGTTAGCCGCCAAATAAAAAAAAAAAGATGGCAAAATTTTAAGGTTTTAAGTTTTTGCAGCTAAAAATTAGAAGGGTTTTACAGGTTAAACAACTGACGCGTGTCTGGCCAAAGAGAAAAAAAAAATTACAGTTTAAATCATTTTGGCCATATCAATTAAAAAACTGCGCTTATTCATCTTCTTCTTCTTCTGTCTACGGTTGATACCTTCTGTTTCTACTACTGCCAATATGTCTGATTATACAGAATCTCACAAAGTATTACTAACATATATACGATCATGTAGATATGTTGAACAATCTGAATTATTAGGAAATTTTGTTCTTATTTGTAATGCATACAATATTCAATCACCACTGAATGAGTTGTTGGATAATTATATTGGTACTATAAACTCAAGAATATCACATCAAATGTTTAAGATTGATAGAAAGAAGCACGAAGTTACTGGAGATTTATATTACATTTTTATAAACACTACCCCTAATGAAAGTATTAAACAAAGTACTACTTATTCCCCAGTTGAATTGGATGCTATTAAAGGTTTAATTGATAGTATTATAGAAGCTCCAGATTTTAAATATTCCATTGGGAAAAGTAATGCTCAACGTAGTATTGCTAGTACATTAAATAGAAGTCTAGCTGAAACTTCTGCATTTATTACTGAACTAGTGGATGAAGGATGGTTTACAATAACCCTTCAAGAAAGATTGTTATTATCCATCAAGTCCCTTTGTGAATTGAAGACTTATCTTATTGATAGATATGGAATCTACAGTACTGAAAGTGATGGAAAAATTTTGATATGTGCACAATGTAAGGAATTGGTAACTTTAGGGTTTATTTCTGTTTCGGATAATCCACTTAGTTTCCATAGAACATGTTACGATGTTTACTGTAGAAATAACAATGTCGATCCTGATGAATCAAGTTTATGTCAAGTCGGACCAGATCCAACTACTATATAATCAAGTATGTAATATATAAATGTTTAAATTTCAAAACTATCTAAATACTGTGCTTCTACTTCATCCAAGATATCCCAATACCATTCTTCCACTGCCGTTTCTTCAAATCTATCACTGAGTGGTTTAACTCCAGACTCATTAGGAAGACCAAATTGGAAATCAGGTCCTGGGTTTAATGCAACCGCACCCTCTTGAAAAGCAGAAAGCATTGGATAATATCCTAAACTTCCATCGTCGGTATTTCTATATTTGGGATTTTGCAGTTGTTTCAAATTCGGATCAATATTTAAATCTCCACTTTCTTCTAAGTTCGTAGGTAGAAACGAAAATAAATTTGTAATTGCTGTTGGTTGCTCCTTTCCATTCTTAAAGATCCTGACTCTAGAGTTGGGAATAATGGGAATATCTTTTGTCTTGTCATCACTTTCTAAAACTGCCGTTTCACCAAACACAGTAATTGGGTTTAACAAATGCTCCATAGTTTTAGTCGAGGTATATTCATATTGTTCATAATATAACGCGTTTTTATATCTAATAGGTATTTGATCTCGTAGTATATTTCCATGGTCATTGAACTTTTCATTTTCCAGTAAAGATTCTTGTAATTTCTCTCTGTTGATTTTTCTCTTCTTTTTGGAGTTTTCTTTACTTTCAACTTTAATTGATTTCTCTAATCTCTCATTGACAAACTTATCCAATGCCTCCCTTTGCTTTTCCAAAGATGGCAATTCGACCAAGAATCCAATCACATCACCACTAGTAAACCCGCCCTCAATTATAAAATCTTGACGTCTACTAATAGTCATAAACTCCCCATTCACATCTCGGATCCCATATCCATATCCATCGAACCCTACCGGTGCTTCTAGACTGGCTTCTCGTCTGCCTATACCAATTCTCACATGACTTTTTTCATTGGCATTGATAATCTTAAATTCAAAGTAAAATTTCCCTTCACGAATCCCAATATTCGTCCTAGCTGATCTCCATCCCTCTTGAGCTGCAATTGCTTCCAAATTTTGATCGTAGAGAATCCCATTGGATCTATCGAATATACTGATACATACCTTGTGTGGAGAGATATCAGTTGTGGCATATAAATTAGAAGGGAATTCTGGATTTGGACGACATGGTTTATATTTGAATCCTCGTTTATTAAAAGGATGATCTTCTGATTGGTAGAATTTTATGTTATCTATGGTGATGACTTCATTTGGTAATGATGAAGTTTGAATCAAAATATCCAGTCCTTTAAATGGAACTGGTTTCAATCGAGGATGGATTACAACATTGTGCTTTCTTTGTTTCTCTTTCAGTTTCCTTTCGAGCTCTTCTTCTTTAGAACGTTCTTTACTTCGAGTTGAATATGTATGACTAGTTGTTGTTGTTGTTGTCGTTGATGATGATGAGGTGGTTGCGGTTTCCAGTGATAATGAAACAGTACCTTTCCCTAGCTCCCCGATCGAGGTTGGTTCCTGTACTTGAGGTTCGATAGCTGGCTCCTCTGATACTGCCTTATCCAATTGATTCATCTTCAAGCTGTATGATTAATTTGTCCTTGCTTCATCATCCATTGAAATATGGTGTGGAAAATTACAACCATCTTTTTTTGATCCTGCACAAAAGATGGTCGTGTGCTTTCCGAATAATCGAGATCCTCCAGGAACTCTCATATCCATATCTCCCTCAGCCAAGGGTTTGTCGAGCAACCCAGGGGAACTTATCCAAGCCACTAATAATTAGTAAGCAAAGGGATCTTTCAAGAGAAATATCCTCGCCTTGTGGGAGGGAATACGAACATTAACAAAAAGAGCCCAAGACTCATTCTGTGTTTCCTTACTTATTGCAATTACTTGCAACACAAAGTTCCCAAATAGAGGGCGGGGTGGGGTGCCAGCCACCTCTCGTAAGTTCAAACTGTGTCGTCGAATCAATTTTTCGTGAATCGAATGATTTTATAATGAAATGTAACAAAATTGTTCCTGGCTTTTCTTCTATGAATTGTATTCATAATACAACACACGATCTCTTCCTTAACTAAGACACTAATCACAATGGCCTTCCATTATTGAAAATATGGGGATGGGGGACGAAGCCGATACACGTGGGCTTCGGTGGAAAACTTGTCCCGCCTGTTGCCTAAATTTATAGATCTATTTTTTATTATGGTCATTGGTAACTAAAAAACAATCAATCGAACTTTTATTGTTAAAAAAATGTCTGCATTGAAAAATAATCACAAACTATTATATGTCAAAAACTTAAAATCTTCCATTTTTAATCAGGGGCATGCATGAGAACAACGATCGTTATGCATAATTCTCTGTCACTTGCCAACTACAATTTTATATTTTTTTTTACAACGGTATTATTTTATTTTTTTGATGTTTTTTTTTAAATAATCGAAGGTTTGCACTGCAACGGATATGTATAATCTAACGGTAATATATCCGTCCGGAGCAGGTTTGACGAATCGGGCATTTATTTTATGCAACTTCTTTTCATTCTGTGTAACTGTCCTTCAAGCTGAATCTTACATGAAAACTATAAATAAATGCAAGGCAATATTTAGATTGTATATTGACAAACGTCCAGTAAGGGACTCGGAAATTTGTAAAGGATTTCCGAGATGGGTTTATCAATCCCGAGGTCTTTTACTAGTTTTGGAAAGCGGGGAAACATAGACTTAGAAAAGAATCTGCTCAAACTAAAGAAAGTTGACAATTTAGATTCCAATTACTAGTTATTCGTTTTATATCAGTTAGTCGTGAAATTGGAAGTGTAGCCTTGTTTGAATGTTGGCCAGAATGCATTGTTCACGACTTTGGAAATAGGTGTTGTTGCGAGGTAGAAACGCTTTGTCGATCACGTTCTAATTGTCTTTCTTAATTATTCTCCAATTTGATGCCATCTTGTCAGATGCCCTTGTTGATGAAACGAAAATCTTATTTTTTTTTTTGAGATATTTTTTAAGGTATTTTTTCATGCATTTAGAACATTTATTTTTTGATACTGAGTGGGAACTACCTTCCGCTTAAAATAAAAGAAACAAGAGAAAACAAACAAAACTGTTAGTTCGTATTTTTTTAATTCTAGAGAAATAATATTCTATTTCAAAAGAATAATAATAACCGAAGAGCATTTGCATAACGTCTTTGTATTCAATTTTTTAACAATTTTGTGAAACCAAAAAATGCAAATCCATGGAATTTGTGGTGAATTACGAAGGAAGTAGGCTGCAACATTTCTTTACATAAAAAGAACAATATATTTTTTCAGTAAAGTACTCAGAAATAGTTGTATGTATGCTGTCACAAGTGAGGCTTCTTTTATTTTTAGACCAAAAAAAACCGCGGGATAGGAACATTTATGGCTATCTTGTGATTCTGTTACGAGAAAGATTCAAGATTCAAATTGCTTAGCAGAGACTGTTTGCTTTGTACTTTAATTGGTCTGTTTATTCATGCGTACCAATTTGGAAATGCTCAATGCGCTCTCTGGAGCATGGTTTCATGCTTTGAAATGTAACAAATGCGTGTGGCTTACTTAGAAGTTAATAAAAGGTACTCCCAATAAAGCCACTCAATTTGAATTGTGAGCCCTCCCCCACTCCCACCCCCAGCCAGGCTTGACATTTTTTAGTCGAGTTTATGAAAAAACTAGGTGCTGCAGTAGTATAAATGGTATCATATCTATTAAGACAACGGGAGTACGGTGCTAATCACCATACTACCTGGCTACATACATAAAGAGGAAAGTGTTTATACAAGCTACAAAGAGTTTCATTTACATACTTTAAGGGGAACTTTCTTAGTGTTCGCGTACCTGGATTATTATTCCGACACCATGCATACATTTGTCAATCGGATGAAGGAACGAGATCTACAACCATGATGAGAGTACACACTTAAAAGCCAAACCATTTCTTAAATGAGCTCTTTTCTGCCTTAATCCTATTTGTGGCTCTACCGGTGTCATGTAACAATGCCTGACTCTTAACTAATACCTTCCCCTTCAGGTTCTCAATCACACTTTCCAAAACAATAGTCTTGTCATCATTCAACGGGCTTTCTTTCTTTCGAGTTTTCACTATCAAGAATTGATTAGCAAATGTTGGCCTTTTATAATTAATAGTTAGATTTTCAACCTTGAAATCATCCTTTAAATTCGAAGTAGTGGATTGCGAAAGTGATGCATTACGCTTAAACGTTTCATTTAATAACGTGGCAATTATTCCTCCATGTACTATAAATGGGTATCCACATAATCTATATCCCACATGAACCATAGTTACACCTTCATCGGTTTCAATATTGTGAAAAATTACTGGTTTGATCAAAATCCCTCCAGGTTTTGCCAATGTTCTATTTGTCAAAGTAGGTTCATGGTATTCATCTTGAGATTTAATTTTGGATTGATTATCTAAAACATTTCTATCCAAATTCTCCCAACTCAGAAGTTTATACCAGTATTGAGCATTCTTGGGATGCGTTAATTCTTGATAAATTGGATGGTTTTTCAAGTTGTATTCTAATTGCAAAGGAATAATATGGGCATTTGGATCGTTCTCATCCAATGATGTGAAGCTCTCATAGTAATTGAACAAAGTCTCGTTATATGCCATATAACTACCCAATAGAAAGAATGCTGTTGTTGTCTTCCAATTGATCCATTTGGGATGCTTTAGTTTTAGATGTTTCAAGGGGGAATCATTAGCTGATCGAGTGGAGTAGTTTCTAGCTGTATATATCGCCTTTGATATGGGTCCTCTAAATCCGCTTCTGATAAAAATTGATTTGTACATTGTCTGTTGCTAATATTATTATACTGATGATATTTGTTGGATAAGAAGAATTTCCTGGGGACAATATTTTTTTTTACCTTTAAGGAGAGAATAATATGGAACGAAGATGTGCTGAAATTTTCTCAGTAGGTACAAGATTTACACTCAAAGAAAATAAAGTGAAGAAGGGGTCCACAAGGGTTTATCAAATTTGCAACCCTTTACATCAATTGTGAGAGATCCTTAGAAGACTCAAAATGGGATGGAAACCACATTGAACTTTAGTCCCATTCAATTTTAGGATTCCAATTTAAATACAAGAACTTTAACATAAAAGCAAATGCAATTTAGTTGCGGTTGCAAATTCTAAGCTAATTTTACTGTGGGTACGTACAACTTCGACTTTCAATGATGGATGTCAAATTTTAGAGGGTAATCTTTCTAAAATTGCAGAAGTATATTTACTAATAACTATCATATTACAACAAAATTTAGATAGAAATATACCATTTTATAAAAACTATATAAGAATTCTTAAGAAAGACAGCAAGCTCAATGACGTCCAAGACTTCTCAAGAATTTTAGCAACCCTCTTCTTTTTTTACCTTTTTCTTTACTTTTAGGGGAAGAACTCCCTGACAGCTTTGTGTTCGACAATGGTGTTTTTGAGGTCAGTAATGCACCATCTCTGTTACTGGTGTTATTTGTGGAAGAAACAGCATCTAAAGTAGCAGCTTGAATTGGACGTCTTTGAGATATCCCGTTTAGTGGTTGTATTGCACCTACGAGCATTGAGTTGCCATTACGCAATGTACCTCCCCTAGTTTGTTCCCTTCTGCTTGGATGCTGCTTTATTGAGTTGGAAGATATGGAAATTGGCATTGATACTGATGATGAGTCTAAAATTATACTATGTTGGTCCCCATTACCATTGAGTGGATCGCTGTCCTTGTTTAGTATCTCGTTATCTTCATCCAAAAGTTCAAAGAAAATATAGGAGAAAGCACCTTGCCATAACTCCCACAATGGAATGCTTTTCATAGTGATTTTTGTATTTACTGATGATTTGATATTTTGAATAATAATATCCAATAACTTGGAATATAATTGTGCAAGTTCGTTTTCTTTGTTTGCACCTTCTGAATCCCAGAAAGAAGTATGGTTCCTGTGGTTGGCCAATCCATTATTCTTGAACATCTTGAAATGTCTATTGCGCATAACCTTAAACTGTTCATAATCTTTATCCTTGAAATAAATGAAAAATGATTGTTTAAGTTGGACCAATGTGGTTGGGTCGACCACGTCGTCATATTTGGCTGCAAGAATTTGAATGTTGTTCAAAAAAAATTCCAAAAATTCGATATGAAATGAAATCATCTCATGTTGGGGTGGTAATAAACTATAATAGTCAATGTCAGATGTTAAACTTTCAAATCTTAACTCTTTGTAACAAGTATTCCAAAAAGTATTATCTTTTAATAGTTTTCCAATACTGGTGTTACGTATTCTATTTGATTCAACATTATCATAAACGGAATCAAGCTTGTTGAACATTCCATAGATGTCCCTTACTGGAGCCAAGAAAGGATTATCATTGACCTCTTGGTGGTAAATGGATGATAATTCAGTTTCGATTCCGGGAGCGAATAGGCTGTCAGAAGTGGAAACCTCACTATTTTGTGAATCGGATTGTTTGCGTCTTCCAGGATCTTCAAATTGATCTTCTTCATAGCGTAAGTTTTCAAAATATGTATGACGCAAAACTTGGATCAGTTCTGGAGTAAAGACTTTTTCGAATCCACCAAATGAACTGAGATCTATATTCAATTCATGATATTTCAGAACTTTGGCTAATCGTGCGACTGCTTTCTCATGTTCAGCTAAGTAGAATTCAAGCTCAGATACTTCTATATACTTGTTCGTATTCATATCGTAGATTTTCTTTCGTCCCGGTGCACTAGCGGTCAGTTGAAATGAACGTCCTTTTCTAAGAAACGAACGTTTTTCCGAAATGAATGAGGTTGAATAATTGGAGTTATCGGAACGTAAGGAGGGGGTCATTTCCAGGGTATTTATCCTCTTGTCCTTCTTCGGGGAAACAGGCGGTAACGTGGAGTCTACCAAAAGAACCATACTCATGTTTTGGCTTGGCAACAAGATTTTGTTGGGGATGTCATCAACAGGAAATTAGTCGAACTTTAATAGTCAATCTTTTTGAATTAACCGAAATGCATGCTTTGAATTCATTTTGTGAACATATTTAATAGGCTCAGCTACATAAAAAAGTTCTATTGTCCTTCGGGTAGACTAGCCCATCTCGAACTAAATAGACTTTTTATTGTTTGCTTCCACAATTACGTGTTCAAATCCCCCTATTGGGGTCATCAGCCTCTTTTGTTAGTTCTCAATCAATTTTTCTAGTAACCATAATTGAATGAAACTCTTGGCTCTTCCAACGGTAAACTAATTTACTGCAAATCACAGGGTTCGGCAGTAAAATTCTTAAAAAATAATCCCTGAATCAGATCACTTTATTTTTTATTTTATTTCTTTTTTTTAATTGTAAATTTTTAAATAACAAGTCAATATGCGAAATCTCTTAAAGTTGTACACATGGAAAATTATAATAAGACACCTTTAGATTGTACAAAAACGAAATAAATTAAACTTTTGGGGAAAATAATTATTGACGCCATAGTTCATTCAAAAAAAATTGGAGATCTCAATCATCTCAAGAAGAGGTTTTTGGAACTGGTACATCCAAACCAATCAGATATCCGGCATAATGCATGCTGTCTCGAATGCTAATTTGACACATTATGCGTGTCTAAAAGTTAACAATTCATGCATATCAGTTGAAAACAATTCTGATAAAGCTATTGCAGGACTGAGTTTTATTGAATCTCACCTGAATTTGCAACAATTAAACTTTTTATTGTTCAAGCAGGATAAAGCTAATTAGTGTAATCCACAGTTTTCCTTTAAAAAAAATAAAATATCAAAGGGTATCGGGCCAAATTTGAGTTCGTAACCAAGTAGCTTTTAGGGAACCTATTGGTCCCTTTGTATTTTCTCCGACATTATTCAACTGGAGATGAGGCGAGGGAGGGGGGTGCTTTGCGTTTCAATAATGGTACGAGAATCAAGGATTAATAACTCTTTGAGCATATGAATGGAATCCTATAATGCTAAATCAAGTAATGCTTTAGTAGCAAATGTAAGCAAGACTCGCATGTTAGAGTACAACAATTGCTTAGAAAACTATCTGCTAAATGATCGGATTTGTAGTTAGACACCCCAAGTCTAGAAATTTAGAAATCAATCTAGTCTAATCGTAGGGTCTTCAGATTGATCTCTCCATCCATAAATTTTGTAATTCGGAATAACTTGTTTTAGTCCGAATGAGAGTAAAACAAGATGGTCGTTTCCGATAATATGGCAAAATGGTGGCTTGATCATCGAACCCTTCAATGTATTCAAAAGGAAGGGGTTGATCAATCTGACCTATCATTACTCTGTCAGAGCAAACGTGAGAACTGGGGCTACTGTGATTGTGGGATTGTCTCGTGATAAGACTAAAGTTTTGATGGCTAGTCAGAGGCACTCGTGTCCAACTTTAAAACTATTCAATATTTTTTTAACTTGTAATACGTTATTAGGCCTGAGTATCGCGGGGCCACAATGCCACATAAAAAATTTATTTAAATTAAAAAATAAAACTGATAAGTGTTGCAATTTGCAACCATTGTGTGTGGTTCGCATCGGATGATTTTCTGTATGAAATGTTTCATTGGTTATTGTTATGCATCGTAACCCCTGAACTATTAGTACTTTATCAAGCGCCTTCCTAGTCTGTTTGCGCCGATTTATGTAGGAACAAAGTTTAGATTTGGGTCGCCAGCTTTTTTTTTACACAAAAATATACTTTATCTTGATACCTATACACACTTATATACAAGCATACAAAGCTTAAGGGTCTTATCAGGCAATACCAATTCGAACAGCGCAATATACACCATCTCGGTTTGTTGGGTGATTCTGTGCCTTCTGTCTAAGGAGCCATCCTAGCCCGTTACGGCTATTCGCAGGATAACGGTGGGTTATGTAGCTTTACTTTTTAGGGTCTGCCCAAAACAACTAAACCTTAAAAAATAAGCCCAACACTACAAAAGTAAAGTAAAAGGCAAATAGTTTTTGAACTTTCATAAAATGAAAAAAATTATTCCGATACCGGGAGTCGAACCCGGGTCTGCTCGGTGAAAGCGAACCGTGCTAGCCGTTACACTATATCGGATTTTCTTGAAATTTTACACGTGACAAATTTTCGGGTCACCTGACCCCCGATCACGTGCAAGCGAAATCCTGGATTCTGATTGGCTGGAAAGATTGGTTGCAAAGTTTTGTTTCCTTTTTTTTTGCAGCTATTTATCGCATAGGGAATTTTCTAGGCAGTTTTTTTATGAAACTTACAAAGCTAACCAATTAATCTTTTTTGAATGGTTCATTCTGAATTGATATCTGTAGTCGTAACATGAATTACAGAGCCTCTTGAGGTTGATTGGAAGATAGAAAGGGAGCCTCATCTTATTCTGAAAAAATTTGCGAAGCTTTTTCCTAATTTCCTTCTCTAGTTTTCAATTGTTCGTTTCTCCACGTTTTCACTTAACGTTTACTTTCTTACATTTATTTTATAAGATAAAGAGGAATGAAGTTAAATGTCCTCCATTTAGGTGCAGCCGTTCAGCCTGAAGAATATGAGGAAATAAAGTACACATTGCTGCAAAATATCGTCGGTTCCAAACACTCGCATTAGTCACTGAAAGGATTGGAGATGGACGTGGTACTGATTTAAGATAAATCAGAGAAATACTCCTATTCACATGCTACACATAGCAGGAATAGCTTTAAGCCCTAGAAATTATACTTGTTGGAAACATTATAGTTAACATTAAGCTCTAACGTGAGATACCTTAGCTTAATAGATTGCAAAACATGGCTTCTAATTTTTTTGAAGGAATTTCCTTCTTATAAATTGCTAAAATCCTACTCTACCCCAGTGTCGAAATCTACCTAGGTATACAACGAGCATTTCTTTACCTTTGTGCTACAAAGAATAAGGAGTTTAAAAGGGTGAGCAATCTTTTAATTGCGTAACTCCCCGGTACTTGCCAATAAATAGATGTATTGGGTACTGGGTCTTGAGACAATGCAAAATTAACAGTATTGGGACAGAGAGAAAATCTTCTGATTATCCCTAATTTGGATAATTGACTCATTTATTTTACGCTGGTGTGAGATGGTGAATTTGAATAATTAACATTCCATTCATGAAAACGAAATGGGCAATGGCATTGAAGACAATCGACAATGTGCTTAAGTGGATTCTCTTTTAGAAAATAGCTGTTTGAAAAATACATTTAGTCATAGTTGCAGATTTGAGACAACAATAGGAAATATATCGTCAAGCTAAATATTCTTACTAGAATCAATCTTGAGGCAAAGATTCTGGATGTGAATCGTGAATATGAATATTCAAACAATTCTATTACATTCTGGCCTAGCACATCGAACTTGTCATTTTTGACTAAACTACATCAAGGTGCTAATCTTAAACCAAATCTCAAACCCTCACGACTAAACTCATACATCCTCATAATACAATTGGTTTGGAACCGTGAAGATTTTACTAAGGAGTACTCATTGCTTTTAAATATAAACCCTCGACAGCAATTATGACAGTTTTGACCGTTGCCTAACGACTACTTCTGTATTGGAAGATTGTGGGTATTTTGCAGCACTTTAAAGACCTTCCCATTATTTGTTTTTCACACGACCCTTAAAGTTTATTTTTTATTTTATTTTATTTTATTCACAGAAAAATTTTCAGACTCGATGGTAGTACTAAAGACATAAAGTACTTTCTACTAGCATCATAAAGCAAAGGACATATCATACCATTAGGACGAAAATGATCAGGACATCAATACGTAGGATTTCAAACAAAGCAATACCATATGAACCAGTACCAAAAAATAAATATAATCAAGTTAGATCCCAATTTAACTTCAAACCAGACCCAACTCCAGGTCTCGTCCATAACCCACCGGCAGCTATTGTAAATCCATCTATGCAAATTCCAAAGATGTTTCTCCCAGCCAATGATCCAAGACGTAATTTAGAAACCAAACGCGGCTTTTCCAAAGAAATTATTGATCTTATGCCTATTGTCGATGAAGCTAAATTCGTACCAAGAGCACCATACACGCAGGAAACTGCGGAACAAATAAGGGAATTAAGAGACAGTGACCCAGATAATTGGACTCTTCATAAACTCGCAAGAAGATTCAAATTGAATATAAGCTCAATCGGTACTATTATCGGTAAGCAGAGAACTTCTGTAAGAAATCCAGTAAAGGAAATGTCAGCAAGATCGTTTGAAAAGGCAAGAAGAGAGAAGTTGTGGCACACTAACCAGTATTAGGAAACGTAATCCTCAGGATAACTTTAAGCTTGTAACGCTTTCGGACGAAAGTTTCCAAACTTGTAGTGATAGTCTCCAATCCTAGTAATTTGTAAATAGATAATGTATAGTAACGTTGCATTGTGCATCTCAAAAGTAACTTTTTGACATTTAACAATTTGTAGTGAAAGCACACATTTGTACTATACAGTGGTACAGTAATCATTATTGTTCGTTGGTCCTTGGGGACTATGTCAATCCTCTTTTTCCCACCACCAACTAGTAAACCAGTCCGAAAAAAAAAAATTCATCTTGATTTTCCAACCAACAGAACCTCTCAACAACAAGCAATCGATTGCAATCAAATAACTTAGCATTAACAACAATATGTCAGATGTATGTATCTCAAGAGAAATTTATCAAACAGCTGGCATAAATTTATACTAACCCAGATTGTATTTTAGCAACAGCCACAACAAAGACAACAACAATCTCAACAAAGACAATATAGAAGAAGGAATAACCAAAGTGGTACAACAAAACAAGAAGGTCCTAAGAAGGAAGCCATTTTGAACTTAAATAAATATAAAGATCAAGAGATAAGAGTAAGATTGATAGGGGGTAGACAAGTCTGTGGTATTCTCAAAGGATTCGATCAATTGATGAACTTGGTATTAGAAAATGTTAAAGAAAATATCAGGGGTATGTATATTTACAAAAGAATCATAGAAGCAAATAGCTTTAGATACTAACATGACCTCTTTAGATCCTGAAGATGATACTGTATTAACAAAGGAAACACGTGATCTTGGTTTAGTGGTTGTAAGATGTACATCATTGTTAACCATATCGCCGGTTGATGGAAGTGAGATTATTGACAATCCATTCATTCAACCAGAGCAGCAATAAGAGCATCTCATTCTATAGAAATCGATAGTTGTAATATACATATACACATTATTTTCTTGTATTAGAAATTCATACCAAACCCTCTAAGATATTCAAAATTACACAGCATTTATATTATCAAGCATCAACAATTGTATGCTCAACTCTCCTCACGAACGATATCAACGAGAATGCAACGTAGTACCCCTATTTATGTGTCTTCCATACATCATACAACTATGTTGGCAACAGCCTAGAGATAGTTACCAAGCAAAGCACCGTAGGTTGAGAAAAAAAAAACAATTGATATCTCCCCATCGCATCGGGAAGTTCCATTCTCTTCTTTCACTATTTCATTATTCTCAATTGTACAAAGATAACTATACAAAGAATAATTTCGTCATGTCAGCGGCACTGGAAGTAGGAAAGAATGTAATATTACTCCCCCAAACAAATCAATTGATAGGATTATATTCAATTATTCGAGACCAGAATACCAAGAGGGGGGATTTTGTGTTTTATTCAGATAGAATCATTCGTTTATTAGTCGAAGAAGGATTGAACCATTTGCCAGTTGAAGAAGCTATTATTACATGTCATGGTGGGAATAAATATAAAGGAGCTCGTTTTGTTGGAAAAATTTGTGGAGTGTCAATTGTTAGAGCTGGTGAATCAATGGAAATGGGATTAAGAGATTGTTGTCGTTCGGTACGAATTGGTAAAATTTTAATTCAACGTGATGAAGATACTGCTTTACCTAAATTATTCTATGAAAAGTTACCTGCTGATATTAGCGAGCGTTATGTATTTTTATTAGACCCAATGTTGGCAACTGGAGGTTCGGCAATGATGGCTGTTGAAGTCTTGTTATCAAGAGGAGCTAAAATGGATAGGATATTCTTCTTGAATTTATTAGCTGCACCCGAAGGTATCCAGGCATTCCATGACAAATATCCAGAGATCAAAATCATTACTGGAGGAATCGATGAAAGATTAGACGAACATAAATATATTATTCCTGGATTAGGTGATTTTGGGGACAGATATTATTCTATTTAAACTAGTCTATATTTATACGTTGAATTTTATTTTTACATGCATTTAGTGTGGACAATTTCAGGGTTTTCATGAAATTCTTCCGCTGTAATCCACATCCGTTTGAATGTAGATAAACCTGCTAAAATCGAGCCTCCTATCCAAGTTGAATATTTTCTTTCTGGCGGAGCAAATATCTTTACCTTCATTTTTGTTTTATAATGTGAATTACCTTCCAAGTTCTTATTCCAAATGGTATTGGCAGAACTATCTTTAGATTCCTCTTGTAAACCTTTTAGTTCTTTTAATAAACGATCTCCAAAATTTTTGAGTAATGTATTCCCCCCAGAAAGAATTATATTTTGATACAAGGTTGGTCTTAAGTCCAAATCAGTTTTGGCTATTGCTAATGATGTTAGTTCATGGATCCCTGGAGATTCATCTCCAATCAATTGAGGATTAAATATAATCTCGGGTGCTCGGAACCTCTCCACTCCTAGTTGTATTGAATGTCCATCAGGTAGTTTATAAGATGTAAACACATCCGAGGATGGTCCACTTCTCATATAATAGGCACTATAAAGTTTCTCATCTTTTATTGGATCTTTAGAGATAAAGCAACACGATTCTTTAATCAATCGTACAATTTCCATCTCAGAACTGCTTTGTAAAGATATTCCTGACATTCTTCTAATTTGGAAAGATAAATTTTCCGTAATATCTCTTCCAGCAATATCCATTCGTTTTATAGACGGCGGAAGAGCAAATCCTTCATATACTGGTACAATATGACTAACTCCATCACCACTATCTATCACAACCCCCGTGGTTCTTCCAGATGCATATAGTGACAATACTGCTTGAATTGAGATGTAGATACAAGGAATATTGAACTGTTCAAATAAGATCTGACACATTTTATTTCGATTTGACCTTGGGTTTAAAGGAGCTTCTGTTATTAATAAAGGATGATCTTCTGAATTTGTTTTTAATTCTTGAGTATAAACATGATACCACAATTTTTCCATATCTTCCCAATTATTCACTATTCCATGTTCAATTGGATAAGATAATCGTAACAATCCCCTATTCTCTTGAGCCAGATTGCCTATGAATAAATCTTCATTCTTATTAGTTGAATCTTCTGACGTCAATGATCCTGCCATTATCTTTTGATATTTCGGTCTACCAATGATTGCGGATGCATATGTCTTTGGTTTATCTTCTCCAGCAAATCCTGCTTTTAAATTGCCTGAGCCATTGTCTATCACCACTGGCTGATTATATAAATTCCCTTCCATATTCTTACTATCACCTGTTGTTGATTCAGTAAAAAACAAAACACCAAACCTACCGGATAAATCAAAGGGAAGAAAAAAGTGTCTAACAAAGAGATCAAATCAACAAATATTTAATCGCGAGTATCAAACTCTAAAAAAAGTAAATAAAAGTCTCAAGAATTCTTTCTTTCGTTGTCTTTCCCAGTTAAAAAGCAATTAGTGAGCAAAACATCGAGAAATAAGAATGTTGAACTTAAATGCACTTTCATCAAATCAAAAGGCTCAATTAAGAAACGCGTTTACTTTAATAGATGGAGAATCAAGAGATGCCAATATAACAAAAGACGATTTAGAACAACTATATTCAACCCTAGGATTAGAAAAGCCTTCATATGATGAATTAAAATCAATGCTTACAATAGACGGAGAAGATAAATCAGAGTCAGGGATTAATTTTGCACAATTTCTGACTATTATGGCTAAGGAATTACTGAAGATTGAAGATAGATCAATAATATATAATGCATTGAAAACTTTCCAAGATAATGAACAAATAGATTCACCAAAGAATGACTTACAAATCGACTTAGATATCTTAAAAGAAGCATGTTGTTCTGTTCAATTAGGAGAAATTGGTTCTGGAGATCATAGATTATCAAGAACAACATTTGATAGTTTAACACAAGGATTTATACAAGAACAAATAGATGGTAAACAAATGTTTCTCGCATCCAAATGGATTGATGCATACATTGATTAGAAATGAATTTGCATTCTTCTTATTCTTTTTAATAGATACAAATATAAAACGTAATATACAATGAGTACAAAATGAAATGAAGGATGGGATGATGACTTTTCATACAAGCGACTCTGGAATTTTTATCCTTTTGGATGTGAAATGATGTGATTTACCAGGAAAATATCTATAAATAATGATTATAAAGGAGATCTATTGATCGACAATCAATTCATCACAACCCCAATCTTCATAAGATCCATCAGGTAAATATCTTCTAATCACCAAAGGAATCTTTCTTTGTGCTAATTCTTTCATGGCAATTTGTAAAGGATCTGTTTCACCTTCAATATCAACCAAAACAGGAGCATTAAGAGAAATCTGTAATGCTCTAGTTCCCAATATTCTCGCTCTTTCATATTTAGTCATATATGGAGTAGTAGTTCTCTTTTCTTTAGGAATAGCCAATTCTTTTGTGGTCTTTTGTCTTGGTTGTCCTGCCATAGCATCATCTGGTCCCAAACCACCGTTCACTATAGTTCTGCCATCTTCAGTTTTTATTTCGGGTTCTCTTCCATTGGTTTCTGGTTCGGCGAAATCATCATCGGAAAAGTGTTCAGGTTGATCGAAATCGTCGAAGTTTTCAACACCTTCATTGAATGCGTTATCTTCGAAATCAGACATGGTTTGTATCTATGTATATTTATATATAAGAAAAGAAAAGGGATGGAATCGAGTTAGACTTCAAAACGAGAAGAAGTTGATGGCTAATAGAGAGAGTTCATATTTTCCAAGGACTTCTCTCATCTGAAAGAAAAAAAAACATTTTGTGCAATTTCCACGACCACCTCGAAATGCTGTAAATCCATTATGATTTGGTTTGATGGATCCTTAAACTGGATCATCAATTTACGATGCATCAAGCCTTGTATGCTATAAACAGAGACTTTAGAGATCGAATAATTACATAATGGAATAATAAGGAAGAAAAATTGAATCAGGAGCTATTCTTAGACATCCCAAGGAGAATTTCACATAGTAATACTCTAAATTAAAGGACCCAAGGGGAAGGGTAACTGTATATTATGAACAGGTAACATAAAAAGAACTTATTTATTATTTTTCAACGTAGTGTAAGCTATCACTATTCATTTTCTCTCACCTTTTGTTGCTTTACAATTCATCAGCATATGGTAAAACATCAAGATCACCAATAGCAACATAGTTGAACTTACCTAATGGAGCTGCATCATCTTTAGCCTCGATATCTAATTTGTTGGTTAAAGTAGATTGTAATGCAATGGATAATTTGGCGAGCTCAGTAGCTTCAGATAATTGAGCCTTGGTAACAGCATCAGCAATCTTCTTGGCTTGTTTGATACCAGCGGCAACTTCAGCAGCAGAACCAGTGACGGAGATCACGAATAAACCAGCGTCTTGGTATTTGTATAAGAAAGAAGAAGCACCTGGGATCTTAGCTAAAGGAGCATTGGCACTTGGGACAGCTGAAGAACCAATGGCAGCAGATAAGACTTCGTATTTACCGAATTCTGCTGGAGTGACTGGAACACCAATGAGGGCAACAGACTTACCAGAAGCTCTGATTCTGGATTCTTGTCCCTTATACAAAGATACTTTAGGAGCGGAAGTAGAACCGGATGGTAAAGTAGTGAAGGCAGATTCACCAATGAATTGATTTAAATCGGCTTCGTTGGCACCTTGAGCAACAATGGAGACATTACCATTTTGGAAAGCTTCAGCAGCGAATGCTTGTACGTCTTCAAGGGTGATTTGACTAGAACCATCGTAGTATAATGGGTTACCTAAACCCTTTCTGAAAGCAATTTGATGCAATTCTTCCAAGGCAACAAATGCATTGTCAGCTCTAGAAGCTTGATATTCGGTCTTAGCAACTGGTAAAACAACTTCAGTAAATTCATGTGGTCTAAATGAAGTATTAGCTACAACATTACCTAAAGCTTCAACATAATATGGTAAGTTTTCCTTTAAGAAAGTAGTGTTTAAGACTAAGGAATCTCTAGTAACTTGGGAAGAGAAAACACCACCTAATAATTCAGATTCTCTAGTAAACCTTAAAGCTGACTTGGCATTGGTATTTAAAAAGGTGTATTTAGATAATAAATGGGAAACACCTGATTTACCAGCCTTGGAACCAGCATTGTTGATGATAACAGAAAGATTGGTAATTTCTGAAGCAGATTCTTGAGTAACTACTTTAACAGCGGAACTATAGGCACGAACTGCGACACGAGATAACATGTTGTAGGTTTGTTGCTAATAAATATATCAATTAATGATTATAATTTTCTAGAAATGAAAAATTCCTAATAATACTCATTTAAGGTGTGCTGAATATTTTTTTTTTTCTTTGCAATTAAAAATTCTCAATCTTTGATTGGTAAAAACGAAAAAACCAGTCCTGCACGTGACTTACCCTTTTTTTCACTTTTAAAAACTCTATTTAATTAACATATACAATGTATATTTACAATCTAATTTACACTAATCTAAATCTGAGCCAAATTCAATTTGGTTATATCAGAGATATTATTTTGTAAAATATAATCATAAATTAATTTACCCCAAATTAAATCCATGATAATTAAAATATGTACACCACCCCAAAGCAAATTAATACTGTAAAAGAAATTAGCATTACCATTACCCAAGACAATCCAACAATAATAGAAAATCGGGGAAAGTAATAATGTAATTATTAATGTTAATCCTGTAACATAAATAAATTTGCAATATGGAATAATTGTATTTTTAAATATCGGAATAATTGACAATGCTAAACCTAAATCACCAAATGTTGGATATGACTTTGTAAAAGATACCCAAAGGTATACCAATACCAAGGCTAAAAATGAATCTCCTTGCTTAGGGGTTGATTTATATTCAAATAACCTAAGGGTAATTGGGATAACATATATGATGGAATAAAAATTAAACATTCCCACATAAAATGGAGTGAAAAATTCAAACATCTCTGTAAATAAATACCACCATAATCCAACATTTGGTGTTATCTTTTTAAATAATATGACAGTCATATAACACTGTTCAAAGAATTGTGATGAAGCTGTACTTGCAAAGGAAAGTATCATAAGTAATCCAACAGTACAAATGAAAATGGTTAATCCATGAATATACATCTTGGAATAATCTTTCTTTTCTGAGCCAATAGAATGAGCTAATGCCAACATTGGCGCTAATAAATAAATAGGTGTGAATGATAAATATGTTGCATTGGCCAAAGCAATCATGGCTCTAGATGTATTTCTTCCTAAAACAACTTGATTCAATGCTTCCATTATAAATGCCCAAGAAAATACAATTGTTGAATGTGAAAGATTGGTAATTATAATAAGTGGATTGAACAAATAAAAGAGAGCAATCAAATTATCATTGAATGCTATGTATTGTTTGCCAATTCTTTTTGAATTATAATCATTATACCATCTATTAAGTTGAACAATTCTCCAAGCAATAAACAAATCAATTAAACTATATAACAAATGAAATATGATTTGATTAAATGGTAACGCATTTATAAATGATAGTATAATTACTAAAATGGGTGGATGATGATTGACACCTCCATCATATAAATCAATTCCTTGTTGTAAATAATAGAATGCTTCTTGTAATGATTTATAGGCATTTATTGGAGTGGTAATTTCTACTTTTGAACCAAGAATTTCAACAATCAGGGGGAAAATAGTTGGTAATAAGAAACGTATGAGACCACCAATGATAAATACTTGATTAAGTTTACTCATCGTTAAATGATTTGTAGGTTGGAAGGTGGCTTGTCTATTGAAAGAGATTACAGGGTGTCTGTTTCCAGAACTCTTTAACCAGTCCAACCCAAGCGCGGAAAAAAAAATATCAATGGGTGAAAAAGTAATGGAATTTCAAATCCCAAGAAGAGAAAGAAACCATCGCAAAGTTAAAAACCAAAATACAATATGTCAACAGTAAGTTACTTCGATCTAAAAGAGATTAATACAATGTAAGAAATAATACTAACAAATGACAAAACAGTTTCAACCAATTAATCCTAAACCATTTCTAAAATCATTAATCAATAAAGAAATAATAGTTCGATTAAAATGGAATAAAACAGAATATAAAGGTAAATTAATAAGTATAGATAATTATATGAATTTGCAATTAGATAATACTTTTGAAATAGTCGATGATAAAGAAGAATTAATTGGTGATATATTCATAAGATGTAATAATGTATTATTTATACGAGAAGCAGTAAAAAAAAACAAGGAGGAGGTTACAGAAAGCGATGACATAGAAATGTAGTTATAGATAATTGTATTTATAGTAATAATAATCGCCCAATTCTGTTTATGGAAATACCAAAGAGAACACAACTACAATACTTTGTGTCTTAAAAATGTATTTTGACAAGTAGCCCAGGCTTTGCAATAGACTAGCTCCCCCCAAGGCATCTTGCGCAAAGTATAAACTAAATTCCTGATGTGTTGGTTAGTGAAAACTGAGCTTGAGTTCAGATAAATGCCAGGAACGAAGATAACCGCAACAAGCCCAAACGAATGTCTCTAGTCCGAGAGAAAAGAGACCGTTCCCATTCCCAGCGAGGACTGATTCTATAAAACTGACGCTTGCCACTATTAGTGTAATTCCCAAACTCAATATCTCAACTAAAGTGTTAATCTTTCTCATTTATGTTTTCTTGTTTGCAGCACCCGAAATCATATACCGATCAGGCAACTCACGTTTTTCATTCAAGAATACATATTCCTTATTGTATAAGTTTAAACTGAAATCATTTATGTGTTGTTGAACCCCACGTTGGCAAACTTATTCTCTAATTAGTTCCATATATTTTTACACCGCCGAAGATCACGTGTATTATTTTTCAACCTTCTTCTTATCAATTGACTCATTTTTTTCACTTTACCGCGCCAAATCTGAAAAAAAAATGGGAAAATTTTCAGGTATAATCATCTTCCTTTTTGACAAATCACACCAAACTTATACTCACATACTACTACCGCTACTACTACCATGGACTTAGTAAATCACTTACCAGATCGTTTATTATTCGCTGTTCCTAAGAAAGGAAGATTATATGAAAAATGTTGTAATTTGTTAAGTGGAGCCGATATTCAATTTAGAAGATCAAACAGATTAGATATTGCCCTTTCCACCAATTTACCAGTGGCTTTAATCTTTTTACCTGCTGCCGATATCCCAGTCTTCGTGGGGGAAGGTAATTGTGACTTAGGTATCACCGGTTTAGATCAAATTAAAGAAGCAGATATGTTTGATAGAATTGAAGATTTATTGGATTTACAATTTGGTTCTTGTAAATTACAATTTCAAGTTCCAGCAGCTGGAGAGATAAATAGTGCTAAACAATTAGTTGGTAAGAAAATTGTATCATCTTTCACCAAATTAACTACTGATTATTTTAAAGATTTAGAAGGTGTTTCCGATAGTTCAGAATTATCCACTAATATCAGGTATGTTGGTGGTTCAGTTGAAGCCTCTTGTGCTTTAGGAGTTGCCGATGCAATCGTCGATTTAGTTGAAAGTGGTGAAACCATGAAAGCCGCTGGGTTGAAAGCTCTTGAAACCATCTTATTAACTTCTGCTCATTTGATTTCTTCTAAGAGTCCAAGATTTCCAGAGATGGTTGCAAAAATTCTTCAAAGATTTGAAGGGGTATTAGCTGCACAAAGATATGTTTTATGTAACTATAATGCTCCTAAAGCTATCTTAGCCAAATGTTTAGCCATTACTCCAGGTAGAAGAGCTGCGACTGTTTCTACTTTAGATAAGCACTCAGCTGATGAAGAAGATTGGGTTGCTATCTCTTCCATGGTAGAAAGAAAGTCCATTGGGGACGTTATGGATGAATTGAAACAAGTTGGAGCTTCCGATGTGCTTGTTCTTGAAATTGCAAACTGTAGAGTATAGAATATAGAGTTGTACATATACATTGTAATAAAACCAACAAAAATAATATGGGTTGTATATTAATTATACACTGCCATTTATACATCGATGGACCTTATACCATCCTTGTCAACCACCTTAACATACACTCCTTTGAAGTCAATTGGCATTCTAGTTTCCAATTCCTTTAAACACATCCTTAACAATTCCAAGCCCTCTTCAACAGTCATACCTTTTCTATAATGTTTGTCTAACAATGAAGTAGTATAGAAACCAGCATATCCATGAGCACCATAAGGCAATTCAACTTGAGTACCCAAATAGTCGATCCAATTCAAACTTGGTTGATTTGTTTTAATATCATATCCTCCAATTAAACAATTAACTTGATATGGTTTACGAGATCTAAGGGACGTTGCCAATTGATTTCTAACAAATGAAGCAGTAGCTTTTGGTGATAATTCAATATCGTTTTCACGCATTGAGTATAATTGGATGTTAGCTTGTACATATTCAGCGAATTGAACTGTATCTCCTGCTTCACCAGTATATGCTATTAAATTATGCGCATTAAGTTGTCTAGTTTTATCATCGGTATCTTTTAATATAGAAATGCCTCTTGTTGCTGCTTTGGAGGTAGCAATTATGGTTGATTCTCCTAATCTAATTCCAAGAATGATATCCATGATTATATTATACTATATGTTTTAATGAAAAAGAACTATATTCAATTGATCTTTATGCTACGTAGAAAAATGAAATAAATTAAACTGAAATATTGAAAAGTTGAAAATTTGCCTTCCAGATTTTTTCTCTCTCTGTCGTTCCACCAAAAGAGAAAATTGGTGTTCATTTGGTACGGGGAGGTTGTTCTTAGATCGACGTTTTATTAAATATAAACAATAGTAAGAGAGAAGAACTATTTAATTAATTCACTTACTTTCTTTTCAACCAATGCAGTAATTAATCTATTTAATTGACTATCTTTATTATCAATTTGGTTACTTAAATTGACTTCGATTTGTTTAGCAATTAATTTCCCCATTAAATCAACTTCAATATTCACAGTATCATTAATATTCTTTTGACTTAAGATAACCTTTTCTTGACTATAACTAATCAACATAATCGAGAATTCTGCTTTAGAATGATCAACATTGGTAATAGTCAAAGAAGTACCATCAATGGCGATGAATCCTTTATGAACAATATAATTGATGAATTCCGTATCTCTTAATCTAAAAGTAAATGTAATCGCATTCCCATCGGGGACTCTACCAACAATAGTGGCAATTGTATCAACGTGCCCTTGAACAACATGTCCTCCTAATCTTACATCACTTGTCACTGCTCGTTCCAAATTCACTTTAGAACCCACCTTTAAATCACCTAAATTCGTTCGACGGAGGGTTTCTGGTGCAACCCCAACTTTGAACTGAGTACGGGATTCATCAAACTCGGTTACAGTCAAACATACCCCATTAGTAGATATGGAATCACCTAAATGCACATCAACCAAAATCGAAGAACAATCTCCAATAGTTATGGATACACCATTTCCTCCCGAAGAGGTGGTATCATTGGGAACATATTCTAATACCGTCCCTATAGTTTCTACCAACCCTGTAAACATGATGTTTAATGCGTTCTATAAGAAAAAACTTTGTAGTATGACTGTTCGGAATAATGATAAATTTCTGAGAACTTTTCGGGTTGATTCGCGGGGCTTACCTCATTATTAGTCAGACACAATATTTTTTTCACTTCCCCAAGCATGTCCCATTTCGTTGTTAGTAAAATTTGATGAACTTGCTTCTATATTAGTTCCCACATCTTATAAGCTTAATAATATGCCATTCTATAGTATCAGAGGGTAACTTGACACGCCGTAGACCCTTCTTTAAAATCATGGAAAACACGTCCTAGCCGTCTCTCCTCTTTACTATCACCGAAATCATGAAATATCCTCAAATGTTTTACCAAGCAGTCAATAGATAGATGTCTATACTGCGATACTTACCTAATACGTAACCGGGGCCTCTGCTCCCCATTCCATTATTTAAGTAAGCTACTATGTATTCACATAGTTGTACTGAAAATTACTGCGATCTAAGAATAATTCAGCACGAGACTGATTTTTTTTCCTTGCTCTCTCGAAACAAGTTTTCATCAAATTCCCAAGCCCAAAGAAAGACCAGGATTGGCAGTAGTAACAGATCAGCAACTACAAAAAGGAAGAACATGCCATTCAGATTCCCAGTTAAGTTTCCAATACCCAAGCACGCTCATGTAAATGCTAGAGTTCTCAGAGACCAATTCAAAAGATTGCAATATGCTGAACATGAAGTCACCAGAAATGCATTGAGATATATTGCTAGAAACACTGAGTTACCAGCTAGAGCTAGAATGGAAGCACAAATCCAACTTGGTACCATGCCTTCTTATACTGCTTTCTCCCAAATTAAAAACAGATGTGTTGCTACTGGTCATGCCAAGTCGGTTCTTGGTGATTTCAAGTTAAATAGAACTGCATTTAGAAACAAAGCCAGAGCAGGTTTAATTCCTGGTGTCAAGGTTGCTTCTTGGTGAGCCTTTACTTGGCCAATGTTTGAGTATGCCCCCCCTTGTATATATTAGTAATGAATACATTTCAAATGGATATAATCACAACTATGTAGAAGTTGTATCCAAACTTGTTACAACTCGCACTCTCTCCAAAATCTATATGCTCCTCCAGTAGGACAGTATTATTCAAGATAGGAACTTTTCAGATCATCCAATCTACATTCGTATCTCAGCTTATTTAAAAGAGATTTAGATTTTGCTGCCTAACATCATTCATTTCATTGACAAAACCCGCATCGACAGCCAAAGAAAAAAAAACTTCAAATCTTAACCAGTTTGTATCGTTGCAACAACGTCATAGATAGATTCATATAGATACCTACAAACAATGTTGATGCTCCCATCAGTCTTAAGCAAAAAGCCAATAACAAAAGCTTCTCAAATAATACTTCAAAGGCACCTAAAATTAAAGCCAGATTTCTCCAAGTTGAAGTTAAAAGAACAACCTGCCGGTTATGTAGTGGGTACTGTGAATGATGCCTACGTTCCTCCAGTTGCCGACCATTATGAAGGTAGTTATCATTGGACTTATGAGAGAGCTATAACTATAGGTATGATTCCATTGGTCATGTCTCCATTTATCTCAGGTGTTGACTATCCTATGGTTGATGCTACTTTTTCAACCTTACTTTTATTTCATTGTCATGCTGGGTTTAAATCTTGTATTATTGATTATGTACCAAAAAGGGTTTATGGCGTCTGGCATGGAGTTGCATGTAAATTATTAACTTTAGGTACATTCATAGGAATGTATGGTATTTATGTTTTAGAAACTTCAAGTAATGGTCTCTTTGATTTGGTTAAAAGTATTTGGGCCGCTTAAGAAAGATTATAGCATAACTCTTTATTTCCTATTTAATTTGTATATATTATTACTATCTAAAACAATTTAGAGAAATCACGTCATATTTAACAGAGGATTCGATCTACTTATACTTTCACTATTCATTTTCTTGGAAGAGTAATATATGATCCCATCTCCTTTCGGTCTGTTTCATTTGAATGCACATAATTTAACCAGCAAAAAAAGATTGTTTTTTTTTTCAACATCGTGTTACATAATCTCTCTCTCTATATTTCTATTTATTCCTTTCTTCTTTACTTTCCAGTGGAATAATCAATCAATCTCAGGAACTGCTGAAATATAATGAGTGATACTGAAGTTCTCGATTACGACAGACAAAGTAGTGTGGAGCCACAACCATATCCACAATATCAAACTCGTGTGGCCGTACCTAGAAAAACGGACCATATCGGACTTCAATTACACAGCGAAGACGATGAAGTTGTATTTTATGAAACTAAAACTGATCCATCTTTCCATGTTACTCGAGCATTGTTTATTGCCAATTTAAGACGTCCAATAAATGCAGCCCATTTCCAAAGCTATTTGAAGGATTTGGTTCGAAAAGGTGGAGACTATCATATCGAGCGTGCTTGGTTGAATAGACTAAGAACACATGCCATAGTATTGATCGATAAAGAAGAAGGTGCGCAGTATTTGCGTTCGAAATTACTTGGGTCCATTTATCCACCTGAAGATGAAGACCAACAATTGAGGGAGGAATTTCAAGCTCAAGAGATTCAAAGATATGAGAATCAAGTTAGGGAATATGAGGCTGAATTAGATCGTATCATAGATGAAAAGGAAAGAGATTCACTTAAACCCCCAACCAAACCCAGAAAATATGTTACTGAAAGAAATCCATTATTTGTTGACTATATTCCAGTTAAGGCAATCAATCAATGGGTTTTTGAAGAAGATAGGGGACCAAAGCATGGAAAATGGAGAATCGATTATGAACACCGTGAGGGTGAAACAATTGTTACTCATACTCTTTTGAACGGTGACTTTATTCCTCGATACCCAGGACCACCACCTCGTCGTTCATATAGAGATTCTGGTTATCGAGATGGTCCTCCGCCACCTCGTTACAGAAACGACTACTATAGAAGGGGTCCTTATGATAGACCACCACCACCTAGAGGTGGATATCCAAGACCATATGATAGAAGAGACAGAGACCGGACGAGAGATTCATACGTTCCAGGCGGACGTGAAGAAAGAAGGAGCCGAAGAACAGACACCTATGAACCTTCTAGACATACAGGTAGAGAGAGATCGAGATCAAGATCAAGATCTAGATCCAGGTCTCCAATGTAATGGATTTTTGTAATATTGTATTAAAACCAATTTTGTATTAATTACTTTTTCGCTTTTTGTCTAGCCCCAATACTTTTGTAGAAATCACACCTCTTTTATAGGTTTGACATCCGAAGAATCTGATGAGATATCGTTTTCAATTAACGAATTGGTATCAGCCTTTGACCTCTTTGACAGTATGTCCACACTATCCGATATTTCATCCAATGGATCATCATCCCGGGGTCTCCTTCTAAAATGATTCTGCTTATCAGATCCGGTGAAGTAGTCCTTTGACTTCAGGTCTTGTTCAATTTCTTTGTCTTTTGATTCGGGTTCTGTTTGAGTATCTTTCTGATTTGGTTGTGGAGACGGTTGACTTTCCTTCTCGTTTGGGTCAGCTTCAGATCTATCTTTGTCAGTTGGCTCGGATGGCAGTTGATTATTACGCACACTTGATTCCCCATCCAACCATGGAATTTCCACGAGTGGAACTTTAGCCACAACCGACGGACCTACAGAGGTGCGTATTATTGTAGTAGTAACATCGATATCACCACTATCCGACTTCAGCATCTCAACTGGAGGGAAATCATCAACGGTTGAAGAAATGAGGAATAATTTCGTTAAAGAATTGAACAACTTTATGATTTTATTACTGTCCTCTAAATCATAACCTTCTTTGGTGGGGTCTATCAATACCTCTGCTATTCGTGGAATTGTGAAAGGAGGTGACTGTAGGAAATGGGAGTTGATATGTGATTTTATACGTCGTGAGGCTGTAATAATATCTTCATTTGGTTCATTTGACACGTCTATGATTTGATCTAACCTTGTTAAGATCATTGATAAAAGTTTTGATTCCCATTCTATTCCATTTTTAGTTTTATCGAATGTTTTATTCTCAATTATTATTGACAATTGTTCGGCAAGCTGTGGATCTATGGGAGGTAGATGATGAGACATGTGCTGCTATATATAAAATATGCATGAAAACGAATCTGCCTTGGAAATGGCCACTTTCTTGTTGATGTTTAATATTGGAGCAGAAAAAATCGTGCTGCAAAGTATTGGTTACTAAAAATCACGAGAAGACAGAGACATAATTGACAACCATTTTACTTCATCAAACATTGAGAGAATTTCAAAAAATATGAGGACCATTAGATATGGACTGAAATCGCTTCATTGCTTTAAAGTTCAATTGATTAACCAAGGCATGATTTAGTCAATTTTTATACAGTTTCTGCCACACTTGATTATGGTAATAAATTAGTAGACTTTTCTGTGATGACTTTGAACTCTATGAATCAGAAAGCATCCAATAATGAGAGATCATTACATATTCTTCCCCGTTCCACTTTGAAATCAACCAAAGCTAAACGAAATGAGTTGGTTTAAACATCTGACCAAAATGCAAAACATGCTCAAAATTACACTTATTTAGGTAATCTTCAGACCCATTCTTACCAAAAAAAATTTTTCCTTAGGAGTATCAATTTTTCATATGGATCAAAGTGTTTGAATTATAGAACTCAAGAGGAGGGTCACTAGAAAATTCGGGTTAATCATGTCATTAGTCAGAAACGTTTTGAGAATAGGTGCTAGAAGCGTGCCTGCTAGTTCCTTTTGCGGAATTCAGCACATATCCAGTATTAGATATAATTCAAACCAATCCAGTCCATCAACTACTACCGGAAACCCAGAAGTAACAAACGAGAAAACACCTGAATCTATTACACAACAAGTAAAGAAAAAGGCAAGAAAAAGAGACGAAGTAGGGTTAACTGCTCAATTATTCCCAATGAACAAAGATACGATAAGTGAACAAGATTTGGATAATTGGATAGCAGCGGTACAAAGCTTGAAAAAAGGGAAGCCCGTTGAAACATCCGAGCAAGTGTATATTAAAGAATTAACAAAAACAGAGAGATTCGTAGAAGAGAAGTATGAACCAACTGCAGAACAACTCGAAGAAGCTGCAGCTTATGATAATAAACAAGTTCCATTATTATCTGACCCAGATGTGGATAATTTAGTCAATCTTGTCATGAGACATGGTCAGAAAGGAGCTGCCAGAAAAATTGTTGCCAGAGCATTCTATATTGTCCAGTTGAAGACAAGAGAGGATCCAGTGAAAATTTGGAAGGAAACTTTAGACAAGTTGGCGCCACTTGTCAAAACTAGAAGTATGGCTACTAAGGTTGCTAAAAGTAGAGTTGTTCCAATCCCATTGTCCGAAAGACAAAGACATAGATATGCAATTACCTGGATATTAGATGCTTCTGCAAACAAAAAGTCTCCAGATATGGCTGTTAGACTAGCCGAAGAAATTATCTCTGCCTGGAATGGTAAATCCTCCGGTTATGACAAGAAAGCACAAATGCACAAGACAGCCACTCAACAAAGATCCTATATTGTATTGTAGATATATTAAAACATCCTGCTTTGTTTTAACGGTAACACATATTTGTACATAGTTTCATAATATAAAGTTATATTTTTTTGGTAAATTGTAAGTGAAGTTATTTTGTTTGTGGCTGCGAAAAATTCAATTGCTACAAAAATGTTGGTTTAGTATAAACAATTTTAGACAACCCTTTCACTCTCTTTTTCTATCACCAAATGCAGTTGCTATATCAAACTTATCATGATATCAGATTCAATGTTGATCACTTTATTGTTGGCTATCGACAACGCTATTATAGTCTTAACAAAAATCCCCGAGTCATTCAAACAAAATTACACAACCAACAATTAATTTCATTGAGAACATTCCCCCGAGACAAATATATAGTTGAACCAACTGGGTTTCTAAGCTTAGGAAATGAAAATGCCAATGATTCTGGAAACGATGAGATAGAAGAGACAGCATCATTTACTGTTTATGACATAGATGAATTAATTTCTTTTGATGAGAGTTGTGTGTCCATTCCAATACCTGATTACGAAAACAACAATTCCTCCAGAGAAATACAGGGACCAGACTGCTTAAAGGGAGATAGATTAATTAGTTTGGGAAACTTTCCAGAAGAACAAGAATTTCAAGAAGAGGAACTAGTTGAAGAAGAAGGGTGCCATTTGCCTGCAATTTATCCGGTGCAAGATCCCCCTTGCAGCTGTTCATGTCACAAAATTAGTGTAGTACCAATCCCAAAAGAAGATAATTCAAGGAAGATTAGAGTTAAAGACAGATTTATCAAATTTGTCAGGTCCAACATCAATAAAGTAGCCAGCAAAGAGAGTGATTCGGGATCAAATGAACAAGAACCCTCAATCGAAATTGTCCTTGATGAAGCTGAAAGTTTAGATAGGGATCAAGAAGTACCGGCTAATAAGATTTCTCAAATTGTTTCCAATTTTTCATTTTTGACAAGTAGAGGAGATAGCACTATTGGTGTACAAGACGAAGAAATTGAAGAAAACGACAGAGAAGAGGAACAAGAAGAAGTCAAAACGGAGAAGGTATGGAAACTAGTGCTCAATGATGTTTCCTTATCAGCAGCCAGGCTTTCAACTGGCAATGCGGCTCATTCAATTGTTTCGTCCCATAATATTCGTGGTGATTTTATTGATGCAAAATCATCCTGCTCACCAATCCTTCCTAGAATTGCCAATAATGAAAATGATGATATCTTTGCAATTAATTTAGAACATGCAAAACTGAAATATGCAAAAGATACTTCTAAGATCAATAGTGCTATGAAGATGAATTGGAATTATTCAAGAAGATAAATAGAGCTTAGTTAATTAAGGTTACAATAGTTATTGCAATTGGTAAATACACTTCTTATACGTTTTATATGTTCCTGCATATAACTCTGAGGCTCGCTTTCTTTCTCTCTCTATGTAAATTTTAAAGTGCGTTTTTGTATTTCCAAGTTTTTTCATTGGTTAAATTTTCTCACTCACTCATTCTCCCATACAGTAGAACAACGAAATCAACTATCAAATTATACTCACTCTTGAAAAAAAAAAAAATGTTAAATAAATTTTCAAACTTTTATAAAGAATATTGAAATATACATTTCATATTATTCCAAATATACAAGAACTAGAGAAGCAATGATTCGTGGATCAGCTGTTCGTCAATCCTTAAAAGTCTTAAGCGCTCGTCGTTTAATGTCTACTGCTCAAACAAAGTTCACTACTTTATCTAATGGTGTAACTGTTGCAACTGCCACCAACCCAAGTGCTACCACCTCAACTGTTGGTTTATACATTGGTGGTGGTTCTAGATCTGAACACCCATACAACAATGGTATTTCCGCATTGACTGCTAACATCTTAGCTAATGGTTCTGAAAATGGAGTATTATTATCTAGTGAAAATACCAAGGAAGTCAATGCTATTGTTGCCCAAACTACCAACAGTAATGTCGAAAAAGCTGCACAATTAATTGGTTCCATCGCTTCCAATGCCGATAAAGTCTTATCCAAGGGTGATTTTGCTGCTGCTAAGGCTGCATTAATTGCTCAAACTAATGCCATTGAATCTAACCCAGAATCTAAAGTTTTGGAACATTTAAACGCATCTGCTTTCCAAGGTTATTCTCTTGGTTTACCAACCTTGGGTACTAGTGAATCCGTCGCTAATTTGGAATTAGATGACGCTATTCGTCACTTGGAAAGACAATTGGTCACTTCTAATACTGTTATTGCCGCAGTCGGTAACTTTAACCATGATAAATTGGTTGATACTTTGGAAGGTAATTTATCCATTACCGCAAACTTAAAACCAGCTACTCAACCAGCTAGTTTCTTAGGTTCTGAAGTTAGAATGAGAGATGATACTTTACCAAAGGCTTATGTTTCCATTGCTGTCAATGGTGAAGGATTAAATTCCCCAGATCATTACCTTTCTAAAGTTGCCGCAGCCGTCTATGGTTCTTTCGAACAAAACACCACCACAACTCCATACACTTCTCCAAAATTGGCTTCTATTGTTCAAGAATACGGTATTGTTGACAAATATCATCACTTCTCCCAATCATATTCCGATGCTGGTCTTTGGGGTTTCTATGCTGAAATTTCCCATATTATGGCCGTCGATGAATTTGTTCACTTTGCATTAAAAGAATGGAACAGATTATCTATTTCCGTCACTGATGCTGAAGTTGCCCGTGCCAAGGCTCAAGTCAAGACTGCTCTTGCTGCTAAATTAAACACTCCTGCAGCTGTTGCTTCTGAATTAGGTCAAAAGATCTTATTAACTGGTCATGCTACATCTATTCATGATGCCTTTGCTAAGATTGATGCCATCACTACTAAGGATATTAAGGCTTGGGGTCAAGCTAAACTTTGGGACAGGGACATTGTCATTTCTGGTACTGGTCAAATCGAAGGTTTATTCGATTACAACAGAAACAGAAACGACATGGCTATGATGAGATGGTAAGCTTATGTTGAGTAAATAAACCAAACCTCCCCCACTTCTTTAGTTCATTATAATATTTTACATACCTTTTATTGTTTCATTTTTGCATGTTGTAAAAGACCAAAATTTGAGTAGATAAAAAAAATAAGACATCATCCGTTATATTCGATTCAAAAAAGGAATTGCACCTTGAGTTCATTCTTTTAGAGATAAATACATATGATCAATCGTTATATGTAGCTGATTGTCTTGGTTTTTTGTGAATAGTTTAAGTAAATATTTCAATTTTATTATACAAAAAAAATTATAACTTATTATATTTATGGTTTGCAATAACAACGTAAGTAAAATAAAAAAAATCAAGCTAATTAGAATAGAAGGTCATCTAAATAAGTCCACTCTTCTTCATATTCTGTTGAATAACCATATCAGTAACTGCTGATAAGATAAATTTCATTGATTGAGTATCAGTAGCACAAGTACGATGAACATAAATTGGTTTCTTAGTTCTATTCATTTTTAAGAAATTAACTTCAAAAAATTTAATTGCTTCATCAACATCATCAGGTTTACCTTGATAACCAGGGAAATAATTAACTAATGGAGATTTCTTAAGTTTCTTTTCAAATATATCGATTTTATTTAAAAAAAGAATAAATGGAGTATTTTCAAACCATTTTGAATTACATAAAGAATCAAATAAAACAATTGATTCATGCATTCTATTGACTCTTTCATCTTCAAATAACATTTGATCATATTCTGAAATAGCTAATACGAATAAAACAGCCGTGATTCCTTCAAAACAATGGATCCATTTCTTACGTTCTGATCTTTGTCCACCAGCATCTAAAACTTTGAATTGGAATGAATTAATTGAGAAATTGGTTTCAGCAATACCAGTTGTCTTAATACGACCTTTTAAAATATCTAAATCAGTACATAAATAATTTGGATCAGCAAATTTTAAAACATTATTAAAATAATAATCAGCACTAGTTTCGAAATGGAATTCATTTGATCGTTCATAACATCTTTTTATACCTTTATCTTGAGTCCATAATTTATGTATAGCATCAGCAATTTCCATTCGAGAATAATTAACTTCAGCAAATTTATGTTGTTGTTGTTGATAATATTCTTCTAATAATTCATTATCGATTTCTTCATCATCTTCAGGTTGACCTCCTTCATTAGAAGATTTCCAAAAGGAGCCTTCAGCAATACCAGTACTTTTCATTCTTCTTTTATTTTTCCTATCTTCACTATATTTCAAAAGATAATCATTTATAAAACTTGCCCCACCAGCTGCGCCAGCATCAATATGATTCAACCCATCATTTCTTAAAACAATTTGTTTATAAGGAATTAATTTACTTTTTGGAGCATCACAATCCAAAGGAATTTTTAATTTTCTAGCTTGAATAATTAAAGTTTTCATACTTTGAATAACATCAGCCCAAATTACATTTGAATATTGTCTACGTTCTTGTTGAGTGAATCCACCTTTATGTAATAATTTCATTTGTTTTAATACTGTTGATTTACCACTTTCTCCTGCACCCAATAATAATAATTTAACCCCCTGACGTTCATTTTGTTTTTTACGAACAAGTTGTTGATTAATTGTATCATTAATTTTTTTATCTTGAATGAAATAATCTTCTTCTTCGTTTTCCAGAGGTGTACTTGCAGCGCAACCCATTTTTTGAATATTAGTTTTAAGAGCAGATAATGAAAGAAAGGTATAAAACAGAGGAAAACAAGAAGCAGAGATGTTTGAATAAAAAACAGACAATGCCAAAAACTTAAGAAAAGTGACAACACATTTCCTTTTTTTTAAAAAAATGTAACAATTGAAACCACAAGCAAAGGAGGATTACTGGATTATAAAAAAAATGATTGCAAAAAATTCTCGGCTTTGAGCTTGTTAAAAATTACATCAAAAAGAAAAAAAATAGAAATATTTTTTTTGGTTAGTTTTACGATTATTTTCTCTTGCTCTTTGACTTTCTAAATTTAAATTTATTCATTCACCTTTTCAAGCAATATGTATGTGTCTATAAAGTTAAACAAAACCCGATATAATAAATAGCAATAACTATTCCACCTAATACAAGTATATTTTTACCAAATGAAAATAAATTCCATCTCTTCATAAACGTAAACATCCTTCTCTTATTTAATATATAAACTTTTCCAAGTTTAGAATTCTTAAATGTTGTTGATAATTTTGAATGATTAGTTTGAGTGAATGTATATTTTGGAATACTTGATATTTTTGTGTTTGGTAATGTATATGTAGTAGATGATAAAGATGATGATGTTGGAGAATCTATTAATTCAGTTTTTTCTTCTTCATCTTGTTCTTTTAAGAATCGATGGATTTTTTTGGAATGTGATTCAAATGGGATATTCACGGTTGAATGACTATATATGGGTAACAATGAAGTATAAGTAAATCTGCTTGGTTTCTGTTTTACATTCCACCATAATATCATCAATACAGATATTATAGACATGAATACATAATGAATAATATTCCAATAGGGAGTTTGTAAATAACAAATTTCACTATCATAATTGAAGGTAGCTTCTTCGTCAGTATATGATAATAATTGAACTGCTGGATACTTGATACCCATTGCCAAACTTATTGACTTGACAGTTATTTCTCGGAAATTTTGTTCATGTTCTCCGTCTGTAATATGATGATTAACATCACAATAATCATGATCATCTCCCGAGAAGATTAAATCTGGTTGGACCAAATCTAATAAATATTTGGAAATATCGGGTTTTAATGAATTTTGATATTGATATCCATGACCTAATACATCAAATTTTTTCGTTTCTCGATATAACCCACAAGAAGTTTCAGGATCACGATATAATGGAACATGAGATAATAATATTCTATGATTAGTTTTAGGTTGATTTTGGAAATTGGAAATCAAAAATTCTTTTGATTTTGCATTAATAGCCTCATTCAGAGAAGATAACGAAGGAGTATCTAACATGATTAAATCTGCCCCATTGATTGTTTTTATTTGTTGATCGCCAAAATGTTCAATAAATCGTTGTCTTGTATTTGTATTAATTAAATCACCGAATCCAATATCATGATTTCCAGGTAGATTTGTAAACCAATTTGTATTTTGAACATATCTTTTGTTATAATTATTATAAAAGATTTTATTAAATCGATTATATTGAGATTTAAAATATGAATCATCACTTCCTCTTCCATTATCTAATAAATCACCTAAGAATATGACATAATTTGGTTGTAAATGTTGAAGTAGGTATTTATAGTTCTTTTTCAAATATATATCAACTGTATGTTGTGATAATTTTAATAATAATTTATTTCTACCAGGATAAGTATGTTGATCAATTAATTGAGGATCAGCAATTAATAAGATATTTGCTCTTGAAGGAGATGGTAGCAGCAGTTCCAGTTGCAGTTGCAGCAGTACCAGTTGAGATAAGTTTGGCCAATTGCATTTGGTTATTGTATTATATGTTATGAATCTTTCTTGTATATAAAATGTACCTATCCATAATATTGATAAGATTATTAATAAATGATGAATTGATTTAAATTTAGGAACCATTAGATTCATTAGATTCATTTATTATGTGTGTTGTCTGTAAGTGTCTGTCGAAAAATGATGTTGTAAATATGAATATGGATGTCTGTTTATATATTTAAAAGCAGCAGATAGATTTAGGGATGTATACTTGATAAAATCATATAATAATCAGTTAATTAAGGAAAGCTATAAAATGACCAATTTTATTTCGTGGCCACTTTTCTATTTTCACGGCAATTTCTTTTTTTTTTCTCTTTCTGTTGATCTCTCTCTCTCACTTTCTGGCTGGCTCTGTTAGGCTCTCTCTTTGACTAAATTTAGTTTAGTATGGCAAGCCCTTTTTTTGACACAGCCCATCGTTGCTAACATTATCCTTTTTCTTTATTTACACAAGAGATAGAGATAGAACAAGAGATTTAGATGGGAATCATCTAATGACGATTAGTAAAGAATTAGGCAGATTAATCTATCTATCACATCTACTATAGCGTATCTATAATTATAGCATCTTTATTAGTTGAAATAATTGTCTCATGAAACGACGCGCGCAATATGTTACGCATTGTAAATTAGCAGTAGTTAACTACTATGTGCCTCTTGTATTCCCAATTAGAATGACCCCTCCCCTCTAGATTGGCGGTTATAAAATAGTCATTTTTACTATTGCCAAATGTGATTTACTTAAGATGGGTCTAGAAGATTTAGATTCCATATTCAATTGTAGTTGAATATAGATTGTGTGAGATCATATGATGATAATATATGCGCGTTTCCCTCGTATAGCCCTAACCCATGAAAAATTCTTCAATCTTCTTTTTGTTTATCACTTAGAAATATATAATACTAATAGAAACACATACAGTCTAATTATCAATGTCAGAGTCAATCCTCTTAGTAATCTTGGGTATATTAGTATTAATCTACCTGTTCATTAAATCATTAGATTATTTCAAAGATGTACCTGATCTTTATTTATTAGAACAATCAAATCATGATGCTGTACGACTTCAAAATGAATCTCCAATATATAGATCAAATAAATTAGAAACTGGTCATATAAGATCTGGATTAGATATTAGATATAATTCTTATAAATTACGTCTGGGGAATTTATGTGATATTTGGACTATTTTAATTAATCATTTACAATATAATAAAGATTATCAATTAACAATTGAAGATCAATCAATTCCATTTTCAAAAATCAATTATATTGTACATGAATTGATTGAACGTATCAAAAACAAGTATACATGTATTAGAATCCCAATTAATCATGATATCGATTATAAATGGATTATTGTTGTAATTGCAGGATTAATATCACAAACAACTATAGAATTCTATGAGTTTGACGAATCAAAGGAAAATGCTATAGACATAGATGCTTTAACATTAGCAGAACATGGAAAGGAATTATATTCATATGAAAATATTTATGATCCAATTAAGGATAAAGGGATAGCCATTAGAATTATTCGTAAATTGAATAGTGGGATTATGTCAACAATTGAATTCACTCAATTAAATATTGTTAGCAGTTTAGCATCAACTATTAAACATCTTCCTTCTCAATCAAAAATTACAACTGATGATTCAATGTTGATAATAACCAACCATCAATCAAATGAACAATTAATGAATATTATTAATAAATTTCTAATGGGATTAATAACTCATCCGAAATTGACACTTTCTAAAGATATTTCAAAAATCAATTCAATCAAGCCAACCATATTATCTATTCCAGAAAACTTACTTCCAATGCCATTAGCCGCTTCAAACATTTTCCTTCAATTTAAACAATGGTTATTATCCCGTGGGATCTTCATCAAAGGTTCCAATAATTTACGATTAATCTATTTGAATAATTCAATTAATCAACATAATCCCAAATATAATTGTATTGAAATCTCCCAACTTCGAACACTTTATCAAGCTCACATAATTCAAGAATGGGGATATTATAACGTACTCGGTCCAATCATCCTTTCTGATTATTATGAATATCGTACTTTTGCTCCTGGACCATTTGGATGCATTTGTCAATCTTTAGAAGTTAAATTAACTCATGTAGATGAAAAACGGATAGGGATAGTTAATATTAGAGGATATATTATTGGAAAGACAGCTAATAGAGTTATTGGAAGAAATAATATGATTGAAGATAATAAAGATGTTATGGGTCGTAATGATGGATTCATGCCTTTAAGAAATGTCAGAGGAAAATGGGGTAATGATGGATGTTTGTATATAATGTAAATAGAGTTAAAATATAGTGGTTGGCTTTCTTTATGAGTTCCCTCCCTGCCAAATACTCATTGGTAACTAGAAATATCGTTAATGCTCTACTTTTTTTTTTTTGCAACAGGTGTTGCAAAATATTGAAGCTGCAAAAGATATCCAAAAAAATCATTCTTTATACAAATATACCTAACTCTACAAGTTCTGATGAGAATGAAGAGATTTAACATTACAAACGTTATAACTGTAAGTTTAAAACGTGTATTTTATTCTATAAATAACTAGAGTAAAAAGTAATCCTAGATAGAATCAATTCTTTGTTTCTTTAAACAAATATCAATTGATTCACCACATCTCTTTCTATTAGGAGGGATAGATGCAGAAGAAGATGATTCATCAACTTTAAGGACAAAGACTTTTTTGTTAATTTGATTTTGGAAGAATTTATGAAAATTGATTTTAATAAAATTCAAATTATCATATTTAAAATGTTCAAAGAATCCTTTCCATTTGTTTAATCTATTTTCAATAATAATATGATTGGTTTCCCAAATGATTTCACTTGATTCTTGGTGCTGCTTTATATTATGTCTTTTAATGAAATCATATCCAAATATAATCAATACATTACACCAATTTTCATACTTTAAACCAGATAAGAATAATTCATAATTCAAAGAACTTAAGCAATTTCTTTCAATTTCTTGAACCATTTTAATACTATTGATATCATCAGGACATAATCCAAGGATCTTTAACCAAGATTTCATGGAATAATTATAATCTTGATTAAATTTAGATGAAACAATAATCATCCCCAAGAATAATTTCTTAGGATCTAATGTAGGTACATCTCCTGATTTAATAAGTTTGAATAAATAAAAACATGTCAATTGTAATGTTTGAATTGAAGTTTTAGAACGTCTTAAAATTTCAAATATATATAAACTTAATGATTTGGTATCAATAGATTCAGAACCATAAATAATCTTAAGCAAATTGATTGAACAATTGATTAAGATTGAATTGAATTGTGACTTGTTTAAATGTTTGGTATAATACCCAACATTGTTAGGTGCTACAGTTGAAGTTCCAAGTTGTTCAGGGGATTCTTGTTGTTGTTGAATAGATGGGGTGTTGTTCTTAGTGGTGACAGTTGGTGGTGGGGTTAACAAGGAAGTGGTGGCCCTGGTGTTGGTAGTCTTTTCCTTCTCGGTAGCTGTAATAACTTGGTTGAGTATAATGTTTGCAGTCAATGGTGATGGTGAATACATGTTGATAATAATAATAAATTTGGGTGCAAAAAAAATATAATAAAGTCAAGCTTCTAGTAAAATTGAAAAAAATAAAATCAAATAATCAAATTAAAAAACTCCTTAAATAAATAACAGTCAAATAGTAAGTCCAAAATAAAATACACGTAATAAACGTTTGATTTAATAAACTGGTTGCATTTTAGCTTTAAATGGAATATGAAAATGAAAAATATTAAAAAGTAGTGTTTAGGAGTTGTTTAATTTTGTTTGTTATTCGTGTGAATGTGTGTCGCTTTGATTACGCTTTTGAAATGAAATGAGATCTCTTATTAATGAATCTCTACCTATTTGAATCCTTGTGAAGAAAATGTAAAACCCTTAAAAATGAAATGAAAATAACCTTTGAATGAAAGTAACCGTGTATGAATATGTAATAAAAAAGTAAAGTCGTAAAAAATGAATTCGTTAAAGTGCTGTTGTCGTAGTAGTAGTAGTAGTAGTCGTAGTTGTTTGTTTGTTTTTAACTAAGATGTAAATATCAAAGAAGCAAACTTGTAATGTAAAAACAATATTTATAAAAAACTCTGTGGGAGGAATGTGGTTTATCGTTACTTTATATAATTTATGATATCTAATTCAATTTCCCACTTTCTCCAACAAAGAATGAGTAATTTCCTGTATATAAATCGGCATCCAATTTAGTCATTTCGGGAATTTCTTTTTTTTCTTTTCGCATTTCTGGCGTTTGTGGTTGCTAACAATAGAAAAATTGTGACTCAGGTTTACTCAAATTCACGTGACCTATTACTCATAATTTTTTTGAATTTCTTTTTTTTTTTCGCATTCGGTTGGCCGATTTCGCTTCTACGCCAAAACAAGATTCGCACACGCGGAATTTTATCGGTGTTTGGATTGCCTGTTTCTGAAATGCCGTCTTATGCGAGCAATCAACTTTCAGTCATGCCGGAAAGCGCCACCGCCACCCCCACCACCACAATCATTCTTTTGCCACTCCCGCCACTGCCACTGTCACTTCTATTGAACAATTTTGTATGCAGTTTCTTCGGCACCAATAAATTTTTGCAGTCGCCTGAGTGACCCATCTTATGCCACCGCGAGATATTGATGTTACAATCGGCTGGCTATCTACATACCCTACAGAATACAACAATGATGGAATGATAGTGGCATGAAGGTTGTGTTTATTGTGAGAGTAATACATGTTGCAGCCGACTGGTTATCTAGAAACTCTACAGAATACAATAATGATGAAATGTTAGTGGCATGAAGATTATGTTTATTAGTTGAATGATGTAACCAGTCATGCGTAGGTCAAACAAATATTATTAGTCACAGATGGTATTTACCATTTGCTATACTTACTTAATGAACTCACCCGGAATTCCCCAAACGATATGTTTATTGACCTTCGCACAACAAATCTATGTACTGTATTTCTATTTATACATTTTGTCCAGCCATGGGCATTGGTAATACTGTTTACCGTATTTCTATTTATGCTTTGCCTGCTGTGGGGCATTGCTAATCTTGTTTGGTACGCAATTCTGTATTGTTATTTGTAATTGCTTCTGATGACTGTTCTTGGGATTCCTTTTGCAGTTTCGATACTTTATTATGCTCGGTTAATAAATATCCATTAGCATGCCCATACCAATATTTATTAAAACTCCAATTAATAAGCATCTTGGCCATATCCCATGGTTGAAACTCAGGCCATAATTTATCAATAAATACTATAGTACAATCAGGTGAAACACATTGCCATAATAAAAAATCAGAAAGTCTATAAGTGCCCGATGTTCTAACCAATAAATCTAATGGAGGTGCTTCCTTTGTATACAAATTATCATTCAAATATTGTTGAGAAATAAGGATATTAGGTTGATTTGTTGAATCTTCAACTGTTTGTTTTATCAGATGAGTCATTTCATCTCTTGAAGTATATGGAAAACAAACATTTAATGTAGCTCTTTTATGATCTTTAGTCATTTCTTCAACTTCTTGTAAAACTTCTAATACATCTTGAGGTAGCATGTGTCTATTACCAATAATTTTTATTCTAACTCCATATTTTTCCGCTAATTGACCATGTTCAAGAAGTTGTTTAAATTTTGATTTTGCTAAATCCATTAACCATTCAACTTCATATTTCAGTCGTTTAAAATTCTCAATTGAAAATGCATAAACTGTAGCAGTATCAACTCCAGATTCATATAATAATTCTAATACACTTGCCATAGTTTCAAATCCTAGACTATGACCTTCTTTTATTTCGATTTTATGACTTTTTGCATAACGTCTATTCCCATCCATAATTATACCAACATGTCTTGGAACTGGTCCTGTTTGAATTAATCCTCCAAAAGCCAGTTTAGCATAAGCTAGGAATTGTTGATATCCTGGAAATGTACTCATCCAATCCGGCATTTTTTTGATGTAGATTATCTATGTACAAATGATGCTGAATAAATAAATAAATAAATAAAAACGTTAAATTAACTTCTATTGTATATGGCTGGAGCGATTACTTTCTAAAGAAACCTCAACTTAAGAATAAAACGTTAATTGTTTTTAAATCTTAAGATTTTGTTTAAATTTTTAAGTTTGCTTTGTTCCATTCGTTGTTACCTTAATTGGTAACACATCATCTTTTTTTTCCCACCAGAAAGAAAGTGAGCGAACTGAGATGTTCAACTGATGATATTAATCATACAAACAATTTTCTATAACAATAAGAAACAATGTGTGTTGAACAGAGCGTGTATTACAAGAATGTTCTTTTAAAGGAATCTTTGCTATTGATGAAATGAGTCGAGAATTGATGACGTCTCATTCTTCATATAATTCATAAAGACCGACTGATTCGGTTAACTTTTCTTTAAACCGAGGTGCAATTTTGTTTACTCAACCTAGTGATTACAAATCTATTAGGACAATAGATATTTTCGAACCCATTCACAATTACTAAGCAGTTTCTCTACTGCTCTAAGTTTCTACATAGATTCATCTTCTTGATATTAGAATCACTTGTATTCTTGTGGGATTTTCAAAAGTAATTATTACTCTTTGTCTTGGAAAAGACTTGACTGTTTATTTATTTGGTAAGATTTTTGACAGAATTTTTGCAATCAAACTAGAAAAGGACTTGTAGATTGAAATTACTATCAATTTCAATGAATAAATAGAATTACATAATTAGTTCAATTCGTAAAATATGTATATTATTGTTAGTTAACTATTTACAAGTACGTTTACTTAATAACTTAATTTCATATTATCCTTATTCTCATTCTTATTGCCAGACAATCCCAAATAATTAAAAAGCCTATTCCATTGATCTTTCTTATGTAACATTGCAAGGATTAATACTGCTGGAAGATGCCAAACAGAGCACCAGAATAACTTCTTTGCATGAACACCAGCCAATGCTAACCCTTCAGCTGTAGGTTTAGAACCTTTTTTATAATTCTTTCTTTGTTGATCCCAAAATTGATAAGCCAAATAACTTAACCAACCATTTACAATAGCTGAATCTAATTGAAATACCCAATCAGTTACTCCATAATAACTTAATCCAAAACATAATGGAAACATCAACAAAGAATATCTTAAGGCAACTCTAGCATTTAATTTTGGATTTTCACTAGCTGCCATTACATAACCGGCTGATTTATATTGTTGAGCTATTCCGTGAGAAAGAGCATTGAAATGAGGAAATTGCCACGCGTATAATAACCCAGCAAGACACCATGCTCCTGGTAAACTTAATGGCGATGAAGCTGCCCAACCCATTAATGGTGGGATAGCACCCACAATAGCGCCAACCCAGGTGTTTATAATAGATTTTCTCTTTAACGAAGTATATATCCAGGCATATAACACAATATTGGCAAACCCTAAATATGCTACTGTGGAATTGACTCCAAACCATAACATTGTACAACCTAATGTTCCAGTAAGGGCAGCAAAATTATATGCTTGTTGAGGTGTAACTAATCCTCTTACAACTGGTCGACCTACAGTTCTTGGCATTTGCCTATCAAATTCAGGTTCTCTTCCCATATTAATTGCATTAGCTGCTCCAGAACATAATCCTGTTCCAAGGGTTAAGAATATTAATTCATGTAATGTAACTGAAAGGGGTGAGATTGCATAAGAACAAATTGAACTCAAGGTGACTAATACTGTTAAATTTGGTTTAGTTAACTTTAAATAAGCTGTCAATTGAGTCTTTAATTCTGATTTTGTTTTAGGTATTGTTGGTTGTGCTTGCTTTGACCCTGGTTCTTTAGGAGTGATTTTGAAAGGTAATTTTGGACCATCCATTGATAATCCTTGTGACAGCTGGGCTCCTGGTTCTTGACATGTTAAAACTTTAGAAGCAACATTTTCAAATATATGTGATTGTTTGGAAACCGTTGGCTTTACATGATTTTTGGTTGGTGATGAAGTGAAAAAGGATCGTTTGTTTGCAGATCGATATAGATGAGTATTTGATATAAAATTTTGATCTATTATTAATTTAGATTTCGTATTCTGGAAGAAATAATTGAAATTCTTCACCGAATTGAATCGAGGGAAAGTTCCTATTATTATCCTGGATGACATCGTTTTTAGTAATCAAAGAGACGACAGTCAGTGAACAAATATTGGACAACAAAATACTCTTCTTATTCTCCTTATTCTTCTTTTTCTTCCTTCAATTCCTTTGAAAGATATCAAGTGACAGGAAATGTGGAAATAATTTCAACAGGGAATTGTCTCTTCCTCTTTCTACTTATGTTATAAGATTAAAGTAAAGTTTTTATGGTTTACTATTTCATGAAACGGGATTCGAGGAATTTTTTTTTTTTTCGCGTGGAGTTTTTTCCCCTTGGAAAGTTGAAATCAATCAATATGAGTCGAGAGCCATTGACTGATGAATGATAATGAAACGTTGTATTTAGACTAAAAACGAGTTAAAACAAGAGATCAAACTGAATTAAACGGTTAAAATTTGAAATATTTATTACTATATCTATTATACATTTTTCTATTCCGTATCAACCACTATTCCATCAGATTTTTCAGAAATACCACCATTACTTTTATTTTCATTCAATTTCTTATTCTCCAACTTATTTTCAATCAAATCATGGAATGCTATAATTGCTCTAACCAATGTACTAATATACACAATCATAAGCTCATCATTTGTCTTTACAGTAAAAGCAGTAGCTAATGGATTTGGATTAGAAGAAGGCGAAGAAGTTGAGGAAGGTTGAGCCAAATTTGGTAACAAATTAAATACATTTTGTAATTTACCTAAAATTGTATGATTGATAGGCAATTTCTTGTGATATACTTTATCCAAATAATTGGCAATTTCTCTTAATTTTTGATGTAATCCTAATAAAGATTGATAAGTCTGAGTTACTCTTAATGATAACGTTCCAGCAGCTTGATCTCTGATATCTCTTAATAAATGTTCTACCCCAATTTCTTCCGCTTCTTCAGCTTCAATCAATGAAGGAACATGTACAAATGTCTTTTCAGCTGCTGAACCATCATTCTTGATATCTTCAACTGCAAAATATGCATCAGTTGGAATACCAACCTCTCTAGGTTGAACATCCACAATTAATAATAACGGATTAGGAGTATATCTTCTAAATACATCATTTATTTTTAAATCAGATGGTTTTAATTTTGGACCTGAATGATACCAACCAATTAATTTTTCTTTAGCATTAATCTTTTTAAACATTTCTCCCATTGAATCAATGAAATTATGATCTAGAAACCAAACACTTGGATTCTTTTCATCTTCTTCAAATGGAATTGCATATGAATTGGTAACATTTATAGTGTCACTGGAATTGTCTCCCAATATCACCCCAACTACTCTCTTTTTAGAATCTTTGGAAACACGGTTGTAATGATCGACAACTGACAATAACACCAAGGGCGATACAGCAATTGTCTTATTTAAGAATGTTAATTCACTAGATGTTGTTACTGACGTGGACATAGTGATGATGATATGAGCCTTTAATTCTGACGATTGTTTCTTCCCCCAATGTGAATGTTGACTTCGTTTTTAGTTGTAAAATGGTCAACTGGAAAATCTGAATTTTGCCTTCAAGATTTTTTTTTACTGCGATTTGAACAAGAGGACGTGTACTTTGGATAAAATCACCAACCTTTTTATACTACCATTCATCTCATCACCTACCATCTATAGTCAAATATCAATAGCATTATACGTACACTTCATGTTTGGTCAAATAGTGATTGGGCCACCGGGGTCAGGAAAGTCCACTTATTGTCATGGGATGTATCAATTTATGTCGGCAATAGGTAGAAAACTGTGTGTTGTAAATTTGGACCCTGCGAATGATAGATTACCATATCCTAATTGTGCCCTAGATATACGTGATTATATAACCTTAGAAGAAATAATGGAGGAGTTGAATTTGGGTCCCAATGGTGGATTGATGTATGCGTTAGAACTGTTAGATGTCGAAGGTATTGAAACATTTTTAGAGAAGATTGATCAATTAATTAATGAACAAAATTATATCATATTTGATTGTCCAGGACAAGTGGAATTATTTACTCATCATAATTCATTGTATAAGATATTCAAAAGTTTGACACAGAAGAAGCGAATGAGACTATGCGTCATTTCATTAGTCGATTCAATATACTTAACTAGTCCATCCCAATATATCTCAATTCTTTTATTAAGTTTAAGATCAATGTTGCAATTAGATTTACCACATGTAAACGTTATAAGCAAAATAGATATGCTACACAAGTATGGCGAACTCCCTTTCAGATTAGATTATTATACTGAAGCACAAGATTTACATCGATTGACACCTTTGCTTGAACGAGAATCAAATACAATTCTTGGTAAAAATTATGTTCGATTGAGTGAAATGATTGGAGAATTGGTGGAGGAGTTCCATTTAGTTTCCTTTGAAGTATTAGCGGTAGAGAATAAACAAAGCATGATCAATCTTTTGAGTGTGATAGATAAAGCAAACGGTTATAGTTTTGGAAGTGAAATTGGAGGCGATTCAATATGGAGTGAAGCAACCCGTCAAAGTGGAGCGGGAGTTTTTCAAGATGTCGATATTCATGAACGTTGGATAGAATATAAACAAGAATACGATACCCAAGAACAGAAACAACACGAAGAAATGATAAAACTGGGACAAGAACAACCGAATGAGATGACAGAAGAGGAAGAATGGGAACAGGCATTGGAAGATTGGGAGAATAAGCACGGAGGAAAGGGACTGTTATTGAGATAATAAGGTGCTATAGATCTGTGTACATCGTTTAATTGGATTGATTTCAGAATTTCCTGAAACCATAAAAGGAAGCTTGAACACTCCAAATCTTTAGAAAGAAATAGAAATTGGAAAGAATCAGGGTCATATCGGAAAATGATATAATTGTACCTGCTTATTGTAAATACTAAATCGTTTATTCACATCAAAAAAAAGCAAGCCTGTCGATTCTTTAGAAGCTTATCTCAATCAGAACTGTCTTACGATAAATTGTGATATCAAATTACAACAATAGATTGCGTGAACCCCTGAATAATTGATTGACTCACTATCCTGATTTGGAGTTAGATTTGCTGTATCGCGCATTAACGAAACTTTAAGTATTAGTTAAAATAAAAAAAGAAAATCGAATCTTTTTTGCAACTTCTTTAAGTTCTCTATCAGGCAACTCGAACTCACATAAGGATATTATAGATTTATTATTATAAAAAAGTTACGATTTAGAACTTATATAAAAAAGGTACGAGTTAGAATTTATATAAAAATGATTAAACAAATCTAAGCTCTTCATTTTATTGTTAAAAGTTGTTAAATCAAAATCAACAGTATCAATCATGAAAATCGCATCCATTCTATATTTTGCTGCAAATTTTGTCTCCCTATCGCTTGGTGCAATAGTATCACTAAAACCACCTTCAAAAGATCCATTTTATACGGCAACCGATGGGTTCAAAGATGCCAAGCCAGGTGACATATTGAGAATTAGGAAAGCTCCAAGCAAGTTATCTAGTAGCTTTTTCCCACTAGATGTTAAAAATACCTGGCAACTTTTGGTTAGATCTGAAGACTCCTTTGGTAATCCAAATGTTTTCGTCACCACTATAATTGAACCCTATAATTCCGATCCAGCAAAAGTCCTTTCTTATCAAACATTTGAAGATTCGTCCAATTTGGACTGTGCGCCTTCTTATGGAGTTCTTTCTGGTGCTGCTCTTGGAACAATGGCAACCCAGTTGGAAATGACACTTATGGTTTTGGCGTTGCAGAAGGGTTATTATGTGGTGACCCCAGATTACGAAGGTCCTAAAGCAACCTTTACAGTGGGGAAACAATCAGGCCAAGCAGTTCTCAATTCAGTTAGAGCGACCTTAAACTCAGGTGAAACTACAGGAATAAGTAATGATGCTAAAGTGGCAATGTGGGGATATTCTGGAGGATCTTTGGCATCTTCATGGGCTGCTTCTTTACAACCTAAATATGCTCCTGAATTATCCAAGAACTTGATCGGTGCCGCTTTAGGAGGATTTGTTACTAATATTACTGCAACCGCAGAAGCAACTGATGGAGGTATTTTTGCAGCCCTTATTCCCAATGCCATGAATGGACTCGCCAATGAGTACCCTGAATTTAGGGACAAAATTTTTGATGAAGTACATGCCTTTGATAAAATGACATTGGAAGATGGTAGTGAGCTTTGTTTAGTTCCAGCTTTATTTATGTTTGCATATAAAGAGTTTTTAACTGGTGAGCTGCCAGCATTTCCCAAAGGGTTCAAGTTATTAGAGGATGAAGTGATTAGTAACACTATCGACGAAAATTCTTTAATCAATCATTCCAAAGATATTATGCCAGAAATCCCTATATTCATATATCATGGATCATTTGATATGATTGTTCCTATTAATGGAGCAAAAGATGTATATAAAATCTGGTGTGAAAATGACATTGGATCTTTGGAATTTTCTGAGGACTTAACATCAGGCCATCTTACCGAAACAATTGTGGGAGCTCCGGCAGCGTGGACTTGGATAGAAAATAGATTTGATGGAAAGGAAGCTGTCAAAGGATGTTCGCATTCTGTTAGGCTTTCTAATTTCCTTTATCCTAACATGTCAACCGTTACTAGAGATTATTTTAGAGGATTGTATGATGCCTTTTCCGCAAGTCCTATCGGACCACTTGATAAAGTATCAAAGAAGTCACAGCTTTCCAAAAGACAATTAGAGGAACTTAGGAATTTTGACTATAGTTCTTTGATTCATTAGACATTTATTTTAGATGATTTCTTAGTTCATTTGTAGCACAATACATGTTTTTAGATATTCTCTTTTAAGATATTCATTCTTACACTGGAACCTCAAAAAGTACATTCTCTTAAACACTGTGCTTCTTAAACAAGAGTCTCTACTTGAAAAAGAATAGAATCCTTTTTGGGTCGGTACTGGTTATATCCCCTTCTTCCCCCCTAAAGCAAAGCAGCGTAAAAAATGGTCTAAGATTTTTTTTTGGGAGCTATAAGAATTTTCGTAAAGTTTGATGATCATCTCCATTGTATTCACTTTTCTTAAGATCACATTATGACAATACTGCCAATAATGAATGGTACAATATCTGAATCTGAATATGCAGATGTATTGACCAACCAAATCACAAGAACAATAAATAACCTCCAACAGAAGTTGGATATTCTTAAGAATCAAATCAATGATTACAAATTATTACAAAAATCCATTGCATCACAAACACCTCCAATATTAATACACCTAGGTGAAGGATATTTTGTTGAGAAAAATGTAGAAGAAGCGAATCAGTTCCTATATTCCCGAATCCAGTTATTCACTTCTACTATTCAGGATATTGAAACTAAGATTAACGAAGCAAAGAGTACCCGAGAAAAGTTTATCAAGTTTGCTGAATTTACCAAAGAAATGGATGATTCACAAGCTGCAAATGAGGACGAGGGCCAAAATAAGTTTAATGAAGAAGGATTACCATTTTTAGATATTCAAGAGGAAATCGATGAGGATGGACATGTACTTAATGTCAAGATTAATGATATTCCAGTAGATATATCAGAATCCTCCACCGGCGTCAAAATAAGTGAAGAGAAGGAATCGAAAAATCAACAGGAAGTGGAGACTGTTATTAGCGGTAACCTGCAAGAGGTAAGTACAACCCCAGCTAATCATATCCAAAAAGACAAGCATATACTACCAACTCCAAAAGAAGATATTCCCAAGCAACAAGATAAGATCCAGTTCGTAGAAGAATCATTGGAAGACGAGCCAACTTATAATGGCCGCACATCAGACAAACAGAACCAACAAGACGAAGAAGTAGAGCGATTAGAAGATTTGTTACATGATATGGAGCTAGCACCCAAAAAGACATTATCGAAAACTCTAGATCAAGATGAATTATTGAACAAAATAGATCAGCTTCATATCAACCCTGAAGAAAAATTCAATCTCAAACAAATATGTATTGAAGAAATCAACAAACTTGAAGGGGACGAACAACCAAAGGAATCTGCCACTAATGAGATAGCGATTGATCAAAGTGACATGATTGAGTTGGAGATTCTTGCTGATGAGTTTGACGATTCTATGGATTCAAATATGAATTATGCTGATGATGAAGAATGGGAATTCGAATTCGATGAAGATGAAGATGAAGATGAAGATGACGATGAATTAGCAGATGCTTTATTATATGGTGGAGGAGAGAATAACTTACCAAATCATGCATATGGGTTAAATCAAGATTCAAATAATTTATTGTGGAAACAAATTATGAAACTTCGCCAGGGAAATTTGAAACCGGAAACGGAACCCCCTATTACAATTGAGTCTATTAAGCAAAAGAAATCTGTTCGGTTTGCTGAGACGTTGGATATTAAAGAGGTGGAGAATATAAGTGAAACTTTGAGAAACCCCCCTCGAGATTATGATGATAATGGGTCAGGATCAAAAATGTCATTGTTTAAACAAAATATTATCATGAAGGAAAGATTAGATCATAAAATGGAAGTCCAAGATAGTAATGTTGCACATGAAGATGAGTTACTAGATAGTAGAATTGTCGAAAGTGAAATTCTTGAAAGAGACCCAGTTATCGAGGATTTAATAATAGAGAAAGAAATTGTCGAAAGGATTCCAGTTAATGAGGATACAATAATAGAGAAAGAAATTGTCGAAAGCATTCCAGTTAATGAGGATACAATAATAGAGAAACAAATTGTCGAAAGCATTCCAGTTATGGAGGGTTCAATAATGGAGAAAGGGATCTTTGAAAAAATTCCAACTGTGGAAGACAGAATAGTAGAGAATGATAGTATCGAAAGGGAGCCAGTTATGTCCGATTCAATAATTGAAAACGATATCATAGAAAGCAATGACTTTCCAGGAAATTCGTCAAACGCAATAATTCACGATAAAATTGTTGAAAATCAACCAAAAGATATTGCTGTCCTGAAAATAACCGACGCTGATTCAATCATTGTAGATAATCTTCTGGAATCCCAAATATTAGAAGCGAACCCACCAGCAAACACATCCAAACCAATTTCTAGATTCCAAGCATCAAGAATACAATCGCATATACCACCTGTGAAAATTCCAATCCCTTGTGGTGCAAATGCAGTACCTGTCCCCGAAACGGATCCAGAATCATCTCCCAAACAGAGCAATGACGAAGACCAGAGCGGCCAAGAAATACGAGAAACTCGATTAGATTACCAGTCGCTTACAGATGATTTAGATACTATGGCAAAAGCCTATGTTTTGGGAATGTATGATGATGATATTGTAACGGAAGGACCCGTAGTTGACAAGATTGATGATTTTGAAATTTTGAATAAGATGTTAGAATCTATGCCACTGAAAGATGAACTGACGAACCGGAAGATATCCAAACCAAAGACTGCCAATGATTATGATTCCAATTTGAGTGAGATCGGAATGGACGGTGGCATTGATAGTGATGAAGAAGGGCATGAAATGTTTGAGAATGACCATGACGAGGAGGATGAGGATGACGGACTGATCTTAGTTGACGAAATTGTCGAGAATGAAAATGTAGAAGTTGATAATGATGAATTAGAGAATGAAATATTTCTCCTGGAAATAAACGAGAATTACCATCGATTAAGAAATAAGTTAATTTTGGAACGTAATGGATATAAGAAATCTCAAAAGGAATTAGAATTTGAACCAATTGATGAAGATGGGAATGATATTAAGGTTAGCAGATTCAAAGCGGCCAGATTGAGACATTTACCAGACTTAGAATAGGCATTTTGTATAGGTGATAAAAGTTATAATATGGCGTAGCTCAGAGTTTGTAGTTGAATATTTAGTACCGATTGGTGAATTTAACCGATCAAGATATTAAGTTTATGCGTGCCATATCCCACATATCTTTCTCTCGTGTCATAATTATTTTTTTGGGGAATTTCCCAGGAGTTTGAAACAACACACAAAAGTAAGATTATTCGTAGATCTGTGGACCAAAGATCAAGTCCGAATAGATTTATAGTAGTAGGTTAACTTCTGAAACACTTTCTAACCTGCCTACCATGAAATCGGAGTGTGCGGAAGATTTACGTTTTCCTAAAATGCAATCTTGAAATAGGATAAATATTTATTTCAAGTACCAAACGTCCATCACATCGTTCACACAAAAAAATGTCGTCTTTTCGCTGCCGGACTCTAATCGAACAGTATTATACATCGCAGCAAAGTTAAAAAAGGGCGTTCCATTGCATTTGAAACGTTATTTCGGAGTTGCTTTATCCAATTAAATTTGTTTCAATTCAATAATAAGTTGAGATATCCGGGGAAAAACCTGGAGATTGTACTCTTACATTAAAAAATATTCAGTTCTCATTATGCAGGATTTTGACCAAAGCTTAACTATAAACATTTGTTTGAGATCCACAATCGGTCTCTCCAATTAGTTAATGGATGATGAGTTAGAATGTAGACAACTGGGTATGTTCAATAGTGCAATACTCCTGATTCACATTCATTGAATATTGTAATCCTTCAAAGAGTTCGAATTCTATAGCTAACAATGAAAAATTGATGAAAAAAAAATTATCCGACCTAGACCCCTCTATTCTGCCCCACTATATAACTGTCAAATTTTTTTTTTGTTTAAAAGTTAATCCGAACTAACAAACTGATAGTTTTCATCCATTCTTTTTTATAAACGAGCCAATAACGAATAAATAGAGAACTATGTGGATATATATATATATATAGATAGACATGAAATAGAACAGTATACCTTGGTAGAAGTCTCGGGATAATAATTTCCGGTTACAAAAGGATTAAATTCCGATCTCGTCTTTTTACCAAAAATAAAATAAATGGGCTATGGAATTTTGGTGGAATTGTGTACAAAAATAAACTTTAAAGTCCAAAACAAAAAAAATAAAAATTTCCGTGGAAAAACCCTTTAAGCAGACTTAAGATTTTTAATTTATAATTGTTTAAATTAATAATTCGAAAATGGGCAATATGATCTGAAACTACAGGGCGGCATCTAATCTCATCTCAATGCCCCTCCTCTACTTTACATGTATAGTATAGTGTGTATGTCAGATAATCAGCCTGCCAACAAAATAGAAAAAATGTTGGCCAGTCTTTTATGCAGTACCATAGATTCTATCTGTCAAAAATATTTCAATCGTTCGTTCGTTCGTTCCCTCCCCCCAAAAAAAAAATTGCTGCTAACAAAATAATAATGTCGTAAGAAATGAGGAGAGAATGGAATGTCGTTTGAGATGTTACACACATTTTTCAATTTAATAATTAATATAAATTATCATTCAATTCTCTTCCCTTTGGGAATTTTTCAATTCAAATTTTCAATTCTTCCTTTTCTCTGGTTATTTTCTTTAAGTTTCCATTCAATTCCACTATGTCAGCAATTTTAAAACAAAGAGTTAGATATGCTCCATATCTTAAGAAATTAAGAACAGGAGAACAATGTCTTGATTTATTTAAACATGGACAATATTTAGGTTGGTCAGGTTTTACTGGGGTTGGTGCTCCTAAAGTTATTCCAACTGCATTAGTAGATCATGTTGAAAAAAACAATTTACAAGGTCAATTGGCATTTAATTTATTTGTTGGTGCCAGTGCTGGTCCAGAAGAAGGAAGATGGGCCGAAAATAATATGATTTTAACTAGATCTCCTCATCAAGTTGGTAAACCAATTGCTGCTGCTATTAATGATGGTAGAACACAATTCTTTGATAAACATTTATCCATGTTCCCTCAAGATTTAACTTATGGTTATTATACAAGAGATAAGAAAAATGGTAGTAATTTAGATTATACTATTATTGAAGCTACTGCAATTACTGAAGATGGTGGTATTGTTCCAGGTCCAGCTGTTGGTGCATCACCAGAAATGATTTCTGTTTCTGATAAGATTATTATTGAAGTCAATACTCATACTCCATCATTTGAAGGTATTCATGATATAGATATGCCAGTACAACCACCATTTAGACAACCATATCCTCATACTACTTCTGATTATAGAATAGGTCAAACTTATATTCCAGTTGATCCTGAAAAAGTTGTTGCTATTGTCGAAAGTACTAGTGGTGATAAAGTCCCACCAAATACTCCAAGTGATGCTCAATCTAAAGCCATTGCTAATCATTTGATTGAATTTTTGGAACATGAAGTTAAAATGGGTAGAATGCCAGCTAATTTACATCCATTACAATCAGGTATCGGTAATATTGCTAATGCAGTTGTTGAAGGATTAGCAGGATCTAATTTTAAGAATTTATCAGTATGGACTGAAGTTTTACAAGATTCATTTTTAGATTTCTTTGAAAGTGGATCATTAGATTTTGCTACTGCAACATCTATTAGATTAACTGAAGATGGTTTTAAGAAATTTTATGACAATTGGGATACTTATACTAAAAAATTATGTCTTAGATCACAAGTTGTTTCAAATTCCCCAGAAATTATTCGTCGTTTAGGGGTTATTGCTATGAATACTCCAGTTGAAGTTGATATTTATGCTCATGCCAATTCTACCAATGTCATGGGATCACGTATGTTGAATGGTTTAGGAGGATCGGCTGATTTCTTACGTAATGCTAAATTATCAGTTATGCATACTCCATCAGCAAGACCTTCAAAGACTGATCCAACTGGTGTTTCATGTATTGTTCCAATGGCTCCACACGTTGATCAAACTGAACATGATTTGGATGTTATTGTTACTGAACAAGGTTTAGCTGATTTAAGAGGATTAGCACCAAAGGCAAGAGCACAAGTTATAATTGATAATGTTGTTCATCCAGATTATAAAGCACAAATACAAGATTATTATGATAGAGCAATCTTTTATTGTACTAAGAAGAAGACATTACATGAACCACATATTTTAAGAGATGCTTTCAAGATGCATTTGAATTTCCAAGAGAATGGAACTATGAAATTGAAATCTTGGGATGAAAAATTCTAAAAAACTAAGGGAGTGATAATATATATAGCTAGCTTTTCTTTTGTTACTTGATTATAATTAATTATATTTACTTATAGAAATATACAAAACATGCATTTATGTAAAACCCTTAGTAGTCAATTGATTGACTATTGCTTCAATTGAGTTTCTCTAGTAAATAGTACTTGTTAATATTCTAAAGGAGATGATGATGATGCTCATTGCTGGATTAATTGTTTTTTTTTTGAGGCAACAATAAAAAAAAAAAATGTCGTTAGTTAGACTCATCAATTAAGTCATCGTATAAAAAGAAAGAGGAGAAATAGATACCCCTCCTTATCTTTGCTACCAAGTGAGGCTGTAACCAAATTGTTCTTCTTTCTTCTATAATTAGATAAAATGAAATTTATACGATACAGTACAACAATTTTATACGAAATGACAATAAGAACCTCAATTTAATGAAATGAAATAGATTATCAAACTTCATCACTATCTACAACATTAAATTAGAAGTGAGTGTTGACTTTTATCGTTGAGGTGTTTGATTTATCCTGTTAGATGTTGTTTTTCTTTCCTTCTCCCTTAACAAACAAAAATTGATTAAGTATTACTCGGATATTTACGGGAGATTAAAAATATTTTTTGATTTAAAACGGTTTTATGTTTTAATCGGATTAATTTTACACACATCACAACTCAACAAAACAATTCTTTTTTCTTGTCCAGCTTGGTTTTGAGTTACTTCTACGAGGGAAGGAAAAGGAGAAGGAGGGGGGTCATGTTGTTGAGTATGGACACGACACAAAGAAAATGCGGAATTACATCAAATGCACGATAAACAACGTTTAATTTATTAAGTACCAAAAAAAAAAACCAACAAAATTATAAAATGTGTCAAAAAGATACACCAACAATTTTTAATTAAAAAAAATTGGAGAAATGGATGTTAATCTAGAAGAATTGAAAGGGAAATTGCTTTTTCGGTTTAATTATCCGAGAATTGAATTTATAAATCAACCGAGACGCGTCTAAAAAAATGAAACCCATTATCCGAGGCATGTATCTACTGTACTGTTACTATCGTTTAAATGAGGAGAGGAATTGATAAGATTTTCAATCCCCAACAAACAATTGAACGTTACGTAAAGAAAATGACATCTTGTTACTTTCGTTATCTTTGATATCACAAATAGGGGTTCACTATTTCCATGATAATTAAATAAACTATCAACGGCCCCCTGGGTCTGCATGTAACAACAAATTGGTTCTTGTAGATATCATCACTCCAAATTCTAAGACTACCCTTATGATACTTGTTTTTTGCATATATGCATAAGTTGACAGACAATTGATTGTTGTTGCAATCATAAGCGAAACGTCTCATACAAGTATACAAATCTTTCTAGACCCTGATTCCCCCCTCTGGAACTAATATCCATAACTCTATTAAATAAAATGATATTATATTTACAAAAATGATATTATTATATATTTACAATGATATGGGCTCAACCCTTTTTATTCAATTTCCCTTTCCAAAACTTAATTTGTTTTGCTAAAGCATATTTCAATGATTTAATTAATCCAGCAGTGAAAATGCCTTTAATTGCTTGTTTAATTGAACTAATTTGAATAATCTTGGTTATAACTTTAATCATATTTTGACCTAATTTATCATCATTAGCAATTTCTTTAATTGATTTTTCATAATAATGTTTATATAAATTTTGTCTAAAACCTAATGGTAATCCACTTAATAATTTAATTTTATAATTATTTGGTAAATTCTTTCTAAAGATTCTATTTTCTTGATTATTATCAACAATTACTAAATAATTATTCTTAATGAAATATTGTAATATTGGTTCATATAAATGTTTAAAATAATCATATTGTTTAACAACAATATTATCAATCTTGTTTGGATTCTCTCCTCCAATATACATTCTAAAATCTCCTAAATATGATAATTGAGTAATTGTTTTATATAAATCAAATTCATTAAATTCTCGTTTATCTAATATGAATATTGCTACTGTCATTGCTGTTTTTAAATTATATTGATTTAAGAATTTTAATCTAATATCATGATCTAATAAGATATTAACTGGTTTTTGTAATCTACCAGCAAAATAAAATGAATTCCATTCACATAAATCAGAAAATGCTGATTTTAATGATATTATACCATATTTTATTGAATGATTATTTATGGTGACATAAGGATTAAAATATATGCCATTTCCTTGAATTAATTTTATTAATGATAATGATTTAAATGAATAATGTTCGGGGAATTGTTTAAGATTTTGTTGATGAAATTGTTGACTATTTTTAACTAAATGAATGAAATCTAATTGAGTGCCGTTGGTACTACTAGTAGTACTAATACTACTACTATCGCTGTCACTAGTATCAGTGGATGAATATCCATTTTGAGGAAGTATACCTGAACCATAACCTATTGAAACTTCAATTGGACCTTTAAAACTTTCAACAATTGATTGTAATTGTTGTTGTTTTATCAGTTTGGGATCGACAGTTAATTCTTGATTTGGAGCTTGGAAATCTTTTGGTATTATTAATTTATCAAATCCGGCAAATCCTTCTGATATAATTGGTTGATAATGTTTATCTGAATAAGGAGTAGTTCGTGGACTACTACCACTATCACTGGTGGTTGTTGTAGTTGTAGAACTACTAGTAGTAGTGGTAGTAGTAGATGTTACAGTAGATAACCATTTACGGATAATTAAAGGTTGATAAGTAGTAGTAGTAATAATATTCCATCTATATTGATATGATGAACATCGTATAATATTCATTGGGATATTGTTAATAAAATAAATAAAAAAACCAACAAGAATAATAAATTTATTATAAGGGTTTTTCATATATACTCACACACATAATAATTTTCTTATTCAATGAAAGTTGATTTTAATAAAAAAAAAAAAATTTTTTTTATGTACACTTAAGTCACATGACTTAGATCACGTGATTGGATTTAAAGAAAAAAAAAATAATGACTCAATTTGAATTTGATTTGACTGCCGGAAACGGCACTTACAATAATTTCAGAAAATTTTCATTTTATAATTTAACTTACTTTCTCCTTCTCTCTTTCTGTCTTTCTCTTTCATCAATAAACTAACAATATCAATTATGTCATCACAAGTTTATAGATCTACTCGTTCAAGTCAAGAACAAGCATTATCTTTTGAAGATGTTGTTATGACTGGTTTAGCACCAGATGGTGGATTATTCTTACCAAGTTCAATTCCAAAATTACCAACCAATTTCTTAGAAGATTGGAAAGATTTAACATTTAATGAATTAGCATTTGAAATTTTAAGATTATATATTAATCCAAAAGAAATTCCTGATTTTCATTTAATTGAATTAATTACAAAATCTTATTCAACTTTTAGATCAAATCAAATTACTCCAATTAAAAAATTACAAGATAAATTATATATATTAGAATTATTTCATGGACCAACTTATGCATTTAAAGATGTTGCATTACAATTTGTTGGTAATCTTTTTGAATATTTCTTAAAAAGAAGAAATGCCAATAAAAGTGAAACCGAAAGAGAAACAATTACTGTTGTTGGTGCAACTTCAGGTGATACTGGTTCAGCGGCAATTTATGGTTTAAGAGGTAAAACTGATGTATCAGTATTTATATTATATCCAACTGGTAGAATTAGTCCTATTCAAGAACAACAAATGACTACTGTTGAAGATGAAAATGTTCATTGTTTTTCAGTTAATGGTACTTTTGATGATTGTCAAGATATTGTTAAACAAATCTTTGGTGATGAACAATTTAATCAAAAATATCATGTTGGAGCTGTTAATTCAATTAATTGGGCAAGAATCTTAGCTCAACAAACTTATTATTTCTATTCTTATTTCCAATTACAAAAAGAATTAGTAGAAACTGATGCTAAAATTAGATTTGTTGTTCCAAGTGGTAATTTTGGTGATATATTGGCAGGTTATTATGCTTATAAAATGGGATTACCAGTTGATAAATTAATTATTGCTACTAATGAAAATGATATATTGGATAGATTTATGAAAACTGGTGAATATGCTAAATTACAAACAATTGGTGTAAAGGCAACTTTTTCACCAGCAATGGATATTTTAATCTCATCAAATTTTGAAAGATTATTATGGTATTTAATTAGAGATACTATTACCAATGGAGATGATTTAAAAACTGGAGAGTTATTAAATAGTTGGATGCAACAATTAAAAGATTCTGGTAAATTTAATGCTCCAATTGAACTTGTCAATGTTGCTAAATCAATTTTTGATTCAGAAAGAGTAACTGATGAAGATACTGTTAAAACAATTAAAGCAGTTTATTCAACTCATCCAGAAAATTATGTTGTTGATCCTCATACTTCTGTTGGTGTTACCACTTCTTATAGATTTATGGCTAAAGATGATTCCCAAGAAAATGTTCAATATATTTCTTTGGCAACTGCTCATCCAGCTAAATTTTCAGAAGTTGTTAATAAAGCTCTTGATACATTTGAACAATATTCATTTGAAAAAGATGTTTTACCAAATGAATTAAAAGCTTTAAGTTCAAAACAAAAGAGAATTACATTTATTGATGAAGCAAATGTTGAAAAAGTTAAACAAAAAATTACTGATATATTAAAGTATTAAGTATATTTAGTTCCTCTTCTTAACAACTACTTTACCATCCATTACTTCAACTTCATATCCAACTTCTTGTAATACTTGATCATCAACAACTCTTTTGGCTTCTAATTCTCCAACAAACTTTTGATTTTCATAATTATTTAATAAAAGATATTTTAAACAAATTATTGCTTGTTCTTTTATAAATGGATTATTATCATCAATTATACAATTAGATAATATTAATGATAAACCTCCTAAAGTTCTTATTTGTTCTTGAATTTCAAATGATTCATATGTTAAATAAGAAATGATTATAATTATAAATGTTTTAACTTCTGGATACTTAAGTTGTTGGATCTTCTGTTTATCTGATAACTTTATTGGTGATATTTTATTATGTAGCAACTTAAACAATTTAATCAATCGAGCTAAGAAATCCGTCTGTTGATGTTTAATGAAATCTTTCATTAAATTAAATTTTGATAATTCTGCAAGTATATTTAAATTGTTTACAAGAATTGATTCTAATTCAACATTATTAAGATCTTCATTATCAATTAATAATTGAGAATAATTCATAAATATTTCTAAATTCCATGACAACAAAGCAACTAATTCAAAATTATTCCAATTATCTTTAGTTTGAATAATATCTCTAGTTAATTCTAGCCAATGAATCAAGAATGGTTGATTCCCTTGAATACATTTGCCAAAACTTTCATGAGTTATAATATCATAAAGTAAATGAACTAACATTGAAGAATCATGATCTAATGTTGATTCATGCAATTGTAATGTTGTATATAAATGATAAATATATTCAAGAAGATGATTCTGTTTTGGTGATAATTTAAGTAATTGTAATAATTTCTCATTAGTAATAGTTGAATCTTCTGTATAGAATTGTCTAAATAGAAGATGAATAATTGGAGATTTGAAGTCATCATTTACATCCTGGAAAATATCATTCAATGGTTCTACAGATGTATTTCGAGGAAAGTTGGCTAATAATTGCCAATAGATTTCTGATGTTTTCAATATCCATTCATTATTATTATTTGGTAGTTGAGAAAACTTGATGAAACTGGATATGGCCGAGACAAATACATTCTCATCTGATATGGAAGTTGCTATATTTCTTATAAGAACTAATAAGGCTCGAAATAATCTTAATTCAATCACTTCATTGGGGTTGGGTATATAGTTAAGAACATTTTGGATCAGTTGAGTAGAAGCGGTTAAATCATTTCTTTGCATCAATTGTCCAATCTCACCAAGATACTTATCAAAATTACTATACTCCTGTTTAGATAATTCATTTATTGAATCATTTAATAAGTTATCTATTTCATACATACTTTAAAGAAGATGAAGATGAGATGAGATGAGGTTGGTGGGAAAGCCCAAAACTAAAAAAAAAAAAATTAATTTAGTAACCATTCAATACAGTTTGATTCTTATACAAATCACAAGCGTGAGGATTTTGTAAACAGAATTTTGGTACTAATGGAGAAGCACCATATCCCATACTAACTAAATATTCCCTAAAATTAAGAATTCTAGAAGTTAACCAATTAGTTCTTAAATTTCCATTACCATCACGGTTACCACTCCAGGTTGATTCTGCCAATGCCGCAGTACGTGGCCAGATCTTAGATGTCAAGACAGTGGAATCAACTTGTTCTGACCAAAGTGCAGCTTCTGCTCCAATGATATGGGCAGCTTCAGTATCAGTTAAATTCATGGCGAAATCATAATCATAGATTCTTTGCCATGTCTTATATGGAGCACACCAACTTCCACCCAAACCATTATTGAATTCTAGGTTGTCAGAGGTATCAAGATATCTTGGATCATTAGTAACCCAACCTCCATAACCACAATCTAAATATAAATGCAGTGACAGCGAAACAATAACATCATATCCATCCCGAGTTAAGTTTTTCACTGCAAGTGGATCAGCACTCCATGATTGTAAAATGAGATTTTCACGAGGTAATTGTTTTACCCCTTCTGGTGTTGTAACAATATCTTCCCACATCATTAATTTTCGATTTTGAGATACGTTATAAAAAATTGGTAAAGCTAAATCAATATAATGTTGAGTTAATTGACTCATGGTTTTATTTTTCGAAAACCATTCATTTTGAATTAAACTAGAAAAATTATAACAAGTTGATTGTAATTCATCAGCACCGACATGGAAAACATCATCGAGGAATATATCACTTAATTCTTGATAAACATTCTTAATAACTTCATAAGTATCTGGTAGTAAGATATTTAATTGTCCTGGAGGTGGTTCAACAGCAGTATGATTTGCCCAATAATCATTTGACCACCATGAATTACCACAAGTGACAATTTCTGGATTAACTTGTTTCCAACCAGCACGGGCATGACCTGGCATGTCTACTTCAGGAATTACTCTAACCCCTCTAGCAAAAGCATAATCAATTACATATAATATATCTTGTTTAGTATAAATTTCCCGGGGGGAATAAGCATCTTTAATCATTTCTGGATAAGCATTTAAATAAATTGGCCAACTTTGAGAATCAACTAAATGCCAATGTAATGAATTCATTTTTGAAAGTGACATTATATCAATTTGTTGTAAAATTGAATCAATTGATAAATAATTTCTACCAGAATCTATCATTAAACCACGATGTTTATATTTTGGATAATCAATAATACTTACACTCAGTTCAATTTGAAATAATCCATTTTCATAAATGATTAATTGTTGTAAAGTAGAGAATGCATGTAAAACACCCCAAATTGTATCTGCAGAAATATGTAATCCATGTTCATTTATATCTAATGTATAAGATTCATCTACACTTAATTGTAAATCAGCTTCAAAATCATTAACGTCAATAATTATCGATTGTAAACCAAAACATTGTTGAATACGATAATTTCTTTTATCAAATGGAGGAGGAGAAGGAGGAGCTGGGATTGATTCAAATTCAGGAATCGGTTGTTCAAAAGTGGCAGGATACCATTTTAATCTCTGAATAGTTTTAATAGTTCGATAAAATGCATCTTGAATAATTGAATTTGATTCCAATAATTGAATATCTAATGAATCTAAATTGATTATAATTGGTTCATTTCCATACCAAGTAATATTTTGAGGAATTGGTAATGGGTTGGCTTTAATTGCCCAAGTTAACCCAATGAATAACCAAATGGTAAAATAGATTGATTTAATAATCATAATTGTTGATTAATATAAACCCTTTTTCTACAAACGTCAAGAGGGAAAGGTAATCTATTTATACTTGAAAAGGGTGATACAATCATTTAGATACCCATTGTATTATCTAGTACTCCAGTTGTTTATTTTCCAAATATCAATATCCCCCCCCCCTTTCTCTAAATTGTACTTGTTGTGAATTTTTTTTATTCGTTCTTAGTTTCTTTGGTTGGTTGTTGTTAAAACTTTATTGTAAAGGTATAACTACAACGTTACATTTTTAAGTTTTTCTTGCAACATAAACATAAATTAAAAAAAGAACAATTAACAATTAAACAATTAAACAATTTAAAAGATTAAAAGTGAAACACATTGTCAAATGGGGTAAGGTTAATAATGACGAGCCGTATAGTTCTTATGTACTACAATGATAATGATATCAAAAATGATCATATATTTGTGACATGGTAGTACATGCACCCATCTTTATCACTCTAACTTTAAAAACAATAGAAAATCAAAATTGTGATCATCAGAACAATAGCTTCCAAGGAGAGGAGAGAAAGTTGGATTATTCACAGAGCTTGGCAATATTTCCCCGTTTAGACCCTTGGATTCCAAACTAGATATGTGCGCGATGTTACATTTTTAATTGTCAATTGGATACTAAACAACTAAGAGCTAGTGTAGTATATGGGTTTACCCCACAATAATATTCAGTTGACATCTATTGGAAACACATTCCCCTTTAGCTTTACACACCATATACCATTAAATCAAAATGAAATTATTGCCTATCAAATGTGTCACGTGATTATTGTTTAAGGATACACATTGTTGGGAGTTGATGTCGAGTTTATCCGACGACTTAATCTAGGAATATATCTTATATTATGGGACATTGCCGATAACATACATCTTTCTTGTTATTTGTCCAATTTAGTTAATAATTGTGAGTTAGCACTATTATAGTGAATTGTTAAGTTTATTAAGTTATCATTTTTTGCAATTATTCTTCTTTTTATTGATAAATTTTTTGCAAAATTTAGTCAATAAATAAATAAATAAATTCAATAAATAAATAAATATTTCATCTTTCTTCATTCATCAAGGTAATTATTATTATTATTATAATAACAGATAATCATCTTATTCCAATTAAATCTTAGTTTATGAAATTTAGAAGGTTTTTAGTATTTATATATAAATATAAATTAGACATTTTACACGACCCAATATTCTTTTTTTTTTTTTTTTTTTTTTTTTTTTTTTTTTTTTTTTTTTTTTTTTTNTTATTTTAACTCTTTTTTTTTTTTTTTTTTTTTTTTTTTTTTTTGGATTCTTTCTTTTTATTTTGTGATTGTTGAAGTCAATTATTCCAATGCAGTGGATTTTCACCTCTTTACTTTCTCTAATAACCGACTCCCACGCTTGAAGCAAAGTACAATCAACAGCTACCACATAACTTTTAATAGATCAACAGCATCAACAACAACAACAACAACAACAACAACAACAACAGCAACACAAAACAAAACAATAATAAATTAACATCATTCGCCCTCCCCCCCTCCCCCACGCACACATATGTCAGGAGCATCAGATTTTTTAAGTAAAGGAATAGAATTAGTTCAAAAGGCAATTGATGCTGATACTGCGACTCGTTATGAAGAAGCATACAAACTATATTACAATGGTCTAGATTATTTGATGTTAGCAATCAAATATGAAAAGAATCCCAAATCAAAAGAACTTGTCAAATCAAAATTCACGGAATATTTGACAAGAGCAGAACAATTGAAAGATCATTTGGAAAAACAACAAAATAAATCAAACTCGGCAGAAAGTTCAGTAAATGGTTCTACTAAAGCAAAGAAATCAGGCACAGGTGGAGGTGGTGAAGATGAAGATGACGCTGATACCAAGAAATTAAGAGGGGCATTGGCAGGTGCTATCCTTTCGGAAAACCCAAATGTTAAATGGTCAGACATTGCTGGATTAGATGGAGCAAAAGAAGCACTTAAAGAAGCAGTTATATTACCAGTCAAATTCCCTCAATTATTTGTTGGAAATAGAAAACCAACTTCTGGAATATTATTATATGGTCCTCCAGGTACTGGTAAATCTTATTTAGCAAAGGCAGTGGCAACAGAAGCAAATTCTACTTTCTTTAGTGTTTCTTCATCTGATTTAGTATCAAAATGGATGGGGGAATCAGAAAGATTAGTGAAACAATTATTCACAATGGCTAGAGAAAATAAACCTTCTATTATATTTATTGATGAAGTCGATGCTTTATGTGGACCTAGAGGTGAAGGGGAAAGTGAAGCACTGAGAAGAATTAAAACTGAATTATTAGTACAAATGAATGGAGTTGGTAATGATTCTCAAGGAGTTTTAGTTTTAGGAGCAACAAATATCCCGTGGCAATTAGATGCTGCTATTCGAAGAAGATTTGAACGTAGAATTTATATCCCATTACCCGATGTTGAAGCTAGGACAAGAATGTTTGAAATAAATATCGGTGAAGTCCCTTGTGAATGTACCCCACATGATTTACGAACATTAGCAGAAATGACAGATGGATATTCTGGTCATGATGTTGCCATTGTGGTTAGAGACGCTTTAATGCAACCAATTCGTAAAATTCAACAAGCAACGCATTTCAAGCCTGCTTTGGATGAGGATGGAAATGAGCGGTTCACTCCGTGTTCACCAGGAGACGAGGGTGCTAGAGAAATGAATTGGATGGATATTGGAACTGATGAATTAAAAGAACCACCATTAACAATTAAAGATTTCATAAAGGCTGTCAAAAATAATAGACCTACAGTCAATGAAGCAGATATCGCTCTTCATATTAAATTCACTGATGATTTTGGTCAAGAAGGAAATTAAATAGTTGTCACAATTTTAGAATACAAAAGGATTCAAAAATAAAGTAAATTTACAAAAGATTTAACGTTCTCTATAAGTATCATTATGATCATTATCAATTCTCATTGGTGATCTCGACCTCTCTCTATTTTTCATTTTATGTGCAAAGAGGTCATCATCATCTGTTGGTTGGGAAGAGGACTCACGAGATCTTCTACTACCAACCTGTGCCAATCGTCCCGCAAATAAATCTTGATCATCATTTTCTTCATGTTGTTCCTTAGATTGATTTTGTCTGTTACTACTTGGACGATCTCTTCTTTTATGCCTTGGCTTGTATGGCTTTCTTTCAGGTTCACCATGAATTAAATAATATCGGGAATATTGAGAAGCATTCTTCACCTTTCGGTCCAGTTGGAAAGCTTGTCTCAAATAAATAACCACAGATGACTCATCCTCCTCCATATCACCACTTTCAAATTGTTCTTTTGCTTGCTCAGCTTCAAGACCTAATCTATTCAAAAGGTTTTGCTGTTTACGAAATCGAATAATGGGATTGTATGGTTTACCTTCCCGTTGTTGTATAATACTTGAAACATATGTATGATCATCAAGACTTTCTAATTGTTTTTCCAGAGTTTCTATATTTGGATTAGAAGGAATAATTGATAAACCTTTTAATGCTTTTGAACAATCTTTATGAGTTTGAAATCTAATATTGACCAGTGAATCATTAATCCATTCAACTTTATATATTAATTGTTCATCTATTGGGAGTTGTTGATAGACTACCTTATGGATACCTTCATCATCGGTATCATCGACAACATGACTATAATTCAAATAGTAGTCAATATAACTTTTGATATCATCAGTAGACAAACTATCAACTCCTTGAAGATGTAACGCCTCTGGTCTAATTATTTCTGGATGACCATTGACATTTATGTCAATTGATTGTTGTTTTAATAATTCCTCTCTTTCCTTTTCTTCATCAAGAGTTTTAACAAGATATCCTCCATAAGGTGCAACTTCTGATTCAGACATAACTGTTTGTTAATAGATTTACTTCGTTCGTTCTCTCTCTCTGTTTATGTCTCTCTCTCTGTCTTATATCAATTGTTAATTTTTTTTAGTGCTGAGTAAATTTGAAAATCCCAACGAAGTAAAAATCCAAACATCAATAAATGAATTTTTTTACTTATGAGATTTAGTAATTGACATAAAATGCAAGTACAACTGAGGTGTTTGACTACTTTCTATGAACTGAAGTTTACAGAAGGAGTATCGGAAGACAACCTGGTCCAAGTGAATACCTAAGAGATGAATGTGTGTAACACTAAGACTAGATACAAAATGACGATCAGCAGAATAATCGAGGAAATGAAGAATAAAAGTTTTCTTTTCGAGAAATACCAGAAGAGGAAAACAGACCATATGCTCGCATTCTGTGCTTATTTGAAGACAAGGATTCTACTTTCTTATGGAAATGAACCACAAAACATTCAGAAGATTTATCCATTAAGGGCAAGAATACATTCAGAAGATGATATTACAACCAAATTAATAAGTAAACTTATCATGGCTCACATAGCAGCAGTGAGATTGTTGAATATTCGAATATTCGAGACTAATTTCCGGGGCCATTACAGAAACATTCGAAGAGAAGGATTCATATGGACCAGAGAAGCAATCAAGGACATCATCTGCAGGAAGTTTCTTTTTGATTGTCACCATGGAAGATTCCTCAACTATCTGGAAATATATTCCTTTGCTGCTAAAATTTCAATTTCATAAATCTTGCATTTAATCCTTTTTTTTTTTCCTCTAGTTGAGGGATTATTGTCATTGTATTTAGTGGAAAGCTCATAATCATCACGTTAGTGTTGTGGCATAAATTCCACTTGGTTCACTTTAGTAGGGAGACCCAAAGTCCTTGGTTATGACTACTATTTCTGGATTTGTGTTTAAAATAATACCACCGGTAAATTAAATGAGAATTCCGAGCCCTGAAAAATCATTCTTTACCCCAGGGCATACGTTCATAGATAAAATCTCCCAGGCGAGATTGTCGTGGCCATAACCACTCCTTGAAAATAGAGATGACTGAGATTGAAACACCTGCATCCTTGATTTTTATTCGGTTGACGCTTGGCTCTTTTTGATGAGCCAAAATTATGTGTCATCTACAGTTAAAATTAATGACAGCAAACTATTCCAGGAAAACATATTTGGTATCCTGGTGTTCTATTTAACATACTAACTGAAATAGAATTTATATCTTCAAGATGTCCTTGTAGTCATTATTGGATTTAGATACGATTTATCTTATAACTAGAGTCTTTCTGTCTCCTGTTTGACTGCAAATTTTTTCTGGACTCTAACTCTTGTATTTTGACCAAGCTAACTTGGGATTACTCACCAAGTAAGCTCAATATGTCTAACCATCGCTTCTTAGTGATGAAATATGTGGTAATGCAAGACTTCTTGTATGGTAGGTTATGTGTTGGGAATACGAGCATTGGTCTAATATTGGTTTGTGAGTGTTCATATTCATTAAAGAAAAATTTGGTTGAAAATTACTACCAAACAAATCTGAGAATAAATCGATGACAAATTTTCGAGAAAAGAGTTTTATCTATTCAATTGTTTATAATAACGATTTAAATATATATCGATGTATCTCTAACAGCCACGTTTTTCTTCATCCTAATCTTCCAATTTCGAGAGAGACAGGTTTATTTTCAATACTTAGAGGCAAAAAGAAACCTCGTTACTTTTTAGAGTTATGAATCATTACCTGATATGTTCTCCGGCATACCATTGTTAGGACGGCTTCATTTTCATTCTTTATGAGATTCACAGGAGCACTTCTCCCAGACGCTGAACGCATACTTTAAGCTTGAAAAAAGACAGTTGCCCTAGTGATAGAAATGGTTTGAATCATTTTATCTGTAATTCACGCAAACTTAAATTATGATCCCCTGCCAGTCGGATTATCGATCTAGCAAATATTTCAAAGCTTGACAAAATGCATGTATTCAATTAGCGGCACCGTGTTATGATATTCATTCCTTGCTATGTTATGTGCGAGTGGCCAATAAATATATCAGGTATGTTCATAAGCTCAGAAAATGGCCTGACGAACCCATCTACAGCAAGCACACAACCGTGTAATAAGATTATATAGGTATATTTGACGAGAAGGTTACATCTATATACGCTTTTGCCAATTAAATCGCCAATTAAAAGCAGTTAGGAGTTACACATTATGCATCCACAAGCGAGTTTATTGATTAATTCCAAGAAGAGCTTTCAAAACGAAAAGACGAAAATGTATCAGAAGACACCGTGAGCGAAGGTTATATCATGTCCAATTTCAAGTGCAGGAGATATAGAATGAAAATGCAACAGGTTATAGCATTTCTCAAGCACAACGGATATAGAATGAAAAACATCCTAACTTGCACAGATCCTATGGTTCGATCAAACGTTCTAAATCTATTAATGCACTAACTCATTCCCATGAATACAACCACGCCATGCCGTTTAATAACTCCTGAGATTGGCTGAAACTGCCGCGAGAATATTCTGAACCCAAGATAGAAAGAGAGTCCTCATTTGATAGTCGTAGCTGCTCGACACACAGAACAGAATGACCAAACGATCTGTATTCCCTTAAGATAAACATCAATTAAATTTGGTTCCATTATTGGTTTATGGTCATAGAGATTTGGAACATTGCTACTAGTGGTAAATTTATTAACTTCTATATGGTTTGAATCCATCAATTAGATTTGGTTTATTAAAGTAAATATGGGCCAATATTCGAATGGAGTGACATTTTTGTTCCATTTTTGTCAAAAATGTTTCCAAAAACGAAAGTGAGGTTCCCTTTTTAAAAAATATTTTCCAATTAATGATGTTTGTCTCTTTTTTATCTTAGAATAAACTACTCTTAAGAAATCGAAAAGCATACCTAACCATTCCTTGAAATCGTCCTCTGTCGTTAGAGTTATGAATTATTGACTGAAACGGGCTCCGGGAATTAATGTTATGAGTGTTTTTTCATTTTTATTTTATAAAATACACAGGAGCACCGCCCCCCATTGCCGCCTACGCAACACCTTTTCTTAAACTTGGGGATCTAGACAAGAGTTGCTGAAATTTGAGATTAGCATAAATGAGTGAATCTTAAATTCTGATCTGCTTCCAATTGGTTATAAAAGAAAGATTTCAAAGCTTAGCAAAAGCCATGGATTTGATTGGAGCCACCATTTTATATCGATTCCCATATTATGCTATACGCGGGCACCCAAATGTATCCATAAGGATAGGTTTGTAATAACATGCATATGCTCAGAACACTGCGTGATCAGCTCACCGACGGCAAGTACACAAACGCTTTGCTAACATGATATCTACATTGGTTATTAGTTACGTTTAGTTTTCAAGAGAAGCACATTTTACTACCAACCAGGTTATGTGCCCTATTGCGAACCAAATTAACCATACAGCTGTTTCCAACTTCCATATTGTGAATTTGCAAGTGTGTTTTTTATTGCTGTCAAGAATATTTGAATTGAATCGTGTCGAAAATTGATAGATGAAAGTCCAGAAACAAAAGAAGAAAATTTGCAAGAAGGTGTGGTTATACGGACATAGTCAACGTGCGATACACTATCTCCCTTTATTTTTCAATATTGATTGTTTATCAGATGAAATCAGTCCAGAGTAATGTGAGAATCAAGGAACGCAAGCAAAAATTGAAGATTCTTGCTTGATTGTGGTATTTGCCGTCCAATAAAAAAGAGGGAATCAACAAAATATAAGTATTGTCATAGCATGAATATGAAACGTTGGGGAAATCTTTCGCTACAGTTCAGTGAAAACAAAAACAAAAACAAATCCACGGGGATTCTCAAAACAACAATTTTTCCACATATAGGAATTTTAAAATATCGATCTAAGTTGGCCATTTAAGAGCAACATGAAGTTCACTGTCCTTGAAATGCACTTCTTCCGACTGGTAAGGTTCTACCACTAGTATAGGTTCATGAGATAACGCAAGTATCTTGTCTGGGGCCCATAGAAGAATTATCCTTTGGTAATAACTTCAAGCTAGCCCTGGTTCCTGAACATTACTACAAATTTTAAAAAATTGGAAATCGCTGGTAACCTGGAAAGGGCTTCGAGGAGCCCTGGTTCTAGGCCATTTCTACAAATTAGTTGGAAAGAGGTAATAACTCGGAAAGGGCTTCAAGCCATTGTTTTCTATCCTAAGGAAATTGTCGCAAACCTGAAAATACTCCGAACACGCCTTTCACATCCATTGCCCTTCCCTAAAATCAAATATAAATAGAAGGCTAATTCCATGCGGTTCAGATTAAAAGTTCCCTTCTTATAGCTGTATAGTTACAACTAAATTCCAACGTTTAATAAGTTAGATAGCAAACTAAAAGAAAGATAATTGTATTTGAACGAGATATGAAGTTATTTTTGTTATATCTCCTAGCCCTTTTGAGCTCAGTTTTGGCTGTGTTAGTAAACATTAACGGAGAAAAAACTCAGGAAATCGCTGATGTTCTTATTTATTCAGACAATGACGACTATATCATTAATGAGGACTCCTTTTATAGTCTTCAGATTGTTAATTCCAGTCCTAAAGTGGCAAATAGCGTCACTAACCATGGAGGATTATATGCTACCGTTTCATCTAGTAATGAAATCAAGGTCGGAGATGAGATTTCAGGTGCCCGATTCATCAACTACGGACTAGTTGCTTTGAGTTCACTTAAATCGGGAAAATCAGCTAGTTTTACAATTAGCGGGCCAACGTTTTTTAACGAAGGGTCTATATTTATTGGCTCAGATGGTTCACAAGGGTTTCCACTGCAAACTGTAAGCGGATCAAAAAGTTGGACAAATAATGGTTTGATACAATTCACTCAACGTGTAGCTGGAAATGGGGGCGTTTACTTCACGTATGATGGGCAAATGTATCAACACGGGACGATTTGCCTTCAAAACCAGAAGCACGTACAAACTGGCTCATTTATTGGAGCCGGGTGCATTATCCTTGAAGGGGAATCGACTTGGCAATTTGCCGTAAACGAAGAGTTTGAGCAAACCATCATTATGCGCGGTCCCTCAGTTAAGTTACGGTTTTACAAATCAGGTTTTGGCCGTGAACAACCTTACAAGGTAGTCGGATTCGGGAATCGTAACCTGATTGCTTTTATTGAGCTCGGCCATGCCGGTGACTTGTTTTACGACAAGACAACCGGGATTCTAAAGTTAGATGAGACAGACTTGGATATTTATTATTTTGACATTGGCTTAGGGTACGACCCAGACTTATTCATCTGGAGAACCGAGGATGGCGCATCAGGAGAAAACGCCCTTTTCTATAATGGTCCCGTCCCTGAAGAATCGAATAAAGAACCCGACACTTGTGTCAAATGCCAAGCATTCCCACCAGACCCTGGAGCAGTCCCTAGATACGAGACAACCACGGTAAGTAATGACAGATTTACCGTAACGCTTGAGATTTTGCACACTACCGATCCAGAGATGGGATACTGGTATGCTACGACTAGAACAGTTTATGACCATTACTATACAACATACACAAAAGACGATCAGGAAGTTAGTGCCTTGGTCAGTCTTGTAACCGATACAGATGGAGAAAAGAATTGGGTTACATCGGAATATCCCTATCCTCACACATACTATACTACTTATGTTTCGGATGGTCTGACCTACTCAGCGGAAGTTGTTGTTACAACACGTCCGGAAGGTAACTTTTACACTACAACTAACCAAATTCCAAATCAAACTTCTTATCTCACAACGTATGTCGAACAGGAAACTACTTACAGTGCGTATGTCATTATAAGCCTGGATAGTGAAGGTGTTTGGTACACATCCACATCTACCATTCCATATCATAATGCTTACACTACTACTTATATTGATGAGGAAGGTGACGCGAAGACTGGTGTGGTATTCATTACGACCGACGAGAACGACAACTGGTACACCACTACACTGAATTTTGAAAAGACTTTGTATACTACTACTTACACTGACGGTGATGGTGCCACACAGACTGGGGTTGTTCTCGTTAGCACTAATTCCGAAAAGGAATGGTACTCTACAACACTGAATTTGGATGACAATATGTACACCACTACCTATGTTAATGAAGATGGTGATACAAAGACAGGTGTTGTGATTGTTACTACTGATGAAAATGAGAGCTGGTACACTACTACTCTGGACTTCGAAGCAACATCTTATACGACTACATACACCGATGAAGATGGTTCCACCAAGACGGGAGTAGTTGTTGTTACTACTGATGACAATGAGGACTGGTACACTACAACACTGAATTTGGATGACAATATGTACACCACTAC